CTAGGCCATTAGGGACCTGCCCTCGTGACCTAGTGACCTCCCACCAGGCCCCACCTGAAACATTGGGAATTACAATTCAGCATGAGATTTTTTTTTTTTTTTGAGACGGAGTTTCGCTCTTGTTACCCAGGCTGGAGTGCGATGGCACGATCTCGGCTCACCGCAACCTCCGCCTCCTGGGTTCAGGCAATTCTCCTGCCTCAGCCTCCCGAGTAGCTGGGATTACAGGCACGCGCCACCATGCCCAGCTAATTTTTTGTATTTTTAGTAGAGATGGGGTTTCACCATGTTGAACAGGATGGTCTTGATTTCTTGATCTTGTGATCCACCCGCCTCGGCCTCCCAAAGTTCTAGGATTACAGGCTTGAGCCATTGTGCCTGGCCTTCAGCATGAGATTTGATGGAGACACAGATGCAAACCATATCATTTGGCCTTCCAAAGTGCTGGGATTACAGACATCAGCCAGTGTGCCTAGCCTGGAAATTTTTTTAGAAGCTCGTTATTAAATCATTGTGCATGAATTTATACCTGTAGTAGTTAAGTGTGAATGGCATTGCATTTTAATTTTTTTTTTTTTTTTTTTTTAATCTTGCTCTGTCACCCAGGCTGGAGTACAGTGGCATGATATAGGTCACTGTAGCCTTGAATTCCTGGCTCAAGTGATTCTCCTGCTTCAGCCTCTCAGGTAGCTAGGATTACAGATACATGCCACCATGCCAACTAATTTTTTTTTTGGTAGGGGTAGGGGGGGATCTCACTATGTTGCCCAGGCTGGTCTTGAACTCCTGACCTCAAGTGATCCACCTGCCTCCTCTGACCTTGGCCTCCTAAAGTGCTGGGATTACAGGCATGAGTCACTACACTCAGCCCTACATTTTAAAGATTTGATTGGAACCTCTAGGACTAATGCATTTTTTAAAAAAAGCAGGCTGGGTACAGTGGCTTATGTGTTTAATCCTAGCACTTTAGGGGGCCAAGGCATGAGGATCACTTGAGTCCAGGAGTTCGAGACCAGCCTGGGCAACAGAGTGAAACTCCGTTAGCCAGTAGCTGGATGTGGTGGCACATGCCTGTACTTCCAGCTACAGTCCCAAGCCTGAGGCAGGAAGATAGCTTGAGCCCAGAATTTGAGGCTCTGATTATACCACGACATAGTGAGCTGTGATTATACCATGACATTCCAGCCTGGGCAACGGAGCAAGACCCTGTCACAAAACAAAAAATAGCAGGTGACATGGACACATGTACAAAGTCATTAAGTGGGATTTTTTTTTGTTTGAGTCAGAGTCTCGCTCTGTCAAGCTAGAGTGCAATGGTGCGATCTCGGCTCACTGCAACCTCCGCCTCCTGGGTTTAAGTGATTCTCCTGCCCAGTCTCCCAAGTAACTGGAATTTCAGGTGCACGTTACCACGCCTGGCTAATTTTTTTTATTTTTAGTAGAGATGGGGTTTCACCATGTTGGCCAGGCTCGTCTTGAATTCCTGACCTCAGGTGATCTGCCCACCTTGGCCTGCCAAACTGCTGGGATTATAGGTGTGAGCCACTGCGCCTGGCCAATTAAGTGTTTTTAAGAAGTAGTGTACATAGCCAGCTGTAGTGGCTCTTGGAAGAGAAGGAAGCGAGGATGGATGAGTTCAGTAGAGGGTTTGGTGGTAACTAGGATAGTTACTGCTTTTCCTTTTAGGTGTTTTTTTTTTGAGATGGGATCTCACTGTGTCACCCAGGCTGGATCGACTCACTGCAACCTCTGCCTCCTGGATTCAAATTACTTTCCTGTCTCAGCCTCCCAAGTAGCTGGGGATTACAGGCACCTGCCACCATGCCCAGCTAATTTTTATTTTTTTGAGACACAGTTTCACTTTTGTCACCCAGGCTGGAGTGCAATGTCATGATTTCAGCTCAGCTCACTGCAACCTCTGCCTCCCAGGTTCAAGTGATTCTCCTACCTCAGCCTCCCAGGTAGCTGGGATTACAGACGAGCACCACCACGGCTGGGTAATTTTTGTGTTTTTAGTAGAGACGGGGTTTTACCACACTGGCCAGGCTTGAACTCCTGACCTCAGGTGATCTGCCTGCCTTGGCCTCCCAAAGCACTGGGATTACAGGTGTAAGCCACTGTGCCCGGTAGTGCCCAGCTAATTTTTGTATTTTTAGTAGAGATGAGGTTTCATCATGTTGGCCAGGCTGGTCTTGAGCTGCTGACCTGAAGTGATCTGCCCTGATGTGCTGGGATTACAAGTGTGAGCCACCACACTTGGCCTTCTTAAGTGTTTATAGGATGGTCCTACCTTTGGGATTTTGTTAATTTTCAAGCAGTAAATATACTCACATTCAAATATTTAGGTCAAAGTAAGATCTTTTTTGTTTTCATTTTAGTGAATTTCTGCATGATTTTTTTTTTCTTTTTTTTTGAGAGAAGGAAAGAACAAATAAATAAGGAGAGGAAGAAAGGAAGAGAAAGAGGGAGAGTAAATGGAAATATTGCTTTATTTTGAAAAAAATTGGGTATTATTAATGGCCAATCAATGTTTCATTTAAACTTATGGGTAGGTGTGATATGGTATTGACAAGAATGTATATTTTGTGTATTTGAAGTGGAGAGCTCTATAAATATTTATTAAGTTTACTTGTTCCGGATCTGAGTTTGAGTCCTTGATATCCTTATTAATTTTCTGTCTCATTGAGTCTAAGTCTCTATGTATCTGGGTGTTAGGATCGTTAGCTCTTGTTGTTGCATTGATCCTTTTACCACTATATCTTTGTTGCTTTAAAATCTATTTTATCCGCTATGAGATTTGCAGCTCCTGCTTTTTATTTATTTATTATTTATTTTCGCTCTCTGTTTGGTTGGTAAATCTTTCTCCATCCCTTTGTTTTGAGTCTTTGTGTATCCTTGCATGTGAAACAGGTCTGGATGTAACATGCCATTGGGTTTTGGCTGTGTCTTTTGATTGGGGGATTTAGTCAATTTAAATTTAGGGTTACTGCCATTTGATGTTGACTGGCTATTTTATCCATTCGTTGGTGTAAATTCTTCTTTATGTTGGTGCTCTTTACTTTTTGGTGTATTTTTAGAAAGGCTAATACTGGTGGTTTCTTTCTGTGTGTAATGCTTCTTTCAGAAGCTCTTGTAAAGCAGGCCTGGTGGTAATAAAATCTCTGAGTTCTTGCTTGTTCATAAAAGATTTTATTTTTCCTTCAGTTGTGAAGCTTAGTTTGGCTGGATATGAAATTCTGGGATGAAGGTTCTGTTCTTTGAGGATGTTGAATATTGGCCCCCACTCTCTTCTGGCTTGTAGAGTTTCTGCTGAGAGATCTGCTGTAAGTCTGATAGGCTTGCCTTTGTGGGTAACCTGACCTTTCTCTCTGGCTGCCCTTAGTATTTTCTCCTTCGTTTCAACCCTGGTGAATCTAACGATTATGTGCCTTGGGGTTGCTCTTCTTGAGGAATATCTTTGTGGTGTTCTCTGTATTACCTGGGGTTGAATGTTGACCTGCTTTGCTAGTTTAGGAAAATTTTCCCGAATAATATCCTGAAGGGTATTTTCCAGCTTGGATTCATTCTCTCCGTCACATTCAGGTACACCTATCAAACGTAAATTTGGTCTTTTCACATAGTCCCACATTTCTTGGAGACTTTGCTCATTCCTTTTTATCCTTTTTTCTCTAATCTTTTCTTCACGTTTTATTTCATTAAGTTGGACTTTGACCTCTGATATCCCTTCTTCTGCTTGAACAATTCGAGTGTTTAAACCTGTGCATACTTCTCGGAGTTCCTGTATTGTATTCTTCGGTTCCATTAATTCACTCATACTCCTCTCTAAGTTGTCTATTCTCAATAGGATTTCATCAAACCTTTTTTCAAAGTTCCTAGTTTCTTTACATTGGGCTACAACGTGTTCTTTTAACTCACCGAAGTTTGTTATTATCCATTCCTTGAAGAGTGATTCTGTCATCAGGATGCGCTCGTTCTCCATCAAGCCTTGTTCCATTGTTGATGTGGAACTGTGATCATCTTTAGAGGGAGAGGCGTTCTGATTTTGAGTGTTCTCAGCTTTTTTACTCTGGTTTCTTCCCGTCATTGTAAATTTATCCTCCTGTGGTCTTTGAATTTACCAACTTTCAGATTAGGTCTCTTGAGTGGGCGTCCAGGTTGTTAGTTCCCAGGGCCAGAGCAGCAGCGTTAAAACTGATGGTGCTTTTCTGCCCAGGATTCTCCTGTCTGGCTTCCTTCTTGTGTCCGTAGTAGGCGACTCTGCCTTCCCGGGGCTCCAAACCTCAGTCAGAAGGGGAACCGGTCCCGTTTACTCTGAGCTGAGCGCTGCCGCACCGACGTGCCGTCACAGCCGCTGAGCCGGGCTCTGGTGTTGTGCTGGGGGCCCTTGTGGGTCCTCTGAACCTGTTTACTCTGCTCCAAGAGCTGCCGCGCCGAGGTGCCCGCGGAACCGCTGCGCTGGCCACGAGAGTCGCGCTGGCCACCCGTGTGTTTCCTCCACTGGGGGATCTTCTGCTCCGTGAGCGACCAGAATTTGTCTGAAAGTGTGGCGTCCTCTAGTTCTCCGTTCCTTCCCTGAGAGCTGCAATCCCGGGATGTTAGCGATTGGCCATCTTGGATCCTTCTCCCTGCATGTTTTCATTTGGTGGGTAATTGAGTTACTGAACTTAGGAATGTATTCATATTTATTTATTTGTTTAGAGACAGAATCTTGCTCTGTCGCCCAGGCTGGAGTGCAGTGGTGCAATCTTGGCTCACTGCATCTGCTGTCTCCTGGGTTCAAATGATTCTTGTACCTCAGCCTCCCAAGTAGCTGTGATTACAGGTGTGTGCTACCATGCCCAGCTAAGAATGTATTCACAATTGCCTTGAAATACATTTGATTTAGCTGCTAAGAGTATGGAATTGTTCTATTTGGTGATTTAATTGAAACGTTTAATAAAGCAGCTTCACACATCTTTAGACATGCAGTGTTTCTGATGTGTGCACATTTTATTTACTAGGGAGCAAAGAGAGAAAGAAGAAATAGAGAAGTATCGTATGGAACGCCCCAAAATCCAGCAGCAATTCTCAGATCTCAAAGTAAGAATGAAATGGTGTGCAGTTTCTAATGCACTTCACCTAAGACTCCTTTTGTGTGGAATTGTTGAGACTACTAACAAGCTGTTTTTTAAATTCAGAGGGTAATTGCTTAGAAGAAGAAAGTCCTTGCTTCAGTATGTTTGATTATATGTATATGTGTATTAAAACCCTTTCCATCCCCTACCATAAAAGGTGGGACAAATGAACTTATTTTCTTTGTAATTTTGACTCCACTTATACCTAAGATTTTCTTTCTTTCTTTTTTTTCTTGAGATAGACTCTGGCTCTGTTGCCCAGGCTGGAGTGCGATGGCATGGTGTTGATTCACTGCTACTTTCACCTCCCAGTTTCAAGCAATTCTCGTGCTTCAGCCTCCCTAGTAGCTGGGATTACAGGTGCCCGCCACCACACCTGGCTAACTTTTATATTTTTAGTAGAGACGGGGTTTTGCCATGTTGGCCAGGCTGATCTCGAACTTCTGACCTCTAATGGTCTGCCCACCGCGGCCTCCCAAAGTGCTGAGGTTACAGGCATGAGCCACCACATCCAGCCCTGTTTATATGTAAGATTTCCTAATTTCCCAGGTGTCCCCTGGGCTTTGATTTGAGAGAATAATTTACATTTTAGTGAAGTTGAATAGATCCAATAAATTGATTTTTCTTTCTTCTTTTTTGAGATAGAGTCTCACTCTGTTGCCTGGGGCTGGAGTCTCGGCATACTGCAACCTCCACCTCCCGGGTTCAAGTGATTCTCCTGCCTCAGCCTCCCAAGTAGCTGGGGTTACAGGCACCTGCAACCATACCTGGCTAATTTTATGTATTTTTAGTAGAGATGGGATTTCACTGTGTTGGCCAGGCTACTCTTGAACTCCTGACCTTGTGATCTGCCTGTCTCGGCCTCCCAAAGTACTGGGATTACAGGTATGAGCTACCACGCCCAGCCTAAATTGATTTTTCTAAGTGAAGTAGAAAACCTTTTTGGGGCCTGGGTGCAGCGGCTCACACGTGTAATCTTAGCACTTTGGGAGGCCGAGGTAGGAAGATCACTTGAGCCCAGGAGTTTGAGAGCAGCCTTGGCAACACAGGGAGAACCTGGCTTTACAAAAATAAAAAATTAGCCAGGAATGGTGGCCCACACTTGTGGTCCCAGTAACTTGTGGGCTGGGAAGCTGAAGTGAGGTGATCCCTTGAGCCTGGGAGGTTAAGGCTGCAGTGATTCTGTGATTGTGCCATTGAACTCTAGCCTGTGCAACAGAATGAGTTCCATCTCAAAACAAAACTTAAAAACAATTGCTGCATCAAAATCCTTTTTTTTTTTTTTTTTGAGACAGAATTTTGCCCTAGTTGCCCAGGCTGGAGTGCAATGGTGCCATCTTGGCTCACTAAAACCTCTGCTTCCCGGGTTCAAGCGATTCTCCTGCCTCAGCCTCCCAAGTAGCTGGAATTACAGGCATGCACCACCACGCCTGGCCAATTTTGTATTTTTAGTAGAGATGGGGTTTATCCATGTTGGTCAGGCTGGTCTTAAACTCCCAGCCTCAGGTGATCTGTCCATCTCAGCCTCCCAGAATGCTGGGATTGCAGGTGTGAGCCACTGTGCCTGGCCCAAAATCCTTTCTAAAGCATGATGGTATGGGGGCTAGAAGTAAGGGAGAGCATGGTCCTATCTGGGCACATGAAATTCTGCCAGAGAATTAATGTTTTTTGGGGCTGGGTATTTCCAGAGGAAGTTGGCGGAAGTCACAGAAGAAGAGTGGCTGAGCATCCCTGAGGTGGGTGATGCCAGAAACAAACGTCAGCGGAACCCGCGCTACGAGAAGCTGACCCCTGTTCCGGACAGTTTCTTCGCCAAACATTTACAGACCGGCGAGAACCACACCTCAGTGGACCCCCGACAAACCGTGAGCATCCAAAAAAAGGGGCACATGTGGCTTGTTTAGTCTTGCTGGATCAGTGGCAGGATGGCGGGCAGTGTTGGATTCAGTGCTTCTGCAGGTCATGGCTGTGCTCTGGTCGAGTCTGTCTACACAGCTGTGCATGTATCAGGCCACCAGGGAAGTATTTGAGAGAATAGTTCTTTGGCATGAAATGCAAACCATTGTCTTACTCTTCCCGCTACTGTCTTCCTTTCCAGCAATTTGGAGGTCTTAACACACCCTATCCAGGTGGACTAAACACACCATACCCAGGTGGAATGACACCAGGATTGATGACACCTGGCACAGGTGAGCTGGACATGAGGAAGATTGGCCAAGCGAGGAACACTCTGATGGACATGAGGCTGAGCCAGGTGAGTTTGTCTGTAGCATTTTCCTGTAGACAGGTTTAAATATTTTTGTTGTTGTTCTTCTTCGTTTCTTCTTTCTGCTTTTAGTGGTTTGATTTTGCCAGAATAATTCTGCAGTTCTTTTTAATTTTTTAAATTCTGAGACAGAGTCTTTCTCTGTCACCCAGAGGCTGGAGTGCAGTGGCACAATCTTGGCTCACGAAGCCTCCACCTCCTGGGTGGAGAATCAAGTGATTCTCCTAACTCAGCCTCCTGAGTAGCTGGGATTACAGGTATATACTACCACACCTGGCTATTGTTTTGTATTTTCAGTAGAGATGGGGTTTCATCATTTTGTCCAGGCTGGCCTTGAACTCCTGACCTTGTGATCCACCTGCCTCAGCCTCCCAACATGCTGGGATTACAGGTGTGAGCCACTGTGCCTGGCTACGCCTGCCCTTTTTAAAAAAATATATAAAATAATTTTTTTTTTGAGACAGAGTCTCTCTCTGTAGCCCAGGCTGGAATGCAGTGGTACAATTTCGGCTCACTGCAACCTCCACCTCCCAGGTCCCGGTTCAAGCAATTCTCCTGCCTCAGCCTCCTGAGTAGCTGGGATTACAGGCGCTCGCCGCCATGTCCAACTAATTTTTTTTGGTATTTTTAGTAGAGATGGGGTTTCACCATGTTGGCCAGGCTGGTCTTGATTTCCCAACCTTGTGATCCACCCATCTCAGCCTCCCAAAGTACTGGAATTACAGGTGTGAGCCACCTTGCCCGGTCTAATAATAATTTTTTTTAAAGTGTGTTTTCTTCCTGTACCTCAGTAAAATGTCTTATGGCCCAGCATGGAACGTGTACTTTGATCTGGAGATTGGGTATTTTAGACACCAGTGAAGCAGAGACCTCTTTCTGGCATGTACATCAGAAATCGTGAAGGAACACGGTTCCTTCACCATGCTGGCCTGGCCAACACAGTGAAACCCCGTCTCTACTAAAAATACAGAAATTAGCCGGATGTGGTGCTGGGTGCCTATTACGGGTGAAGGAGAATCGCTTGACCCCAGGCGGTGGAGGTTGCAGTGAGCTGAGATTGTACTAGCGCACTCCAGCCTGGGCAATAGAGTGAGAATCTGTCTCAAAAATAAAAAAATGTGACGCAATCAAAGCTCACTACAACCTTGACCTTCCTGGGCTAAGGTGATCCTCCCACCTTAACCTACAGAGTAGCTGAGATTATAGGCCTGTGCCACCACACGCAGCTAATTTTTGTATTTTTTGTTGAGATGGGGTCTCACTATGTTGCCTAAGCTGGGCTCAAGCTCCTGGGCACAATCAATCTGCCTGCGTTGGCCTCCAAAGTGCTGGGATTACAGGCATGAACTATCATACCGAGCCTGAAATTTGTTTACATAGAAATTGTAAAACTTTTCGGGCCAGCCACTCATGCCTGTAATCCTAGCACTTTGAGAGGCCAAGGCAGGAGGATTGCTTGAGCCCAGGAGTTCAAGACCGGCCTGGGAAACATGGTGTTGGTGAGACTCCGTCTTTACAAAATCTAAAAAAGATAACTTGGGCTTGATGGTGCGTGCCTGTAGTCCCAGCTATTAGGGAGGCTGAGGTGGGACGTGGCTTGAGCCAGGGAGTTTGAGGCTGCAGTGGGTTATGATCACGCCACTGCACACCAGCCTGGGTTACCGAGTGAGACTATCTCAAAATAAATAAAACTTTGTCATGGTAATTTTTTCGTGGCAAAATATGTGTAACAAAGGATTTACCATTTTAATCATTCTTAACTGTACGTACCTTCACTGACATAATTATGTTCATCTTGTTATACAGCCTCATCACCATTCATCTCCAGAACTGTTCATCTTCCCAAATTGAAATTCTGTACCCGTTAACACTGACTCCCTATACCCTTTCTCCCCAGCCTCTGGCATCCACCATTCTTTCTGTTTCTATGAATTTTACAACTCTTTGCACCTTGTGTGAGTGGAATCGCGTGGTGTTTACCTTCTTACTGTGACGGGCTTATTTCACTTAGCTCATGCCCTTAAGGTTCATCCATGTTACAGCATGTGCCGGCATGTCTCTTTTTGTTTTTGAGATGAAGTCTCGCTCTTTTACCCAGGCTGGAGTGCAGTGGCGTGATCTTGGCTCACTGCATCCTTTGCCTCCTGGATTCAAACGATTCTCCTGCCTCAGCCTCCTGAGTATCTGGGATTATAGGCACATACCACCATGCCTGGCTAATTTTTGTATTTTTAGTAGAGATAGGGTTTCACCATGTTGGCCAGGCTGGTCTGGAACTCCTGACCTCATGATCTACCTGCCTTGGCCTCCTAAAGTGCTGAGATTACAGGTGTGAACCACCACAGCCGGCCAAAAATTTTGGTTTTTTATAGAGATAGAGTCTTGGGACGGGACCCTGAGGAAGGAGGATTCCTTGAGCCCAAGAGCTGGAGGCTGCCATGAGCTATGATCGCCACTGCACTCCTGCTTGGGTGACAGAGATCCTGTCTCAAAGAAATAAATAAAAATACAGTTCTTTTTTCCATGCAGAAGAAATTGGTTATTATCACAAGGTGTTGTCTGAGTGAAATTAAAGTTGTTTTCTTCTCCTACTATTCACTGCCAGTCAGGATTATGGGAGGGGCTTCAGGGACCTTCTGGGAATTTTGTTTTGTGCCTGGTCATGTCCAGCTCCTGGCCTGTTTCATAGGTGTCTGACTCCGTGAGTGGACAGACCGTTGTGGACCCCAAAGGCTACCTGACAGATTTAAATTCCATGATCCCTACACACGGAGGGGACATCAAGTGAGTGCTTTGTGGAATCGCTGGGCTGGGATGGAGGTGCTAGTGGCCTAGGGTGTTTTGGAGTTTATGTGGAAAATCTGCCGTCAAAACGTGACATGGTTGTTCTAAGAAATACACAGTGGAGTAGTTTGGTTTTTCCATTTGAAAATGTCTGTATCTATTCATCGTGTACACTAAATGTTTTACGTGTAATAGTGCGAGTCTGTGCCTGTGCTGAGTGGGAAAGCAGCCAGCTCTAGATCTGCATGTCCCATCTAGACCTACGGGTCTCAGCATTTGTCTGCGGGGCGGCTGAACGGGCTTGGAATAGGGTGCACTGAGTTTTGAGTTGGTTTGTGTAACTCAGGACATCAGGATTGAGAGTTCTCACGTTGTGACTGTGAAGTGGGTGCCTTCGTTCCGGGTCTGGGTGCACCCTGGCAGCATGGCCTGATGCTGTGTGCACTCCCACTCTTGTAGTGATATCAAGAAGGCACGACTGCTCCTCAAGTCTGTTCGGGAGACAAACCCTCATCACCCGCCAGCCTGGATAGCATCAGCGCGCCTGGAGGAAGTCACTGGGAAGCTGCAAGTAGCTCGGAACCTTATAATGAAGGGGACGGAGATGTGCCCCAAGGTGAGGCATGCTGTGAGGCGTTACCTGGGAGGCTACATAATGGTAGGACCCCTACGGGAGTAAACTCATTAGAGTAAATCTCTTTGTCTTTTGGTATCGAAACTACAGAGAGTGGAACAGGCAGGGGAGGATGTGAAACATGGCCACGTGTTTTTCCTGCTTGTTTTCACATGTACTGAAGGCTGATCCACCATTGGTTTAATGGCAGGCTAAGCTTCCTTCTAAAGAGCTCAGCTGATCAGTTCTTCACCCACCTAATGGCCACCAGGTGCTGTGGCTCACACCTGTAATCTCAGGTCTTTGGGAGGCCGAGGCGGGTGAATCATCTGAGGTCAGGAGTTCAAGACCAGCCTGGCCAACATGGCAAAACCCCGTCTCTACTAAAAATACAAAAATGAGCTGCGCGTGGTGATGGGCACCTGTAATCCCAGCTACTCAGGAGATGGAGGTTGCAGTGAGCCGAGATTGTGCCACTGCATTCCAGCCTGGGGGACAGAGTGAGACTCCGTCTCAAAAATGAACTACCTGAGCAGACACACAGTCTCTGCTTTGTCTGTGGAGTTTTGCAGGGCGTCGTATTCTTTTCACAAAGTGGTGTTTTATGTTCTTTACTCAGACATATGGTAGCACATTCCCAAGTGTTATCATAGGGGCGAGTCCTGTGGCAGGTGTGTTTGAGGCTGAGCTGATTGGCTATTGTAAAATCTGGGGCCCAAGGATCTGCTCTAGAGGTGCCTGCTGCCTGTTGGGGCTTCCAGCCTGCACTGAGCCTTACTGTTCTTGTCTCTTACCTCACAGAGTGAAGATGTCTGGTTAGAAGCAGCCAGGTTGCAGCCTGGAGACACAGCCAAGGCCGTGGTGGCCCAGGCTGTCCGTCATCTCCCACAGTCTGTCAGGATTTACATCAGAGCAGCAGAGCTGGAAACAGACATTCGTGCAAAGAAGCGGGTTCTTCGTAAAGGTGAGCCTCCCTCAGAGGTGCCTTCCACAAGCGGGTGTTCCTGGAGGGTCTGGTCCATCCCTGGTGGTTGCCCTTCCACCAGCAGGGGCTCCTGGGTGTTGGGGTCCGGCATGTCTGCTGGGGGGCTACCGACCTGTGGGAGTCCCCGAGACCGCCAACGCAGATGTCTTGTTCAACCTGAGGGAGAGAGTGCGCGGAAGTGAAAGAAAAAAGGAAAGCGGAGTTTGGAGGTCTGCGTAACTTATGGTCAAAACGCAGCAAGTTTATTCTTGTAGGTTACAGCTTTTATACCTTTTTTCTTGTTACATTCACTTTCTCAGCAAAAAACAGGGGTAAACAGAAAGGAAATAGAAACTCCATAAAAATAGTTATCAGGGGCTTGTGATAACTGCTCACAAAGTAGTTTAAGGGGGCTTGTGATAATAGTTTACAAAGCAGTTTATGTTTTTCAAAGATACCCAGTGCAAGCAAACAATGGTGCCCTTAAGGTGGCTTGTTAATCCTGTTTTCCATCAGGAGGTAGAACAAAGGCTTAGCTCCAGGGAAAATATGGGCAGGGGTCTCTTGTCCCTCTTAGGCATCTCAATTGTAGCAAGTTTATTGCTTACACAGAGACTGATGGGGACATGAAAGCAGACAGCACAATGTCCTCATAAACCGCAGACCTTTGCTTTGTATTCTGATTTTGCCTCAGTGACTCAGCCCGTGACCTTTGTCTCAGCTCGACAGCTCTCGAGAGGGGGGAGTGCAGATAGGTCCAGCAGCCAAGATGGGGCGAGTCACGCTAACTGTCTCAAGCCCTTGGTGTGAATGCTGCACACCTGGGAGCCCTGGTCTCTGAAGGAGGGCTGCTTTCTCCATCCCTGGGGCCCCTCCTCTCAGCAGCTTTCCTGCTTCTGGCTCAGGCTTTGGTGAGAGTGGATCAGGAGCCAGGGACATTTTTCAGGCCTTTCCTCAGGTTGGGTTATCTCTGCTCTTGGACCCTCCATGTGAAAGGTATACTGTGGTTGGCCAGTTCCCATCCTGGAAGGGATGCTTGGGTTGAGCCCTCACTCCTGCCTTTTTCCAGCGTGTGATCTTGGATGTGCTGGGCGGTCACTCTGTGGTCCAGGCTTCCCTCATCTACGGGGTGAGAACAGTAGTAGCTGAAAGCCTGTGTCCTGGGGCTCTGGAGGGCCAGTGAGATGGTCTTTGTGAAGAGCATGCTGAGCCAGCACCTGGCACCTGGCAGACCCTTTGTGGGTGTTATTCATTCTCTCTCCTGAGGGGCACACGTTGACTGAACTCCTGCCTGCTGTTGACAAGGCAGTGCCTCCCAGCTCCTGTGAGGCAGTGTGTGCCATCAGCTCAGGTCAGATAATGACAGGTGGTGTGCCCACCAGGGAATCCGATTCCACCCAGGGATTCCTGCCAGGACAGCGCTTTTGTGGTAGTTGGTTTATTTTTCTTGCTGTGGATTCATTAAAGGAGCACCGTTTCTCTTGTCACCAGAGCTGTGTAGTAGATGCTGCTCTTGAACTGGGTTCAGAACAAGTGCTAGTTGGGGCTGTTCTGAAGTAAATCTGTGTGGTAGCTTCTACTTGAACCCTATTTTTTTTTTTTTTTTTTTTTTTTTTTTTAAAAGAGTCTCATTCTGTTGCCCAGCTGGAGTGCAGTGGCACTATCTATCTTGGCTCACTGTGACCTCTGCCTCCCGGGTTCAAACGATTCTCCTGCTTCAGTCTCCCGAGTAGCTGGGATTACAGGCGTGCACCACCACGCCTAGCTAATTTTTATATTTTTAGTAGATACAGGGTTTCCTCCTGTTGGCCAGGCTGATCTCAAACTCCTGACCCAGGTAATCCTCCCACATCGGCCTCCCAAAGTGCTGGGATTTTAGGCATGAGCCACTGTGCCTGGGCTGTGTGTGTGTGTGTGTGTGTGTGTGTGTGTGTGAGAGAGAGAGAGAGAGAGAGAGAGATGGAGTCTCACTTTGTTGCCCAGGCTGGAGTACATTGGCACAATTTTGGCTCATTGCAACTTCCACCTCCTGGTTCAAGCGATCCTATTGCCTCAGCCATATGAGTAGCTGGGACTACAGGTGCATGCCACCATGCCTGGCTAATTTTTGTGTTTTTAGTAGAGACGGGTTTCACCATGTTGGCCAGGCTGGTCTTGAACTCTTGACCTCAAGTGATCCGCCCACATCGGCCTCCCAAAGTGCTGGGATTATCAGCATGAGCCACTGCACGCAGCATAAATTTATTTTTGAGATAGTGTCTCGCTTTGTCACCCAGGCTGGAGTGCAGTGGCGCAATCTTGGCTCACTGCAACCTCCACTTCCCAGGCTCAGGCAATCCTGCTTGCTTAGCCTCCTGAGTAGCTGGTACTATAGGTGCCATCACTGCGCCCAGCTGTTTCTAATTTTGGTAGAGATGGGATCTTGCTATGTTGTTCAGGCTGGTCTCAAACTCCTGGCCTCAAGTGATCCTCCTGCCTTGATTTCCCAGAGGGCTGGGATTATAGGCATGAGCCATTGCATCCAGTCTGTTCTTCCTGAATTTATAGCCTTGGAAAAATAAGGTGTATTTTGTGGAATCAAGGATAGTTTTCAGTGAGAGCTTTCCAGCTCTCGTTTTTTTCAAATGTGTTTTAAGTGAAATATCATATAGTGATGGGTCACATTGAGGCTTCTGTGCCGTTAGTCAGGGCTGTGCAGGTGAGGGTCTCTTTGCTAGAAAGTCCCTTATTAAATACAGTTTATTCACTTCCGTCCACGTTTGTCGGAGGCCAGGTGAAATCGTCTTGCCAGTGGCCCGAGTTACCCCCGCCTTGTACTCTCATCAGTGAACATGCTTTCTTCTGTAGGGGCTGGGGCAGCCCAGCTACTCAGTGAGTGCGCAGAGACAGCCTCTTATAATGGGGCCAGGGACAGAGAGTGAGCACCTGCCTTGGTTTGTAGAGATCATTTTATATTTTTTCAGCTGGGAAGAAATCATTCTTTGATGAAAAGCACATTAAAGTCTGGGTAATTAGTATTGTTTATTTAGGAAAGCTCTATTGAATTCTTCCTGCCACAGTTTGATGAATGATCATGAATGTCTTTGTGGCCACTCCCTGCTCACCACCAGATTGTCTGGGTTCATTTCCAGTTGACTTTGGATTTGGAGGGGAGTATGCTGTTGGAGGTGGGTACTGTCAGGGAGTGTTGAGGGACTGTTTCCATGGCCATCCTCAGGGAACAGCCTCCTGGCTCTGCTCTCTGGGGCACAAAAGCTGTGCTAAGGTGGAATGAACCCTGGATCTCCAGGACGGCCTTTGCCACTGCCCCTCATACTGGTCCTGGCCTGCCCCTTCCCAAGAGTGTTTCCAAGACCAGTGCTCTTTTTCTGGGGTGAAGTCCAGCACTGCTTCATTTGTCGTTAGTGAACACTTAAAAGTGGCTTGGAAGGTCAGGTTTTTGAAATTAAGATGATGACTTAGGACACCTGCCAGCCAGGAAGCCGGGCAGGGTATGGTCTCTGTGAGCTCTGGGTCGCTGTTAGGCTGAGCTGACACCTTAGTCCTTTGTTGGGAGAACAGGCGTTTCGGGTGCTGGTCTTGAGAGCTGAGGAAGCTGGGTAATCTTGGCCATGGTGCTTGACCTCTGAGCTTCCTTCCGTGTCTTCATCTGTAAAAAGGAAGAGGGCTTTCAGGATTGGGGAGGGTGCAGCATGTGAGCTTACCGGCCGGAATGGGGTGTCCCATGTGCAGAGTGCCCTGGGGAGGCCCGGCTGGCAGCTCCCCTACAATAACGCAGCTCACAGGACATGTGAAGTGCCTTGTGACTCCGCTAGTTAATGCAGATGTGTGAAAGTGGAGTTAACTTTACACTAAAGCGATAGCCTCTGGCCTGTGACACATGGCATCCTTCAGCGGCCATCACTGTCCCTCTGGGGGTGCAGGAATGGCACAGTCAGGTCGGGGGGTCTTTCCTGCAGTTAACTTATTCCCCAGAGAGCATGTTGGCCTCTGCACGGTCGCATCTTCACAGCTTCATCTAGCATTCAGAATATGCTTTTCCTGTTCTAGGCCAGCTTTAGGGGCGTAAGGTTCCTTTACATTGGCTGGCTGTGGTGCTGCCTCCGCTTCTGCTCATAAAGTGACACTCCTTGGAGGCCATTGCAACTTGGTGTGCCATGTGCCTTCTGAAAGCTCCGGGAGAAGGTGGCCTTGTTGGCTTTAGTGCCATGCCTGTGGGCTGCTGATGAGATGCCACTGGAGATAACGTCAGCTCTCTCCAGAAACTTGAAGACACAGAATCCTGGGGGTCATAAGTTAATGACTACAAAAATTTAGTCCCACATGAATATTCTGTTCTTTAGAGACATGAAGTTCATCTCCACCAATGTACAGAGTAATAAGAAGTAGTTCATATTTAGACAAATAGAGCTCCCCTCTCCCATGCAGGAGGTGAGAGCACATGGGAAAACCAGCTTCGTGGTTCCGTGTCTCCTCCTCGTCCCTGGTCACCTGGTTGGAGGTTAGGAGGGAGCAGCTGTGACGTTTATGTCTTCTCCCTGTCCCTTGTCGCTCTTTTCGAGGTTAGGGCTTTCTTTACTTACTGCTGTGCCCTCTGCTATCACCCTACTCGGTCAAGGTTCTTGACCTGGATGAGTAACCCAAATCTTTTTTTTTTAAGACAGAGTCATCCTGTTGCCCAGTCTGGAGAGCAGTGGTGCAATCAGCTCACTGCAGCCTCAGCCTTCTGGGCTCTAGTGATTCTCCTGCTTCTGGCTCTTGAGTAGCTAGCACCACAGGCACATGCCACCATGCCCAGATAATTTTTATTTTGAGACAGGATCTACCTCTCTTGCCTAGGCTGGAATGCAGTGGCATGATCATAGGTCACTGCAGCCTCAACCTCCCAGTCTCAAACTATCTTCCTGTCTCTGCCTCCTGAGTAGCTGGGTCTCCAGGGACATACCATCATGCCTGTCTAATTTTTTAGTTTTTCATAGAGACAAGGTCTCCCTATGTTGCCCAGGCTGGTTTTGAACTCCTGGGCTCAAGTGATCCTCCTACCTCAGTCTTCCAAAATGCTGGGATTCTAGATGTGGGCCACTGTGCCCAGCGAGGACCCAAATCTTTATCCGCAAAGGGTCTGACTTGCTGGTAGTTCTGCTCTTTTGGCGGCTGTAGTTCCCATTAACTTTTACTCATAGAAGCAGAAATACTAAACTGTACTCAGGACCAGCCTCTAGATAGCCTCTCCCAGAAGGTGGCAGCAGTCTGGCTTTGATGATCAGGATTAGCCTCTGCAGCCAGGGCTGGTACACAGGGAGGCCATAGGGAGCTGTGGCATGCACCCTGGTTGGCACATACTCCCTTTGGACTAGTTCTCTTGACAGTAGGGTCCAAAGAGGCAGAGATGGGACCTGTGGCAGCAGAGCCATTCAGACATCATTGCCTATTCCTAGATCCATGTGTTCTGGCTGTGAGGTCCAGCTGGGATTGGTGTCTATTCATAGCATTTGTGACGTCCTCCTGGGCTGCTAGGCCATGGCTCTGAGTGGTGGGCATGTGGTAAGACCATCTTCTGCCTGCATCAGTGAATTCACGTAGCTTTATCTTCTGGCCATCTTTCAGTTGGTCAAGCAGACAACCAGGTAATAAGGCCAGGGCTGTCAGTGCCAGTGTGCTGTGTGGAACCACAGTGGGCTTTTGCCTCCTGAGTCCCTTAATCCTAAGGAACTCCCCAGAGGCTGTAAGTGTGGGTTGAGGGAGGAAGGCAGTTGAGCAGCTATCAGTGTGGGAGGCGTCTGCCATGACTCAGGCAGCATACCTGTGCTGCACCTGCCTGCCTTCCCCCCCATCTTCTGGGTTTCATTCCCACCCTATGAGTTCACTGCTGCATCTGTGCAACCTTGTGGCTTGGTCTGTCAGTAACATCCCAAGTGGGCAGCAGGTTGCTCAGTAATTTTATATCCCTTAGCTGAGTGTTCATTCCCCGCCAGGGCCTCACAGCCAGCCAGGGGCTGTTTCTCAGCAGGAGAGCAGGTACCTGCAGGAGAGCTTAGCTAGCTCGCTTGCCCCCTCCCCTCCCCACTCCTTTTCCTTCCTCTCCTCTTTCCTCCCCTTCCCCTCCCCTCCCCTCCTCTGCCCTCCCTTCTCCTTTTTTCTCTCTCTCTCTCTTTTTTTTTTGAGACTGGGTCTCCCCCTATTACCTAGGCTGGAGCTGGAGTTCAGTGGTGCAGTTTTGGCTTACTGCAACCTCCACCTCCTGGGCTCAAGCAATCCTCCCCTCTCAGCCTCGCAGGTAGCTGGGACCACAAGCACATGCAACCATGTCCAGCTAATTTTTGTATTTTTTTTCGTAGAGACAGGGTTTTGCCATGTTGTCCAGACTAGTCTCGAACTCCTGGGCTCAAGCAATCCTCCCACCTCAGCCTCCCAGAATGCTGGGATTACAGATGTGAGCCACTGCAATCAGCCACCTGGACTAATTTCTTTCTTTCTTTTTCTTTTTTTTGGAGTCGGAGTCTCTCTCTGTCACTCAGGCTGGAGTGCAGTGGCACAATCTTGGCTCACTCCACCTCAACCTCCTGGATTCAAGAGATTCTCCTGCCTCAGCCTCCCCAGGAGCTGTGATTACTGGTGCCCACCACCATGCCCGGCTAATTTTTATATTTTTAGTAGAGATGGGATTTCACCATGCTGGCCAGGCTGGTTTTGGACTCCTGACCTTAGGTGATCTGCCTGCCTTGGCCTCCCAAAATTCTGGTATTACAAGCATGAGCTTCTGTGCCCGGCCTAATTTCTTCTTTTAAAAAAAAAAAAAAATTTATTTTATTATTTTAATTAATATGCATGCCATTGCACAGTCTAATTGCTTAACATCATTGAATATCTACAACATTTATTGTTTTCCGGCTGTCATGTCAGTACCTGCCACACACTCATGCACACAGAACCACATGCACACACAGTTGGTTTGAATCAGCATTTAAGCAGAGTCTGAACATTGCCATTTGGTTGATGTCTTTTCTGGGTTCTTTGACGGAATTGGGTTGTTTCTTCTTGAGATTGCTTATGTCAAGGTTTTGCTCACTGCAGGCATGAGATTGTTTCATGTGGGTCCTCCGTTTCCTCTATTCTCTTATAAATTGGAAGGTAGATTTGGACTTAAGAGTAAGCTTTGATTTTTTTCTTTTCTTTTTTCTAAAGAAAGTATTAGTGGTGATCCAAGCAGCATCAGGAGCTGCAGAGGCTGTCACTGCTTGGTGGCCACAGTATCCTTCATGGAGTTCTCCACAGCCTTTCAGCTCCTGCCTTTGGCAGTGGCTGGTGACTGGTGCCTGCCTCTATGACTTTATCGGGTGTGCAAAATGGTGACATTACAGTTAGGTCACTCTTTTTGCTTTTATTGCCAGAATTATTCTAAAGAGAAGAACTTTCCTGTATCCATGGTTTGGTTATTCTGGGTTTATTTAGGAAAGACAGATACTTGATTTGCTCTCCTTTCAAATTTTGGAATGGTGAGTTGGTTCTTTAGCATCCTCCAAGGATAACTGCCGGTCTCTTTTAGCTTTGCTATGAACTTTGAATGCTGTTGTATTTTGTGGGTTCGAATACACTGCAGATAACTTTTTTTTTTTTTTTGAGACGGAGTCTTGCTCTGTCATTCAGGTTGGAGTGCAGTAATGCAGTCTCAGCTCACTGCAGCCTCCACCTCCTGGGTTCGAGTGATTCTTCTCCCTCAGCCTCCTGAGTAGTTGGGACTACAGGTGCATATCACCATGCCTGGCTAATTTTTTGTGTTTTTAGTAGAGACAGGGTTTCACCATGTTAGCCACGATGGTCTTGATCTCCTGACCTTGTGATCTGCCTGCCTTGGCCTCCCAAAGTGCTGGGATAATAGGCATGAGCCACCGTGTCCAGCCTGCATTGCAGGTAATATTCTTATTGACCTTCAGACTCTGATCATTGGCCATTGGGAGTCTCTTCTAGTTTGCTCTTGAATTTTTTTTTTTTTTTTTTTTTGAGACAGAGTTCCGCTGTTGTTACCCAGACTGGAGTGCAATGGCACGATCTCGGCTCACCGCAACCTTCACCTTCTGGGTTCGAGCAATTCTCCTGCCTCAGCCTCCCGAATAACTGGAACTACAGGCGCGCACCACTATGCCCAGCTAATTTTTGTATTTTTAGTAGAGACGGGGTTTCACCTTGTTGACCAGGATGGTCTCGATCTCTCGACCACCCGCTTGGATCCACCTGCCTTGGCCTCCCAAAGTGCTGGGATTATAGGCATGAGCCACTGTGCCCGGCCTCTTTTTATTTTATTTTATTTTTTGTTAAGTTTTACATAGTTTTATTTTAAGGGAAAACAGGTAAAAATGAGGTATTTCAGTCACCAGCTTTTTTCCCCCCTAAATATCTTAAGTAAATTATATAGATCTTAAGTGTACAGTTTGATGTCTTCATATATGCACCCGTGTAACCCACACTTGACCAAGGCATGGAACATTTCCAGGGCAGGCGCCGTGGCTTATGTCCGTATTCCCAGCACTTTGGGAGGCTGAGGTGGGCGGATCACTTGAGGTCAGGAGTTTGAGACCAGCCTGGCCAATGTGGTGAAACCCTGTCTCTACTGAAAATACAAAAATTAGCCAGGCGTGGTTGTAGGCACCTGTAGTCCCAGCTACTTGGGAGGCTGGAGCAGGAGAATCACTTGAACCCAGGAAGCAGAGGTTTTAGTGAGCTGAAATTGCACCATTGCACTCCAGCTTGGGTGACAGAGTGAGACTCTGTCTCAAAACAAAAACAAAAGCATTTTTGTCCCCCCAGAAAGTCCCCTGGTGCCTCTCAGTCAATCCGCACTTCCCCATTTGTTGACAGTCATGCTTCTGACTTATTGCACCAAGATTAGTTTTGCCTGTTTTCAAAAGTCACATAACAAGTGTCATACAGTAGAAACTCTTTTGGGACTGGTTTCTTTCGTTCCACATGTTTTTGAGGTTCATTCCTGTTGTTGCTGGTGTCATGAGTCCTGTTGATGTGATCCTGGCAGTCTTCAGTCACCTTCTTGCTTTCTGCTTCCACAAGATGGTTGTTTGTCCTTGTTTGTGTCTGCCCCAGATCTGAAGGAACACATGTACAGGGCAGGTGTATGGTTCTTGACTGTCACTGGGGAAGCCCACCTCACCCTGACCAGCAGCATGTTCGCCACCTGAGCCTCCTGCTCTTATCTCCTTTTCTGTGACGTGGTTTCTCTTTTGACCTTTCCTAGCCCTCGAGCATGTTCCAAACTCGGTTCGCTTGTGGAAAGCAGCCGTTGAGCTGGAGGAGCCTGAAGATGCTAGAATCATGCTGAGCCGGGCTGTAGAGTGCTGCCCCACCAGTGTGGAGGTGAGTCTGGTGGGCTCAGGGCCACCACAGTCCAAAGTGGCCAAGGCCTGAGCCCAGGTTCAGTGTCTGGAAGTGACTCTGTAAGCATGTAAGCAGAGCACCGAGCTCATTCAGGCTGCGATTTCTGTGAGCAGAAGACCATGGGGAACCCCAGTCTGCTGTTCTGTATGCAGCTGCTTGGCAGGGTGGTCAGTGGCTTCAGCTGGTTATGCTCTTCATGGAAGTGCAGAGAGAATCTTACCTCATCCGTGATGACTATAGAAAATGTCTGTTGGGCACTCTCTCAGGGGCCATTCTTCTCATTCAGCTCAGAGTTTTTCATGGGAGCTGAAGGTGGCAGGGAGATAGAAAACATTGCTTTCTGCCAGCCCCGCATGTCTGCTCTTTGCCTCAAAGCTAGTGGGATTTCTTTGGTTTTAAGCATTCCAGTTTACAGCATTCTGTGCAGTGATTTTTAGTCTTGGTTTTATGATACTCAGTATGTCTTTAATTATGTTAAGGGGTATTGTGAAATTCTGCAAACAAAATTAATCTTATTTTATTTACATAAAAATAAATAAAGCCCGTACACATTTTAGGGATGGAATGTTGCAGAGTCAACATTGCTAGGGGTCTGGGAACTCCAGGAGACTGAACGCCTTTCTATGTGTTTAGCCCATGAAGGCAGTAGCCTCGTCCTGCTTATCTGTGCCAGGACCCTGGTATCAGGTCTGGCGTGCTGTGCGCCTGGAGGCAGTGTTTGTGAGCATTCAACTGAGAATCTTTTCACACTCACCAACTTTTCATGCTCACTAGTCACTAAGTCAGTCAGAAGCATAAGAGAACAGTTGATCAGGTGAGAAATGTTGCTGTGAACACTTCTCAGGCTATGTTCAAATGGTTCTCGAGAGCTAAGGAAGAACGTGGTGGCCACACTGGGGGCCTGTTGAGGGTGGGTTGCTGTCTGGCCTGCAGCTGTCCCTGCAGCACTGTGTCCTCTCCTTTTTCTGGTGTCCTCTTCGTGTAGCTCTGGCTTGCTCTGGCAAGACTAGAGACCTATGAAAATGCCCGCAAGGTCTTGAACAAAGCGAGGGAGAACATCCCTACAGACCGACATATCTGGATCACAGCTGCTAAGCTGGAGGAAGCCAATGGGAACACTCAGATGGTGGAGAAGATCGTTGACCGAGCCATCACCTCGCTGCGGGCCAACGGGGTGGAGATCAACCGAGAGCAGTGGATCCAGGTAGGCTGCAGGCAGGTGTCGCGGTGTCTGCTTTCACAGTGTACGTGCTGCACATGAGAGTCCTGCACGGGCCTGGGGGCTGCTGAATGGTGCTGGGGAGTCCTGGGCTGGCCGCAGAAGCAGAGGTGTGGCTGGGCCCTGAAGGACCTGGGCATGCCCACTGTCACTCTTGATAGATTCAAGGCCTAGAGTTCGTCTTGGGGTGAATGCTTCTGAAGCCCTTTCAGTGTGTGCACACCTGACTGCATTTCTTTTCTAGTAGAAACCGTACACCTAAAAGAGAATGACAGGAACTCTTGCGGCTTCTTTTACTCTTCTTCCTGCCTTTTTGTTTTTGTTTGTGAGTAGGGGTCTTGCTCCGTCACCTAGGCCTGAGTGCAGTGGTGTGATGTTGGCTCCCTGCAACCTCCACCTCCTAGGTTCAAGCAATTCTCCTACCTCAGCCAACTGAGTAGCTGGGATTACAGGCACCTGCCACCACGCCCAGCTAATTTTTGTATTTTTAGTAGAGACAGGGTTTCACCATGTTGGCCAGTTTGGTCTCCAACTCCTGACCTCAAGTCATCTGCCCACCTTGGTTTTCCCTGACTTTTAGCTTTTTCTGTAGACTTAGGCTGTAGAAAAGTCTCGAAAGGGCTACGCATGGTGGCTCGTGCCTGTAATCCCAGCACTTTGGGAGGCTGAGGTGGGCGGATCACAAGGTCAGGATTTTCAGATCAGCCTGGCCAACATGGTGAAACCCTGTCTCTACTAAAAATATAAAAATTAGCTGGGTGTGGTGGCAGGTGCCTGTAATCCCAGCTGCTCGGGAGGCTGAGGCAGGAGAATCGCTTGAACCTGGGAGGCGGAGGTTGCAGTGAGCCAAGATCACACCAGTGCATTCCAGCCTGATTGATATTATGAGACTCCATCTCAAAAAAAAAAAAAGTCTCCAAAGATTGTCTAACTCTGGAAGTAGGGCTTGGGTTCCCTCTATGCCTTTATTTTTTCTTTTTTTGAGATGGAGTCTTGCTGTCTCGCCCAGGCTGGAGTGGTGCAGTGGTGCAATCTCAGCTCACTTCAACCTCTGCCTCCTGGGTTCAAGCCATTTTCCTGCCTCAGCCTCCCAAGTAGCTGGGATCATAGGCATGTGCTGCCATGCCCGGCTTATTTTGTATTTTTAGAAGAGACTGGGTTTCTCCGTGTTGGTCAGGCTGGTCTCAAACTCCCGACCTCATGATCCACCTGCCTCAGCCTCTCAAAGCTGGGATTATAGGCGTGAGCCACCGTGCCCGGCCTTAATTGCACCCCCCCGTTTTTGTTTTTGTTTTTTTTGAGACAGAGTTTCGCTCTTGTTACCCAGGCTGTAGTGCAATGGCACGATCTTGGCTCACCGCAACCTCCGCCTCCTGGGTTCAGGCAATTCTCCTGCCTCAGCCTCCCGAGTAGCTGGGACTACAGACGCGGGCCACCATGCCCACCTAATTTTTGTGTTTTTAGTAGAGACAGGGTTTCACCATGTTGACCAGGATGGTCTCGATCTCTTGACCTTGTGATCTACCTGCCTCGGCCTCCCAAAGTGCTGGGATTATAGGCGTGAGCCACTGTGCCCGGCCCTTTTTTGCCTTTTTTTAAGGAGTCACCCACTGAGCTATGTTTCTCTCAAGAAAAATGAATAATGAAATTATTATTTCTGGCTGAGCATGGTGGCTCACGCCTATAATCCCAGCACTTTGGGATGCCGAGGTGGACGGATCAGGAGGTCAAGAGATCAAGACCATCCTGGCCAATATTTTAGTAGAGAACATCCCCATCGCTACTAAAAATACAAAAAAAAAAATTAGCTGGGCATGGTGGCACATGCCTGCAGTCCTAGCTTACTCAGGAGGCTGAGGCAGGAGAATCGCTTGAACCTGGGAGGCAGAGTTACAGTGAGCTGAGATCGTGCCACTGCACTCCAGCCTGGCCATAGAACAAGACTCTGTCTCAAAAAAAAAAAAAAAAACAAGATTAAAAAATTATGATTTATGTTTTATTTTATGACAGTTTTCCTTTTCTTCTTCTTTTTTTTTTTTTTTTAAGAGGCAGGGTCTTGCTGTGTTGCTCAGGCTAGAGTGCAGTGGTGCATTCATGGCTCACTGCATCTTTGATCTCCTGGACTCAAGTGATCCTCCTGCCTTAGCCTCCCAAGTAGCTGGCACTGCAGGCGTGTGACACCATGCTTGGCTAATTTTTTTATTTTTACTTTTTGCCTTGTTATGCTGCCAAAGCTGGTCTTAAACTCCTGGCCTCCAGCGATCCTACCACTTCAGCCTCCCAAAGTGTTGGGATTACAGGCATCAGCTGCCATACCCAGCCAAAGGTGGTTAATTAAGCTATAATTAACATATCATAAAAGCTACCCATTTAAAGTTTATGATTCTGTGGTTTTTAGTGTATTCACAAAGTTATGCATCTGTTACTACAATCTTAGCACCTTTTCATCACTCCAGAAGGAAATCCTGTATCCATTAGTTGTTGCTCCCCATTTACATACCTCTATAGCCTTTTTTTTTTTTTTTTTTTGAGACAGGGTTTTGCTCTGTCTCCCAGGCTGGAGTGCATGGTGCAGTCTATCTTGACTCTGCAACCTTTGCTTCCTGGGCTCAAGAAGTTCTCCTGCCTCAGCCTCCTGAGTAGCTGGGACTACAGGTGTGCGCCACCATGCTTGGCAAATTTTTTTGTGTTTTTTGTAGAGATGTGATTTTGCCATGTCATTCAGGCTGGCAAAATCACCTGTCCTTAGCACAGGTGATCCACCCGCCTCGGCCTCTCAGAGTGCTGGGATTGTAGGCATGAGCCACCACACCTGTCTAACCTTGCTTTTTAACTTTCTTTCTCTGTACTTTTTTTTCCTGGACATTTTGTATATGAATCCTCTTCAATTTATACATCCTGATTAACCCATTGTAAGCTGAAAATATCGTAAGTCTAAAATGCATTTGAGGCTGGGTGTCGTAGCTCATGCCTGTAATCCCAGCATTTTGGGAAACTGAGGCAGGCAGATCACTTAAGGTCAGGAGTTCAAGACCAGCCTGGCCAACATGGTAATACCTCATCTCTACTAAAAATACAAAAAAATAAGCCAGGCTTGATGGCGAGCACCTGTAATCTGAGCTATTTGGGAGACTGAGGCAGGAGAATTGCTTGAACCCAGGAGGCAGAGGTTGCTGTGAGCCAAGATGGTGACACTGCACTCCAGCCTGGGTGACAGAGTGAGACTCCATTTCAAAAAATAAAAAAATAAAATGCATGTGATACACCTAACCTATTGAACTTTATAGCTTAGCCTAACCTACATTAAACATGCTTACCTTAGCCTACAGTTGAGCAAAGTCATTGAACATAAAGTGTTGAATGACTCATGTAATTTATTGAATACTTTGGTGAAAATGAAAAACAGTAGTGGTTTGAGTCAAAGTGTTACTTCCACTGAATGCATGTGGCTTATGCACCATCCCACACTGGGGGCCTCCTGTGAGTGGAATCACACGATATGTGATCTTTTGTGACTGGCCTTAACTTAGTGCATTTTCGGGGTTCCTCCATGTTGTAGCATGGAGGTATCGAAATCCTTTACTTTTAAATTGGATTGTGTCTTTATTATTGTCTATGTATTATTTTTGTCTATTGTTTTATTATTGAGTTGTAAGAAATGTTTTTATAGGTTCTGGATATAGTCACTTATCAGATACATGATTCACAAATACAGATGGCCCCTGACTTCCCATGGTTTGACTTTACTGTGGTTCAGAAGCCGTGTGCCTTCAGTAGAGACTGTACATGGAGTAAGAGCCAGCACCTTTGTTGCAGGCACTGAGGTCTGGATGCTGGCTCATTGCCCACTGACCTGCCCAGGAGTTCTCAGCACTGACCTTCTCACCAGCATCTCTGCCTCAGATACTTGCTCTTGGCTCTGTTTTCTGACTGGGATGGTTTTCTGGTGCTGGCAGGGCCCAGAGGGTGTGGGGGCACCTGGCTCCTGTGGTACTTCACTCGCTCATGTCATGGTCCCCCAGGTTGGTGCGCCATGGTGGTGCCTGTGCCCCTGCACCCTGTCGCTCTGGCTGGCTTGGCAGACTCTGGTTGGTAGACACATTGTCTTGCACTTGTGGGAATATATTTGTAAGATGAATGCCTTAAAGTAGAACTGCTGGGTCAAATATGTGCATGTTTTATTTTGATAGAGAATGAGAACTTGCCCTCCATAGAGATATGTGCTTCTTAGGAGATTTATGCCCATCATCACCACGTGAGCCAGTCAGCAAATGTTTCAGTGTTGCTCATCTGAAACGTGCAAAATGGAACTTAGAATTGTTTAATTAGCATCTTGAAAATAAGAATGGGGGCTGAGTGTGGTGGCTCATGCCTGTATCTCCAGCACTCTGGGAGCCCAAGGATCACTTGAGCCCAGGAGTTGAGGACACCATTGTTCTCCAGCCTAGGTGACCCAGTAAGACCCTGTCTCAAAAAAAGAATGGGGCCAGGCATGGTTGCTTATGCATTAATCCCAGCACTTTGGGAGGCTAAAGCAGAATTACTTGAGACCAGGAGTTTAAGACTGGCCTGGGTAACATAAGGAGAAGACCCCGTTTCTACAAAAATAATGTAATAATGGACATGCTGGTACATGTCTGTAGTCCTAGCTACTCGGGAGGCTGAGATGGGAGGCTCCCTTGGGTCTGGGAGTTGGAAGCTGCAGTAAGCTATAATTGCACCGCAGCACTCCAGCTTGAGTGATGGCCGGGAGACCTTGTCTCTCTTTCTCTCTCCCTCTTTTTTTTTTCAAGTTGGAGTCTTGCTTTGTCACCCAGGCTGGAGTATAGTGGTGTGATCTGGGCTCACTGCAACCTCCGCCCCAGCCTCCTGAGTAAGCTGGGATTACAGGGGCCTGCCACCACCCCTGGCTAATTTTTTTTTTTTTTTTAGTAGAGACGGGGTTTCACCAGGTTGGCCAGGCTGGTCTCAAATTCCTGACCTGTGATCTGCCCTCCTTGGCCTCAGAGTGCTGGGATTACAGGCCTCAGACACCACACATGGCCGAGACCTTGTCTCTTAAAAATAAAATGGGTTAAAAAAAATACAAAAAAGAAAAAAAAAGAACCAGGCGTGGTGGCTCACGCTTGTAATCCAAGCACTTTGGAGGCCAAGGTAGGCGGATCACCTGAGGTTGGGAGTTCAAGACCAGCCTGACCAACATGGTGAAACCCCGACTTCAAAAAATACAAAAAATAAAAATAAATAAAAAAGGTTTACATTTATTTCCACATGTTTAAAAGTTGTTTGTGTTCCGTCTGACGCGCCTGCGGCTGCGGCGGGGCTATGGCGAGTGGCGGTGGTGGGGGTAACACCGGTGCAAGTGGGGGGCCGGGGATGGGCCTAAGCCTAGGCCTGGGTCTGGGTCTGAGCCTAGGCATAGGTGAGGCCACCGGCGAGGCAGAGGAGGCGGCGGCCACGGCCAAGGCGGTGGGACGCCTGGCCAGGACGCTGTGGCTGCAGCTCCGCAGTTGGGAGGCGGTGCTGGTGGCGGCACAGCAGCTGCTGGTGTGGGAGAAGCCGCTGCACAGCCTGGTCGCGGCTGCTGCACTTAACAGCCTCTTCTGGTTGCTGTCTTCCTCGTCCCTCCGGCCCTTCTTCCTACTCAGCATCTCACTTTTGGCCTATTTTCTGCTGGATCTCTGGCAGCCTTGCTTTCTCCCTGATGTTTCAGCATCATCCCCGGACGAGCCACACTCTGACAGTGAGGGTGTGGGGTCAGGCGCCCGATCGCACCTGCTGAGTGTGCCCGAGTTGTGCAGATACCTGGCTAAGAGCTGGCTCACTTTCCAGATTCACCTACAGGAGCTGCTGCAGTACAAGAGGCAGAATCCAGCTCAGTTCTGTGTTCGAGTCTGCTCTGGCTGTGCTGTGTTGGCTGTGCTTGGACACTATGTTCCAGGGATTATGATTTCCAACATTGTCTTGTTGAGTATCCTGCTGTGGCCCCTAGTGGTTTATCATGAGCTGATCCAGAGGGTGTACACTCGCTTGGAGCCCCTGCTCATGCAGCTGGACTACAGCATGAAGGCAGAAGCCAGTGCCTTGCATCACAAACATGACAAGAGGAAGCGGCAGGGGAAGAATGCACCCCCAGGAGGTGATGAGCCACTGGCAGAGACAGAGAGTGAAAGCATGGCAGAGCTGGCTGGCTTCTCCCCAGTGGTGGATGTGAAGAAAACAGCATTGGCTTTGGCCATTACAGACTCAGAACTGTGAGATGAGGAGGCTTCTATCTTGGAGAGTGGTGGCTTCTCTGTATCCCGGGCCACAACTCTGCAACTGACTGATGTCTCTGAGGATTTGGACCAGCAGAGCCTGCCAAGTGAGCCAGAGGAGACCCTAAGCCGGGACCTAGGAGAGGGAGAGGAGGCAGAGCTGGCCCCTCCTGAAGACCTACTGGGCCGTCCTCAAGCCCTGTCAAGGCAAGCCCTGGACTCCCAGGAAGAGGAAGAAGATGCGGCAGCTAAGGAAACCTTGCTTTGGCTCTCATCCCCCCTTCAACTTTGTGAACACGCACTTCATTGGGGCAGGGTCCCCTTCAGATGGAGTGAAATGCACCCCTGGAGGACCGGTGGAGACACTGAGCCCCGAGACAGTGAGTGGTGACCTCACTGCTCTGCCCAGCACCCTGTCACCCCAACTTTGGCTTGCTGAAAGTGACCTGGCCCCCTCCCCCTCCATTCTCCCACCTGTTTCCCAGGACTCACCTTAGCCCCTGCCTGCCCCTGAGAGGAAGAAGAGGCACTCACCACTGAGGACTCTGAGTTGCTGGATCAGGCGGAGCTGGAACAGCTGAATGCAGAGCTGGGCTTGGAGCCAGAGATACCCCTAAAACCCCCTGATGCTGCACCCCTGGGGCCTGACACCCATTCTCTGGTACAGTCAGACCAAGAAGCTCGGGCCTTGGCAGAGCCATGAGCCATTCGGGAAGGAGCTGCAGGCACAGGAGGGCTTCCTGGCTAGGAGTGTTGCTGTTTCCTCCTTTGCCTACCACTCTGGGGAGGGGCAGTGCGTGGGGAAGCTGGCTGTTGGATGGTAGCCATTCCACCCTCTGCCTGCCTGCCTGCTGTCCTGGGCATGGTGCAGTACCTGTGCCTAGGATTGGTTTTAAATTTGTAAATAATTTTCCATTTGGGTTAGCAGATGTGAACAGGGCTAGGGAAGTCCTTCCCACAGCCTGCGCTTGCCTCCCTGCCTATCTCTATTCTCATTCCACTATGCCCCAAGCCCTGGTGGTCTGGCCCTTTCTTTTTCCTCCTATCCTCAGGGATCTGTGCTGCTCTGCCCTTATGTCCCACTTGGTTGTTTAGTTCAGGCACTTTATAATTTTTCTCTCCTGTCTTGCCTCTGCTTTATTTCCTTGCTGTGTCCTGTCCTTAGCAGCTCAACCCCACCCTTTGCCAGCTCCTCCTATCCCATGGGCACTGGCCAAGCTTTAGGGAGGCTTCTGGTCTGGAAAGTAAAAAGTAAACCTGGGGCGGTGGGTCAGGCCAGTAGTTACACTCTTAGGTCACTGTAGTCTGTGTAACCTTCACTGCTCCTTGCCCCATTCAGCCTGGCCTTTCATGATGCAGGAGAGCAGGGATCCCACAGCACATGCGCCAGCGCTGGAGTTGGTGAGCATGCGCTCTGTGTCTTGAGATGAGGGGCTTCCTTACAGCTCCTCTGGGTGGTCCAAGTATAGTGGGACCCCCTACTAGGGTCAGGAAGTGGACAGTAACATCTGTGCAGGTGTTGACTTGAAAAATAAAATGTTGATTGGCTAGGAAAAAAAAAACGTTGTTTGTATTTTTATTTTCTGGTGAACAGTGTGTCTGTGTCCTTTGCGACATTTCTCTGTTTTTTTCCGATTGGTGTGCAATAGATTCACTTCCTCAGCTCCTTGCTAGGCAATATAAGCATCTCATGCTGATGTTTCTCAGTCTGACCATCCAGGAACACCATGCTCCCTGTTGGGAATCTGCAGATCTGATTTCCAAAATCAAAAATAATTTCTGTTTTCCTCTTTCAGGATGCCGAGGAATGTGACAGGGCTGGGAGTGTGGCCACCTGCCAGGCCGTCATGCGCGCCGTGATTGGAATTGGGATTGAGGAGGAAGATCGGAAGCACACCTGGATGGAGGATGCTGACAGTGTGAGTTGGCAGCAGGGGCCTTTGTCCCCATCGTGGAGTCTCTGCTCGTGGGAACGGCAGGCACCTTAACTAGTAGGCTGTTTTAAAACTTTCACATACACTTGTTTGCGTGTAGCTGCGCTCATAAGGAGTACAGCTTGCTTTCTGCTAACCTAAGTTTTTTTGTGTTTCTGTTTCTGTTTTTGTTCTTTTGAGACAGAGTCTTGCTCTGTCGCCCAGGCTGGAGTGTAGTGGCGTAATCTCAGCTCACTGCAACCTCTGCCTCTTGAGTTTTAAGTGTTTCTTCTGCCTCAGCCTCCTGAGTAGCTGGGATTACAGGCACACGCCACCATGACCAGCTAATTTTTATATTTTTAGTAGAGACAGGTTTTTACCATGTTTGTCAGGCTGGTCTCGAATGCCTGATCTTGTGATACACCTGCCTCGGCCTCCCAGAATGCTGGCATTACAGGTATGAGCCACCACTCCCATCCTGTTAACCTAAGTTTAAGTGAAGAGCTCATGTTTTGAATTCTTACTGAATGGACAGAGCCCAGCACATTATCCAAGGTCACATAGTAAGTGGACAGGCCTGGGAGCTGGGTGTGGTCGGGTCACAGCTGTTGTAGCTGCTACTGCTAGGACATCTGGGTTGTCCCTGTTCCCTGGTTTCTACTGTAAATTGCATTTCAGAAAACATTTTGCACACAGAGCTTTTGCCTCCTTTGAGATTATTTCCTTAGAATAGGTTTCCAGAGAAAAGATTTTAGGGCCAAAATCAGTAAACATTTGTAAGGTTTTTTTGTTTTTTGAGACAGCCTCACTCTGTCGCTCAGGCTGGAGTGCAGTGGCGCAATCTCAGCTCACTGCAACCTCTACCTCCCAGGTTCAAGCAATTCTCCTGCCTCAGTCTCCCGAGTAGCTGGGATTACAGGTGTATACCACCTCACCCGGCTAATTTTTGTATTTTTAGTGGAGAGGGGGTTTCACTGTGTTGGCCAGGATGGTCTGCAACTCCTGACCTCAGCTAATACACCCACCTCAGCCTCCCAAAGTGCTGGGGTTACAGGCCTGAGCTACAGTACCTAGCCGTTTAAGGTATTTAATGCAGATATAGTCCTCTTTTCCTTTTTGAAATAAAAATAATTTCAGACATGTAGGAATGTTGCAAAAGTCTGCAAAGAATTCTTATGTGTCCTTTACCCAGGTTCCTTATAATTTACCCATTTTACCATATTTGCCTACTTATTTAGAGATGTCTTGCTGTGTCATCCAGACTGGAGTACAGTGGCACGATCATGGCTCACTGCCACCTTGAACTCTGGGTTCAAGGGCTCCTCCTGTCTCAGCCTCCTGAGTATCTGGGGTTACTCAGGCATGCCACCACACCCAGCTAGTTTTTAAAATCTTTTTTTTAGAAATGGGGTCTTGCTATTTTTGCCCAGGCTGATCTCAAACTCCTGGCCTTGAGCCATCATCCTGCCTCAGCCTCCTGAGTTGCTGGGATTACAGATGTGAATCACCACGCCCAGCTCACATTTGCTTTCTTATTCCCTTCATACTCATGCACTTACCTCTTACTTTTTTCCTGGAACAGTTTGACAGTGAGTGAGTTGCAGATGTGATGCACTTTACCTTTAAACACTTTTGGTGTGTGTTACTTTAAAAGAGGACATTCTCTTACACAACCATAGCTCAGTTATCAAAATCAGGAAATTAATGTTGGGACAGTACTGTCATGTAACTTGAAGACCTTACTCAAATCTCACCCGCAGGCTGGGCATGGCAGCTGACACCTGTAAACCCAGCACTTTGGGAGGCCGAGGTGGGCAGATCGCTTGAGCTCAGGAGTTGAAACCAGCCTGGGCAACATGGCAGAACCCCATCTTTACAGAAACAAGCCAGGCGTGGTGGCACACCTCTGTAGTCCCACCTGCTCAGGAGGCTGAGGGGGGTGGATCACATGAGCTCAGGAGTTTGAGGCCATGGTTAGCCATGGTTGTGCCATTGCACTCTAGCCTGGGTGACAGCAAGACCCTATCTGAAAAAAAGAAAGTCTCACCCGTTGTCTCTGTGTCCTTTTAGCAAAAGAAAAACCGACTGTGTTCTGTTGAAGAACACAGGGTCATCCTCAGGTTAGTCTGGAAGAGAACCTCAGCCTTTGTTTTCCATGAGCCTGAATTTTTTTTTTTTTTTTTTTTTTGAGACAGAGTTTCGCTCTTGTTACCCAGGCTGGAGTGCAATGGCGCTATCTCGGCTCACTGCAACCTCCGCCTCCTGGGTTCAGGCATTTCTCCTGCCTCAGCCTCCTGAGTAACTGGGACTACAGGTACGCCACCATGCCCAGTGAATTTTTTGTAGTTTTAGTAGAGACAGGGTTTCACCATGTTGACCAGGATGGTCTCAATCTCTTGACCTCGTGATCCACCCGCCTCGGCCTCCCAAGTGCTGGGATTATAGGCGTGAGCCACTGCGCCCATCATGAGCCTGAATTTTTTTGAGGACCATGGGCCAGCGATTCTGTAGACTCCTCTTTGACCTGGGTCTCTGTGGTGTCTCCTCTGGGTTGTGCTGGGTTCTTTTGATGCATCACAACAGAGACGTGTGCACCTGTTCAGCACTGACCCTCTGGTGCAGGCATTTCCACTGTATGGTTGCTGTTTGTTTCTTTGTTTTTATTAATAAGTATTTTGAGGATCCATTAATGATGCTTCTAGGCCTGATCAGTTATTTCTATGGTGTTTGCTAAATGATAATTTTTAAAAATCTTTTTTTATTCATTAAAATTTTTTTTGGTAGAAACAGTGTCTCACTATGTTGTCCAGGCTGGTCTCGTACTCCTGGGCTCAAGTGATCCCACCTCAGCCTCTCAAAATGTATAGTATTACAGGTGTGTCACTGTGCATGGTCATGCACACGTGGTGATGTTGTGAAGTTTCTCCTCCATTTTATCAGTTGGAATTCTGTAGTAATGAAGAGCTTCACTTTCTCCTTCATCTGTGTGTGTTCACTTCCTTCCGTCTGCATTGGCCTCCTTTGGTCCTTGGGATCCTGGCATTGTCCGTGTGATACACACGTGGTTCTTTTTTTTTTTTTTTTTGAGACAGAGTCTCACTTTATCACCAGGCTGGAGTGCAGTGGCACAATCTCGGCTCACTGCAACCTCCACCTCCCGGGTTCAAGTGATTCTCCTGCCTCAGCCTCTGGAGTAGCTGGGACTACAGACGTGTGCCACCACGCCCAGCTAATTTTCATATTTTTTACTAGAGACAGGGTTTTACCATGTTGACCAGGATGGTCTCTTGACCTCGTGATCTGCCTGCCTTGGCCTCCCAAAGTGCTGGGATTACAGGTGTGAGCCACCGCGCCTGGCCACACATGGTTCTTTTGCACCCTGTGTGGCACAACCCAGAGCTGGGCCATCCTCCTGCCCCATGGGGTTTTTTGTTTGAGATGGAGTCTCACTCTGTCACCCAGTGGAGTACAATGGTGTGATCTCAGCTCACTGGAACCTCTGCCTCCTGGGTTCAAGGGTTCAAGCGATTCTCCTGCCTCAACCTCCCAAGTAGCTGGGATTACAGGTGTGTGCCACTATGCCTGGCTAATTTCTGTATTTTTTATAAAGATGGGGTTTCACCATGTTGGCCAGGCTGGTCTCAAACTCCTGACCTCAATCAGGGTGATCCACCTGCCTTAGCCTTCTAAAGTGCTGTTGGAGTGGATGGGTTTTTCTCTTTGTATTTACTTGTCTTTTACAGGTTTCTAATGAGTGTAACTTTTTATCATGGTAAATATATACAACACCTATATTTATTTATTTATTTTTTGAGTCAGGGTCTCACTCTGTCGCCCAGGTTGGATGCAGTGGTGCAGTCTCAGCACATTTACAACTTCTGCCTCTCGAGTTCAAGCAGTTCTTATGCCTCAGCCCCCAAGTAGCTGGGATTTCAGGCATGTGCCACCATACGCAGATAATTTTTGTATTTTTAGTAGAGACAGGTTTTCACCATGTTGGTCAGGCTGGTCTCAACCTCCTGACCTAAGGGGATCTGCCTGCCTTGGCCTCCCAAGGTGCTGAGATTACAGGCATGAGCCACTGTACCTGGCAACTATACCTAATTAAAAAAAAAACCAATATATATGATCTGCAGTTACAGCGTGTGTGTGTGTGTGTGTGCGCGCACGCGCACATGTGCACGTGCATATGCCTCGGCCACAGCCGTGTATATGTGTGCATGTGTGCATATGCCTTGACCACAGCTCTGTGTGTGTTGTGCATGTCTCGGCCACAGCCCTGTGTGCGTGTGTGTGTGCATGTGTGCCTCGGCCACAGCCCGGTGTGTGTGTGTGTGTGTGTGTGCACGCGCTTGTGTGCATGTGTGCATGTATCTCTGCCACAGCTGTGTGTGTGTGCGTGCGTGCGTGTGTACACACCTCCGTCACCTGAAGCTTGTGCACCTCTTGCACGCCAAGAGACCAGCAGGCAGCCCCGTGTGTTCCTTTTTCAGTGTTCTCGTCCTTATCATCTGGTTTGTCTCTTTCACATACACTGGAGTAAGCATAGCTGTTTTTCAAAGTGCTTGTAATTCTGGAGTAAGAACTGCAGTGTTTTCTGTGCCCAGAGTGTGGTTTCCTGGTCCTGGATTGTGCAGTGGCATGATCTTGGCTCACTGCAACTTCTGCCTCCCAGATACAAGTAAATCTCCTGCCTTAGAATCCCGAATAGCTGGGATTACAGGTATTGCCACCACACTTGGCTAAGTTTTGTATTTTTAGCACAGATAGGGTTTTACCATGTTGGCCAGGCTGGTCTCAAACTCCCATTTTCAGATTATCTGCCCTCCTTGGCCTCACAGTGTGCTGGGATTATATGTGTGAGCCACTGCGTCCGGCCTGGACTGTGGTTCTGATGAGATAAAACACCGTTGTACATCTTCTAGCAGATACCATCATTGAGAATTGTATGAAGCTGGGGAGGGCATCATGCCACTTGCTCTGTGGCCAGTTCTGGGCTGCCCATTCGCACATCTGTCTCTCTACTCTAGTGTGTGGCCCACAATGCCCTGGAGTGTGCACGTGCCATATACGCCTACGCCCTGCAAGTGTTCCCCAGCAAGAAGAGTGTGTGGCTGCGTGCTGCGTACTTCGAGAAGAACCATGGCACTCGGTATGTGGTGGGGCTTGCCTGCCCCAGTGTGCTAATGAAACCTTCACCTCCATTTGTGTAGCCCTGAATTTAACCCTCTCATCTCTGCACATCCAGTATTGTGCCCATTGGAGGCCTGGCCCTCTGATGGTGATGAAGATTTTAATGGCACTTGGGACTCTGCAACTGCATCCATTTTTATAGCCCCTTCTGGGATAGGACTGTTAGTGTTTTATAGTGGAGAAACCAAGGAATCCAGGAGGCCCATCCTGCCGAGTGTCCTGTAGCCTGAGGAGTGGCCAGGGTGTAGGCTTGAGGCTTGAGCCTGCGTGGCTCATGCCTGAGCACTGGTTGCAGTGGTGGGAGGGGCAGCATCTGGGCTCAGGCAGGCGTGTTTTCTTTCCATTTAAGCTGTGCTGGCTTTGGGTTTTGACTGTTTTTGTGCTTAGAGGAGGTCCTTGACAATTCTCTTTAACTGTACTCTTTAATTGAAAAAATCTTTCAGGTCAGTTCTATTGGCTGTAAATGCTGATTAAATTAGGCATTGCAGTTTATTGTTTTAAATGGGTAGCTCTCAAGGTCACTGGGCTTGCGTCCCCACGTACCCTCCGTCCATCCTCTCCCAGGTCCTCGGTGATGCTCCTATGCCGGGTGAGGACAGGCCCTGCTGGTTTCACTGGGGCTACAGCTGAGAAAGTTGAGCCCTTTGCCTCTTTCCTTTTCTGGTATTATTTAATCTCACTGTCTTCAGGGCGTCTTTCCATGTGTCCTCCTGGAGCCCTGGCCCTCTCACATACCCACCAGCTGGTCTGGTGTTTCTCAGTGTTTGGAGATGTTTTGAAAGGCTCTCATGGTGCCCCTCTGTATAAGGGTACCTGGAGCAGTCTAAGTGAAGAACAGGGTGGTGCCGGGCGTGGGCTGAGGTCTCAGCCTGGATGAACTGCTGCCCTCTCCCCCTGGGCACAGTGGGTAGTGCCCTCCTGTTGCTCTGCCTTCTTCCTCAGCGCAGGCTCTTGGGGATGAGGGGAGGCAGCAGCTAGGGAGCTCATCCTCGGGGAGCACAGTTGCTTGGCCGGCCCTTCTCCAGACAGTGTGATTGTGTGTGCTTACTTTGTCTTGCTGTTGTGCTCACTGAGGCCCAAAGGGGTCATTGGTGCAAGATGATGTGACTGTGGGTGGTGGGCCACACGAGGGGCATCAGGCCTGATACCCAGGGCTGGTGGTTTTGCTCGATAATGACCTAAAATCACTTTCTTTCTATGAGATCATTCTTTCGGATGCCTGCAGAGTCCACCTGGGATCAAAATCTTTATCGGTGGGTCCGGGTGTGCTTGTGCTCTGTGGCTCAAGATGAAAAGCCTCCCCTGTCACAGATGGAACTTGCTGCTGCCTCCAGGACACATGGCTGTAAAAGGGTCTCTTGTGAAGTTCCTCTCTCCAGCTCTGCTATTTAAACAATGCATTGCTTTGTAGAACCCTTTTCAGTAGTTTATTTTAGAACCTTTATTGAGAGGAAAGATTTCCCCACACTCTCCCCATCGTAAAATCTGGTCAATCATTTATAGCATCGAACTTTGGAGCAGTAACTGTCTTTCTGGCGCCCACGCCATGGCTGAGTGTGATGTGTGTTCTGGTTTATGGCCCTGACTTTGGTGCCCGTGGCCTCTGTCTTGCAGGGAGTCCCTGGAAGCACTTCTGCAGAGGGCTGTGGCCCACTGCCCCAAAGCGGAGGTGCTGTGGCTCATGGGCGCCAAGTCCAAGTGGCTGGCGGGGGATGTGCCCGCAGCAAGGAGCATCCTGGCTCTGGCCTTCCAGGTGGGTGAGGGTTGCCTGAGCGGTGAGGGGCTTGTCCACACAGGAGCTGACCTGGGTGCCAGCTGGGGCCTGAAAGAATCCTCCATGCAAACGTGGCACGTGCTGTGGTTGGGATTCCCCGGAGTCCCCGCCAGGAGCCGGGCCGTGAAGGGGCCTGAGAGGAGCAGGAAGGCAGCCCAACTGGCAGGTACTTACCTCTTGGTCTCCCCACCCAGTGTGACCACGGGCTCAGTGTTTCAGAACATAGAGCCACGGGGTCACACAGGGCCTGAGGGCACCGTAACGTGAGTGGACGCATGCAGACAGCCTCACTGAGCCAGGCCTGAGGGTGCCTGCTTGCCATGAGGCGTGTGGGTTCTTTTTATGTACCTTGTTTCTATCGTCACGTATGATACCCTAATACCTTATGACGATACAGTGTTCGTCAGATGGTTTTAATACACAATAGAATGCTGCAAATGTCAGTTTGTTTACTGTGGCTCAGGCTAACATCATAGAGTGTGCCCTTCCCTGAGCAAACACCAAGTTGAACCTTTTGCTTTCGGCTGCCTCTCTGAGATGGCATCACTCTGTGAGTAACTGCAGCATCTGCTCTGTCTGCTTGCTGTCTGCTGCCTGTCAGGTGGCTTTCCTTGCCCGTCATTTTGGGGCTGCTTTTCAGGTCTGTGATGTGGTCATCTTGCATGGTCAGTGGGTGGCTATGCTGATTAGAGTTAGTCTGAGCACCAGCCCCGGGGAGGCTTTGAGGGCAGAGCCTGGGTGTCCACTGGACTCTGGGCTGTGTAAGCCTCCTCGGGCTGTGGGTGCCTTCTCCACGTCAGCGGCATACTCGGGGTTCTCTGTCCTGCCCACATGGACTCACAGGGACAGGACAGCTGGCTTCCTTTCACCAAGCTCAGGGGAAGGAGGGAGGTTGGGTGTGGTGGGTCTACCAGTATAAGATGTGAGTGACCCATTCGGGGGCTTTGAGAGGGTATGGGTGGATCCTGAATAAGATGGCCCTGCACCCACCCCTTTTATTGCTCGATTGAGTGCTTTGGAGGCCTCCCCACTGTACCAGAGTGAACATGGGCCTGTGTGTTCCAGGTGAGTCTGGATTCTTGGGCTGGAGTCTGCTCTGTCATCTCCTCCCTAGGAAAGGCTTGGACCAGACTCCTGCAGCAAAGCCAGGCCTGGCTGGGTCCCTCCTGCCTGCCTGCTTTTGATTAATGTGATTGAGCGCTGGTCCCTGTGTTCTGACCCCTCTTGACGTTGCTGTACTTGTCCTCCAGGCCAACCCCAACAGCGAGGAGATCTGGCTGGCGGCTGTGAAGCTGGAGTCTGAGAATGATGAGTACGAGCGGGCACGGAGGCTGCTGGCCAAGGCGCGGAGCAGTGCCCCCACTGCCCGGGTGCGCAGGGGCAGGCAGGGCTGGGCTGGGCATCGGGTGCGTTGTGCACTTGGGTGGTGGTGGGAGTCACATGACAGCAGGCAAACTAGGCCTCAGCACACGCTTATTTTTGTGATATGAATTTAAAACATGCATTTATCCCCAACATTTGTGTACACAAACGGGCTATGAAATCTTACAAAAGTACACACAGTACTGCAGGTAGCAGTGTTGAGGAGTGGAGGATGAGCGTAACGTGAAGCATGTGCCTTGGAGCCAATGTCCTACGTGACCATGCGTGTCTGCCCCACAGGTGTTCATGAAGTCTGTGAAGCTGGAGTGGGTGCAGGACAACATCAAGGCCGCACAGGACCTGTGTGAGGAGGCCCTGAGGCACTACGAGGACTTCCCCAAGCTGTGGATGATGAAGGGGCAGATCGAGGAGCAGAAGGAGCTGATGGAGAAGGCACGGGAAGCTTACAACCAGGGGGTACGTCTCTGCCTGCACCCGGGGCTGCCGCTGACCCAGCGCTCACAGAACTGAGCCCCCCGGTGCAGGGTCACGGCCTTTCACCTCCAAGGAGAAGTGGAGGGCTGGGGAGTTACAGCTGATGGAGCTTCGGACTCAGGACCCAAACCCTGGTCCCTTCACTGTCCTGTGCTTTTCCTTGTACAAAGCTGCGCACCTGCCCTCAGCAGTGCAGAGCGTGGCACGCCTGAAGTGTATATATACCTTTGTGCACAGGTACATAGCACCACTGCACACCTTTGAAGCCATAAATGCAGAGAGCATGGGGGTGTTTTTCCATGGACACAGGCTGCCCTGAGGCACTTGCTCAGCCACTACAGATGAGAAGCTGGGCGTGGCTATGTCCCAGTTCTTCATAGGCACCACCTGAGCTGCTCTCTTACTTGTTGGCTGCAGTTGAAGAAGTGTCCCCACTCCACAGCCCTGTGGCTGCTCCTCTCTCGGCTGGAGGAGAAGATTGGGCAGCTTACTCGAGCACGGGCCATTCTGGAAAAGTCTCGTCTGAAGAACCCAAAGAACCCTGGACTGTGGTGAGTCCTGGTGGGTCTAGGCAGCCTGGGTGCTTGGCACAGCTCACCCATCATGTGGCCGTCCTTACCCAGCTGCGTGTGTGGAGTCACTTGTGTGGCGTTTCCAGGCTCAGGAGCTTGGAGGGCTGTAGGTGCTGGCCGTGAAAAATCATGGTCCCTGCCTTGGGAGAATCCGGCCTAGGTACTGTGACAGGCCTCTAGATGGTTTGATGCAGTTTAATTTGTATTCTGATGGAGGGGTCTGGGGGAGAGAGGGGTTAATGATGGCTGGGGCGAAGGAGGCATGGATCCCAGAATACTGACTCCATAGAGGAGGTGGCTGGAGGGCCCTGGAAGTGGGCAGGAGTCTGCCAGGTGCAGGCTCTGTTCATGGAGGTGCAGCCTCCAGTTCAGTGTGACAGGGCTGGAGCACTGCGGGGGCACTGCTGCAGACGGGCAGCTCCTGGGTGCCTCGGATGGCCCTGGCTCTCCCAGGCTGGTCTTGATTGTTCTGGATGCCCTCACTTGCATCTTGGACAGTGTCAGGATCTGAGGTCTTGCCTTGGGGCGGTTGCTGGTGGGGCTAGCAGGGATGTGGGCACCAGTGCCTTGCTTCTCTGGTGGATGAACTCTGCTATGCAGGGAATGCAGTTTTTGCTGCTGTGACTGGGTCGAGACCCCTTTCAGATGGGACTTCTCAGAAGCTCCCAGAATGTGCGCTATTGGTAGATGGCTGTGGGACCTCCTGGGGCCTGTCTTCCCAGGTTGGAGTCAGTGCGGCTGGAGTACCGTGCGGGGCTGAAGAACATTGCAAACACGCTCATGGCCAAGGCGCTGCAGGAGTGCCCTAACTCCGGTAAGTGGGTGCTTCCTGCTTCTCACATTCAGGAGGGCTGGCGCCTCCTGAGGGAGTGGGGATTCGAGCTTCAGACAGACTGTATTATAATGTTTTGTTTGTGTGATCATTTCAGTCAAAAGTTTCACCTGTACTTGGCCATTAAAACATTTTAATGAGGCCAGGTGCACTGACTCACGCCTGTAATCCCAGCACTTTGGGAGGCTGAGATGGGTGGATCACCTGAGGTCAGGAGTTCGAGACCAGCCTGGCCAACATGATGAAACCCAGTCTCTACTAGAATACAAAAATGTGCTGGGTGTGCTGGTGGGTGCCTTAATCCCAGCTACTCCCGAGGCTGAGGCAGGAGAATTGCTTGAGCCCAGAAGGCAGAGGTTGCAGTGAGCTGAGATTGCATCACTGTATCCAGCCTGGACAACAGAGTGAGACTCCATCTCAAAAAATTCTTTAAAGAAATTATAATACTAAATGTATTAAATTTATTTAATAAATAATTTTAAAATAAAATATTTTTAAATTTTATATCAAGTAATGCGTGTTCAGTGTGACATTCGATGTAAGAAGGGCCCTCAGCAGCTGTGGGCCTGCTGCTGAGGAGCCGCTGCTGTTAGCTCGTAAATTCAACTTGTGTTCTTGCACAAGACTAAAGTCATGCTGTCTTTAGTCATGTTGTCTTTAAAGTCACCTTTTCTTCAAGCTAAACAGTTAGTGAGAATTTTTTATTCTGGTTGAATCTTCAAGAATGTTAGTTTTTAGTAGCATTCTGTAATTGTTTGGACATGTTAAATACGCTGCTCACCTGTTGACCGATTATTGGACATTTAGATTTTCTCAAATTTTTAATCTGATATTGCTTTGAGGTGACTATCTTTCTGTATGAATCTTTACAAACATTTCTGGTGGTTTTGTTATGATACATTCTTTTTTTATTTTTTGAGATGCAGTTTTGCTCTTGTCACCCGGGCTAGAGTGCAATGGCTCGATCTTGGTGCACTGCAGCCTCCGCCTCCCAGGTTCAAGTGATTCTCTTTCTGACTTATCCTCCTGAGTTGCTGGGATTACAGGTGTGTGCCACCTTGCCCGGCTGATTTTTGTATTATTAGTAGAGATGGGTTTTACCACGTTGGTCAAGCTGGTCTCGAACTCCTGACTTCAGGTGATCCACCCTCCTTGACCTCCCAAAGTGCTGGGATTACAGGCGTGAGCCATAGTGCCTGGCCATTATAAACTGTTAAATGTGAAATTGTTGAGTCAGTAGGACCTTAAAGGGTGTCAACGTTTCCATCCCAGTCTCCCCCAGCAGGGGGTCCCTTCTGTGCCCTCGGGGCTGCCGTGGGTTTGGGTGGGCTGGAGCGCTCATCCTTCATGGTTCTCCTCGCACAAGTTCTGCCAGCAGCGTGTGGGGGGCCCCCGCCATGGTCTGAGGATGTCCTCAGGTAGAATCTCTGTGGATCGGGCACTGTTCTGGAACCAGAGACAAGAGGCTGGCGTGCCGATCTTTGTTTCTGAATTTCAGGTATCCTGTGGTCTGAGGCCATCTTCCTGGAGGCGAGGCCCCAGAGGAAGACCAAGAGCGTGGATGCCCTAAAGAAGTGTGAGCATGACCCTCATGTGCTCCTGGCTGTGGCCAAGTGAGTGGGGCGTCCTGCAGGATTGCTGACCCTCGGGGTCCTGAGGGGCTCTTTTTCCAGTGCCTGTCTGCCTCTCCCTGGTCATCATAAAGATGCCTAGCAGCAGGGTGGGCTTCCCCAATCCTCGGCTGCTGTCAATTCTGCTGTGGTCTGGGGCAGGCGCCTTTCCTGGCAGAGACAAGCCTGAGGGTGCTACTGCGTCACCTGGCGTCTGCCCCAAAGCCTGGGGAGGAACAGCTAGTCTGTCTGTCTCTCTCTCCCTCCCCCCCGACCTCTCTCTCTCTCTCTCTCTCTCTCTCTCTCTCTCTCCCCCCCCCCTCCCTCTTTCTCTCGACATGGTGTAAAGGAGTGACTTCATATCGTGGTTCACACTGGTGTGCTGGTTGCTGGGTCGGAGACTCTCTGGGGACGCCACTCTTGAACCTTATAGGCAGCAGCATATGCCGTGGTGCAGAGTGTGCAGACTCTACATGTATGTGGGCAAAGGCCTGCCAGGTGTGGGCACAGTGGGCAGCTCAGGACCATCCTGACCCACAGAGTCTCTGCTTCCTTCTAGAAAGAGGAGGACAGCCTGAGAAGGAGCTGGGCCTGAGTGTGGGCTGGGAGGCTGGGAAGTGACTGTGGGGGGGTGAATGAGTTCTTGGAAGAACCCTGGGCTTCTGAGGTTGCAGCTGGGGATGTTGGCTCACCTGGCAGAGGTGGTGTGTCTGGCTCCAGCAGCTCATGTGCCCGACTTCCCCTCCACCTGCCCTGCCATGGTTCATGCAGAGACAGCAGCCTTCTCGTGCTGGCTCTTAGTTCTCTCCTCCCTTCTCCCCAGCGCTGGGTGGCAGTGGGGCTTGGTCTCCAGAGGTCTGAGTACTGCCACGCATTGCTGCCTGTGGGGCACCTTCTCTCCCCTGCCTGTAGACCCCTGACAAATGAGAAAGTCTTCCCATAGGGAGGTTTGTGTATGCCTGGTGCTTCTGCCCTGTGCATCCACCTCCCAGAGGGACTTCTGGGTGACACTCTGATAGGGAAGCCATAAAACCCTATAAAAGTCTTTGCTAAAGTAAATAAGTCACTCCTTGCTCTTCCCAGCCAGTGTTCTGTGTGTCTGCTATCTGGGTTTGTGTTCTTTAAATCAGTTTATCTAACACCAGGCAATTAAGAATACCACAAGGCTTAAAAAACAATCAGGTTATCAGAGTATGAAATTATTCCGTTTGGCAACTGAGACAAACCCACACAGCTGCCTGGAGTGGAGGGTTCCTCATGTTGGCTCCGATGCCTCTGGCTCCAGGGGAGGTGACCCTGAGGAGAAGGTGGCAGCAGCGCAGAGTCCCAGGCCTGCCAGTGTGCCCAGCAGCCAGCTCCCGCCGTCCTTTCTCTAGCAATGGGTGGGGGTGCCATGTATATTCTCACCTGGCCTCTTAATAGTCCAGCATGGACGTTTTTGGGCCTGGTTTTCAGGCGTTTATGTGTCTGGCAGGCACAGTAGTGTGAGAGCTGTGGGCTGCAGGCCCAGGCCCTGGCGCTGCCTGGAGCCTGCGGTCTCAGTGCTCACTGGGATTGCTGCTGGTGGCCGGGTGAGGCAGGATGATCCAGCAGGTGTCTCAGGGAGGAGCTGAAACTGCGTAATTTACCCTCATCAAAGTTGTAATTCAGTTATTTGTCAGGTTTAGTTTCATCTCCTTATATTTGACCCTGATTTTAAGGATTTTGAAGATCTTTCTTTGTGTGAATTTTTTGTTTTAAGAAATTCACTCAACTGGGGTTGCTGCTGGGGTTGGGCGTGGTGGCTCACGCCTGTAATCCCAGCACTTTGGGAGGCCGAGGTGGGTGGATCACGAGGTCAAGAGATCGAGACCATCTTGGCCAATATGGTGAAACCCCGTCTCTACTGAAAATACAAAAAATTAGCTGGGTATGGTGGTGCATGCCTGTAATCCCAGCTACTTGGGAGGCTGAGGCAGGAGAATCACTTGGACCCAGGAGGCGGAGGTTTCGGTGAGCCAAGATTTCGCCATTGCACTCCAGCCTGGGCAACAAGAGCAAAACTCGGTCTCAAAAAAAAAAAAGAAACAACTTGAGCCAGGCATGGTGGCTCACACCTGTAATCCCAGCACTTGGGGAGGCCGAGGCAGGCGAATCACGAGGTCAGAAATTCGAGACCAGCCTGACCAACATGGTGCAACCCCATCTCTACTAAAAATACAGAAATGAGCTGGGCGTGATGGTGGCACCTACAGTCCCAGCTACTCGGGAGGCTGAGACAGGAGAATCGCTTGAACCCGAGAGGCAGAGGTTCCATTGAGCCAAGATTGCGCCACTGCACTCCAGCCTGGTGACAGAGCGAGACTCCGTCTCAAAACAAAAAAAGAAAGAAAGAATTTGGTTAGATTGGTGAAGGATGGCTTCAAGTTAATCTGGGGTAATTTCCTGATCAGCCCAGGCCTTGTTCCTCAGGCCTTCCTGAGTGGAGTGCAGGGCCGCCGTGTCAGGAATGAGGCTGATGGCCCTGGAGCCCTTCCCCTTCCCAGGGCACCCTCCTGTAGCCACTCACTCTGGGTTCCCACTCGTCTTCGGAACAGGCTGTTTTGGAGTGAGCGGAAGATCACCAAGGCCAGGGAGTGGTTCCACCGCACTGTGAAGATCGACTCGGACCTGGGGGACGCCTGGGCCTTCTTCTACAAGTTTGAGCTGCAGCATGGCACTGAGGTGAGGCCTTCTGGGACTTTGGCGGGGACTTCCACCAGCCCTGAGGGCTCTAGGAGGTGGCCAAGGCCAGCGTGACTCTGCCCGGGTTGGGAGGATAGACAGGGTGGGTGGGGCACGGAATCCTTGACACCTCCCCACGAGGCAGTCTCTGTCTCTACATCCGTTTTCTGGTTATAGCCTCACAGCCCCACACGCTGGAATTGAGGTGCTCAGTCCCTTGCAATGGCCTGTCTGCTGGCGCATTTTAATGAGTTATTTGTTGGCTGGGGCCTGTGCTCACCTTAGGAATGGGAATGGAGTTGGCCTTTCTCTTGGGGCTGAGCCTGGGTGTGGCTTTCTGGGAGAGCCTCGACAGCAACTCCCTCTGCTCCCACTTGTTCCCCTGGAGCCAAGCATTGTCAGAGCTGTGCTGGAGGGCAGGCAGGCTGTCCTCGTCCTCCCTGGAAAGTGGTGCCAGCCCATGTGAAGCCTGACTCCTTGTTTGGAGAAGGCATACGTGAGCACTTGTGTGAGACACAATTGGGAGTCCATGCTCCTCAGGAGGGGCTCCTTTGAGGAACACACCTGGAAGAGCTTTGCCTTCTGGTGCAGGGCCTGTGCCCCCTCACCTGCCACTTGGGGTCAGTACTGCCAGAGCCAGGTCTGCCTGGGGGCAGGTGGGGAGTGGCCTGGGAGGGCCCTTGCCTGAAGTGCCCTGTGGTCCCACCAGGAGCAGCAGGAGGAGGTGAGGAAGCGCTGTGAGAGCGCAGAGCCTCGGCATGGGGAGCTGTGGTGTGCCGTGTCCAAGGACATCGCCAACTGGCAGAAGAAGATTGGGGAGGTCCTTAGGCTGGTGGCCGGCCGCATCAAGAACACCTTCTGATTGGCCGGTCTCCATGGACAGGGCTTGGGCTGCACGGGGGAGGGCGTGTGGAGGGCTCTGGGCTGTGTCCTCCTTCATTATCATCCTCCATTAAAAGTTTTTATGTCTTGTGTCAGAGTGGGCGGCCTGCTGGTTTTCTCTGGGGCTCTTCCCTGGCTCCTGCTTCTGCTGCCCCAGTTGGGCCTGTCCTGGCCTGTCCCATGCTGTCCTGGGGTGGTTGCAATTGTCCTTGCTTGGGCAGAAGCCTCTTGCAGACAGCCAGTGTCTCACAGAGGAGACATTGGAGGTGCTGGGGTTCCCCAAGACTGTGGAGAAGGTGGTGGGGTGCAGATATTCCAGGTGAAAGCCATGTGTGCGGACAGCTGGAGACAGTGGGGACCGAGCTGTGTGCAGGCCAAGGTGCTCACAGGAGCCTGGCAGCTGCCTGCAAGAGTTTGGTCAGGGGACAGCTGGGGCTTCCCTGTGGTCTTGAGTGGTCCCTGCAGCTTTTTGGAACAGTAGAGGTCAGCTCGCCCAGGGTCTCTCCACACTGCCTCCCAGGCCTCTCAGGCACATGTTCAGTGGCAGTGTCACCAATAAGAGGTGTTCTTACTTTTGGAGATGAGTTTATTTTTGCCAATTTATCATTAGCAGTTAAACCCCTAAAGCACTTGTAACTGAAAGTTGTATTACCTGGGAGACACGGCTTCTTTTCAGCCTTAGCTGTGTGAGGATGAAGGACTTCCTCAGGCTTGGATCCTGTGTGCGCATTCAGTTGGGAGCCAGCTGGCTCTTTTGTGTAGGCCAGGGCTGGAGACATCTGGCTAGAGGTCATGGCTGGCCCAGAGGCTGTGGGTGTAGAGTTGCTCAGGCCTGCCCGGGAGAAGGAGGCTGCTGTCACATGGGCTGAGAAGGCTGCTGGAGAGCAGCTGTCCCTGGACATTCCTGTGAGAGGGGAGCCCCGGAGGGTCCCACCTTGTCCTTTGGTGCCAGTGATAGAGTCTGTGGTGGCCAGGCCCTGACCCACAGCTGTGACCTCCTGCACATGGGGCCTGTGCTCAACTTGGTGGTCTGCCTGCCTGCTCCTGACGAGTGAGAATGGCTGGGGTCGGGGAGCTCTGTCTGCACATGGGGCGGTCCTGCTAGGCCAGAATGTGGGTGTGGGTGCCCCTTCTCTGTGGTTCTGGGGACCTCGAGGACATGGCCAGTCCAGGGCAAGGGACCTGCCACCCCTGTGTGGGGTCAGGAACTGCTGGTTGGTCTCTTCTGGGCAGGCAGCCTGGGGTCCAGCTCAAATCATTGGAATCTGGAAGTCCTTCCTTGCCCCATCCTGAGGAGCAGCTGCTGGAGCTTCATGAGTGTTTTCATTGAAACTTGGGGAGGAGTTTCCTTTGATATCTCGTGGAGAGAGGGAGGAATGAGGGAGCCTTCAGAATTTACTCTGAGGATGAAGAGGGTCCTGCAGCTTTTTGGAATCTGTAAGCCAGCCTGGCTCTACAGATGTGGAAACCAAGGCCTAGGGAGGAAGCCAGGAGGGAAGGCCTGGCTTCTTGGCACTTCTGACCTTGGAGCTGAGCATGGCCAGTGCTGGGTGGGCACTGAGGGGTCACACAGAAAAGCATGTGTCCAGCCATGTTCAGGGGAGGCTTCCTGCGCAGGGCCCTTGGAGAGTTCCAACATGCCTGCGCCGTCCATGCGTGTCTCTTTCTTGCCTGTGTGGTCAAACTACACCTCGAAGGCGTCACAACGGTGGGTATCCATTCTGAGAAACCCCTTGCTAGGTGATGTCATCTTGCAAACATCAGAGTGCATTCACACAAGCCTGGCAGGCACGGCCTCCTGCACCCCAGGCTGCGCACCTGTTCGCCCTTGTGCCCAGCCTGGACTCCTGGACTGCAGGCCTGCACAGCCTCTCACTCTGGGCAGTTCTAACATTAAACACACGAAGAGGCAGAGACGTGAAGATATAGTGCTAGAACCCTAGGGGACCCCTGTCCAGTGTGGTCTGCTTGACTATATTGTGTGTATCACTGACTTTTCCTCCTGGGAAACTACCTTGACTTTTCTTCAACTGAATTTTTGCAGCCCAGAAAGGTGAGTTGCACCTCAGAGGTTGTTCTGAGATGTCTCTTCACTGCTGCCCGTCAGGCTGCAAACTGGAGTGTGCTGGCACAACAGGCAGCAGAGCAATAGCCTCAGACGCACCTCCTCAGTGAGGGGACCCCCTCAGCCCAGGAGGAGTGAGACTGGGCTGGCAGTGGGGGCCCCAGAAGCCCATGTCTTGGGACCCGCTGGGGCAGGGCCCCCTGGATGTCAGGTTGCAGGTCTGGCAGCTGGGGAGGGGAAGAGGGGCTCCCACCAGCTCTGCTCCTCGGCCAGATCCTGGGGGAGGCAGCTCTCGCTGGCCACCAAGTTGTCCCATCTCACCTGGCTCTCCTCCCCCACCAGCTGGGCCCTGCACTGCCTCAGCCCACAGGGCACCCACCCCTCCTTGACAGAACAGGGTCTCTGGGACTGACAAGTTAATCCAAGACCCACAGCAGTGCCCTGGATCCCCTAGGAGAGGTGGCTGCTCAGCTTCAGGGCCAGGTTAATTCAAGTGATAGGGAGTGGGGAGAGGGAAGGGGCAGGGCTGGGATTGCGTGGCCTCTCCTGCTCCCTCCCTCAGCTTGGAGGAGCCAACTTCAAAAGCCTCCGCTTGGCCTGTGCCTCTGCAGTCCTCCAGGCAGCCTGTCCAGGGAAGCCGTTGGCTGGTGTTGGCCCCGGTGTGGCAGCACACACCCCGTCTGAGGACCCAGGATCATGTGCATGGCCTGCTGCGGGAGTGAGGGAGGGCAAGATCCTGAAAGGTCCATGGTGAGCAGCTGTGGGCCTCCTCTGGGGAGGGGGCTCACTTGGGTGGAGGGGCTGGTACACAGCCCAGGAGATACTGCTTGTTCTGCTGAGCCCCCACCGAGAAATCTCTGGTTGGCTCCGGTCACTGTGTCACTGTGGGTGGCAGTGGGTGCGTGGCCCTGGCCTCTGGTAGTGGGGAGGGGGCTCCTGGGTGCCGGGCCACCCTGTTCTAAGCTGAGCTGAGGCTTGAGTTGGGCAGTACTGCTAACAAGCTCTGTGGGACCTCCCAGGCAGCTCATCTCCTCACCTGGGTGAGGCACGGCAGGTGCTGCACATCTTGTGGCTCCAGCTCAGGAGTCGGCTCTGGTTCTCGCTATGAATCTCTGACTCACAGCAGGCAAAGAGGATGACGTGGCAATTCTGAACCCGCCAAGTTGGCCGTGGCGTCTGTGGTTGGGGGGCCAGGTTTCAAGAAGGGGCCACAGCAAACCATCTGCTCTTCCAGCCATTGCTGCTTGGTGCTCCGAGCAGGAGCTGCCACCCCAGCCCCAGGCCCCCAGCTCTAGGTGAGGGTTGGGGTGCTGCTTGGCCAGGCTGGGAAGCCGAGTCGAGTCCTGTTAATCTCGGTCGGGTTCGCATGATTAATTTTCCAGCCCTAGATCTGCTGTCTGACTCTAGCCTGTGGGCCCCCGAGGAAGGTTTGGGGGCTGGGAACCTGGGGACCATCAGCCATCTCCTTGCTGTTTGGGCTTTTTTCCCTGTGGGAGCAGGCCTTCCACTTTGGGTCGGGGGAGGCCTATGGGACAGGCTGCCTGGAGGGATGGTGAGGGGCAGGCTGGTACAGGCAGAGGGGCTTTGGCATCTGTTGACTGGGGCTGGATGTGGTAGCCCCTTCCTCTGTGGCTTCTTAGAGCCCCCCCAGCCTTCCCCTTCCAATAGGGTGTGGCTTGGAGCTCTGAGCCCCTACCCCTGCCCCAGTTGGGTTGGGGGTACAGGGAGACCATTTTCTCATGTCTCTGTGAGCTAACCCAGAGGGCGCCAGTGTGGGAGGTGTGGGTTTGAATAGGTTGAATGGGCATGACCACAAGTGAGACGGCAGCTGTACTGGGACAACTTCCACCGTACCTCCAGGGGCCTGCACACCAGCCCCACTTGAGCTGTGCGGGGCCAGCACTGCCCTGTGCAGTGTTGTGGGCGCCCCACCCCTTGCTGGCCCTACTCCCACAGGGACTGCAGTGCCAGGCTCTCCTGTCTCTGGGCCTGTCCTGTCTCCTGCTGGGTTCTTCAGGTCAGTGACATGGCCTCCCAGCCCGCATCACTCACCCTGCACATCTTTGCAGGGAGCATAGAGCTGTGTGGTTTGCAGACCTAGCTGCTGTCTCTCCTGATTTATCCTGCCAGGCCTGTGCCTAGAGTCTTTCTTGATTGGTGACATGTCCATTTCGTGAGGCTCAGAGATCCTGTGGGGTGGGGCAGGGGGTGTTCCTTCTATGGCTGTGGAAGCAAAGTGCAGGTGGGCTGACTGCATCCTGTGTGGGGAACCCCAACCTGCTGTCTCCTTCAGGTGCCCCCCAAGCCTGCACTTTGGGCGCTCCTGCTGGCGCTGCTGGGGACGGCGCCAAGCCGCGCCCAGTCTCCCGCCTGCAGCGTCCCCGACGTGCTCCGACACTATCGCGCCATCATCTTCGAGGATCTGCAGGCTGCCAAGAGGTGGGGCGGGGCGGGGGCCGAAAGGACCAGGCCAGGCTCCAGACACTTTCATTTCGTACAGAAAAACCTGACTCGACCTAGGGGCTCCGGACGGCGGCGACGGCCTGGGGCCTCCTGCGGCGCCCAGAAGGTACGGAGGAGGCGCCCCTACCCACGCTCGCCGGCCGGCTCCTCTCAGTCTCCCCCCACCCCGCCTTCCTCCCTTCCCTCCCCAGGAGCACAGTATCCTCCTGTCCATCTGGTCCCTGGGTCGGACTCTGCGCAGGGTGGTGGCCGGGGGCCGCCGGGGGGCCCTGGAGAGAGCGGCTTGGACGGTGGCTGTGCGCACCGAGGCGGCGATGCGGCGCCACTGCAGGACGCTGCGCCAGGTGTGCGTACACCTCCCCCAACCCCACAGGGCCGTCGCGCGTCCCAGGGCTCCATGGGCCTAGGCTGGGGTCGGGCTGGGCGTTGCCTCCCTTGCCTGACCCGGCTGGGCGCTGGGGCCGTGCGCATTCGCTGACCGCCCTGTCCCTGACAGCGGAGCCGGCGGCCGGAGATGCGCCATGCCCGGCGTCGCGGCGGCCAGAGGCAGCTCCTGCTGCGCGCCCTGGACGCCGTCGCCACCTGCTGGGAGAAGCTCTTCGCGCTGCGCGCCGCGGCCTCCGGGGTCTCCTAGCGCGGCCTGCCCCGGCCCGGGCTCCAGCGAGCGCCCCGCGGGAGAAGCAGCGGGGCCGCGGCAGATCCTGGAGACGCGCCTCCTTTTGTCGACCTGTTGGCGACTTTGGCCCTTCGCTCGTCGCAGCCCGCGTGCCCCGGAGGGTCCGGGGCTTGGGGAAAGCATGCCCGGCTGCCGCCGCTGGGTCTCGGAGGAGGCGCGCCCTCCCCGCGCCGAAGGCCTCAATAAACGGAGCTGGCGCCGCGGTTCCAGCACTCCCTTCTCATGCCTCTCTGTGGCCCTGGGACCGCCCGGGTCTGCCCCTCGAACGCGGGACCAGGACCGGCACTTCCCGTCGCACCTGGATGGTGCGACGCTCCCAGCCTCTGGCAGCAGAGGGCGGGCGCGGGACGCTGGGCGTGCTCCTGCTCGGTGCGCTGCTCGGGGCTGGGTGGAGGGCAGATCGGGGGACTCCTGGGACCCCTAAAACGTCACGTATCCGTCCTGCTCCGCTTTGGACCGGGGCAGGGGGTGGAAATTGAGGGGAGGGGAAAGCTGGACTTGGTGAATTCGGAGCAAAACAACCGGATAAAGGAAACGGGCCCGAAGGGAAGCGGGAGCTGCGGACGCTGGCTGTGAGCTTGGCTAGGCTATTTCCTGCTGCTGCAGGAGGGGTGGCCACGGCCTGGGCTCAGAGACTGCCCAGCCCCCTCTGCAGGACTGGCCAGGCTGGCCTGGAATCTGCTTTCTGGTCCCTGGAACCCTGCATTTGCTGGGGAACTGACCCCTGGTTCCCCCATCTGATGCACAGGTCTGAAAGAAGCAACCTCCTAAGCTGACCCTGACCCAGCCCCACACTCTGTGTTAATGCATTTAGCCTGTGGAACAGAGCTACTGTTTGTTTTACAGATGGGGAGACTGAAGCGCCGGGAGGTTGTGAGACCCACCTTAGATCACACAGCCGGCAGTGTTAGAGCTAGTCTTAGACCCAGGCCCAGGGTCCTCTGCCTGGAGGCTGGGGGGGCTAAGCTTCCTGGACTTCAGAGCCTCGGACTCTGAAGCACTTCTGACAGAGTCCCTGGCCAAGCACCCAGCAAGTGTTGCCAGGCCTAGTTCTGCTGTGCCTGCACCGTGGGGGCCAGCATGGGCAAGTGTAGGAGGGATGACGGGGAGAGGCAGGGTGCAGGAGCCCTGGCTGGAGCCAGAGCACTTTACGGAGGTGCTTGGACGTATCCCGAGGCAGCAGAAGGTCTTTGGTGAAGGAGAATGTTAGAATGGGGATCTAGGAAGATCCCCGTGGCTTGTATGGAGGGCTGGTGAGGATGAAGGGGTGAGAACAGGTCCAGGCTGCCAAGGTTCCTGGCTGGAGTACCTGGGTGGGTCTCTGGGGACCACTGCAGAGGGAGTGGGTCTGTTTGAGGTCCCTGAGGGAGCTGGGGCACCACGGACATGGCTGGGCTCAGCTGGGCATGCTGGGGTGTGGAACATAAGGTATAGACAGCAGAGCATGTCTGGGAGGCAGCTGAGTTGGGGCCTGGAGAGAGAGTCCAGGAGTCTGGGCTGGGCTCAGGGACAGAATGGGGACCGGCCCTCCATGAAGGCTCCCACTCTCTTGTTTCTCCAAGGGCAGCTGGCTTCTTGCACTTGGACCTACTCCAGCCCCTGGGCCATGGGGAGAGCACTCCTCTCCTGTCCTAGGACCCATGTGTGGCCTCCTGGGCCATTCCACGGCTCCTGCCCACCCACAGTGTTCCCTTCCTGCTGTTCAGAGCAATCGGAGGCTGGGGATGTGGGTGGGCAACAGAAACAGCTCCCTCAACCCCAACTGAGAAAGGTTCAAACAAGCCACAGCCTCCTGGGGGCAGGAGGAGGAACAGATGCCTCAGGCTTCTGGGGACACATGTCCATGACTAGTCCTGGACCTCGACCACAAGGATGTGTGAGAAGCCCCTGCATCCTGGCTCCTGGCCCCTTCCCCTCATGCAGGATGGGACCAGGTGGGCTTTGGGCTTCTGGGACAGAGTTCACTGGTCCAGGGTGGGGACATCCCAACTAGACTAGGTCTGGGGGCTTGTGGAGCTGCACAAAGTGGCTCAGAGCTACCAAGAGCCATGAAGACTAGGAGAGACACTGCAGGTGCCTACTAAGATCTGAGAGGCTCAGGTCCTCTTTGGGCTCAGCACTGGGACCCTGTGGATACTTCCCATGGCTCCTGTGTAGCTCCATGAGGACAGGAGCACATCTCCTTCACCTTGGCATGCCAGCACCTGGCCCAGGTACCATATGAGCTGCTTAAGAGATGTTTGTTGACTGGAACTGACCAGAACCAACCCACAGATGGAAAGAGATGCAGTGGCCCCACAGCCGATAGGGGCAGAGCCGTTGGCCACCGGGTCACTGAGGGCAGATCCCACAGACTGGCCCTGTATAGCCATAGACCCACTGGTGATACCTTCTCTGCAGAGGCCCCAGGCAGGTGGCCTGGGCCTGGTTCTTTGTAAAATACTGTTGCTGAGTTGAGGCTGCACACAGTACCGTCCTGACCCACCCTCCTGCCTCCTCCTGGCTCCTCCAGGGAGGTGGGGGCTGTGCCAGGGTGACAGATGGGCCTGCAGGGCATGGCTTTGGTTGTGCAACTTCCCACAGCCCAGGAGCCAGGCCCCTCCATGTGCAGCGCTGGGAGGAGGGGGCCCAGCAGGCTTTGAAGGGGGCCCAGCTCCCCAGGCCTCCCCAGACTGGGAGCCTTTGAAAGAACATCTGGAACTCGGGCAGCTGGCTAACTAGTCTCCGGATTTGCAAAACCAAGTTAATCCTGACTTTGCTTCTTGTGTGTTCCCCAGCTCTGCCCCCAAGCTCTTCTCTCTCCTCACCCCACCTCCACCTCTGCAGGGGTGGGGGCTGCAGCCTCTCATGGTCTCCCGAAGCACCTTCCCCTTCCAACACTGCGGCCTAGGAGTTTTGCTGAACTGGGCTGAGTTGAGCAGAGGGGTGGGAAGGATGGCTGTTGCCTGTGTCCCTGCCATGCTGGGGCCCTGGGAGAGGACCAGACAGACCACCCCAGCATGGCTGGAGATGGCTGGGCAGCATGTGAGTGGTCCCGGGCGGAAGCAGCTGCACAGACCTGGGAGGTGCCTGGCCTTTACGGGCCCTGAGTCCTGCAGGTGTGCAGGGAGCCCCCCCACCCCCGCCCCAGCTGTGGCTGACTCGGAAACAAGTCCCCCCAACTCCAGGAAACACATACTCACTGGTGGGGGTGCCAGGTGCTGGGCCCATTGTCTCTGCCAGTGCCTTCAGGACCTTAGGGGAGGCCCAGCGACACTCCCCATCCTGCCCCCTCCCCAGGAAAAGACCCAGCTTCGTAAACACAGAAACCACCATCGCTCCCTCCCCCCCCACCTCCCCGTTAAATAAAATCCGGGAAGAACCAGCAGGAGGTCGCATCTGCTGGGGGATGTGAGTCCTTGTTTTGGGGGAAATGAGGAGGTCAGGCCAGTGGGGGCGGGGCAGGGCAGAGCCGCGGCTGGGGAGGTGGGTGCCCTGGGGCTGTAACACGGTTCCCGGGTCCGCCTCGCCCGGTCGGGAGGTCCTGTCATCGGCCTCGCAGCCTCCCCGCCCGGCCCGATTGTGACAGCTGCCGTCAGGGCTCCCCGCCAGGTGAGCAGGCCCCGTCCTTGGGCCGCCCCTGGCGCCCCCTGCCCGGCGTGAGGCCAGGGGTCCGGACTGCGGCCCGAGATAAGCGCCGCGCCCGCCGCCGCTTCCTGCACTTCCAGCGCCTCCGCCGCGCGCGGCTTCCTGTTTTCTCGAGCTGGCGGGCGGGGTCGTGGGGCACGGGGCGAGGGTCGTGGGGGATGGGGCGGGTCTTGGGAGACGGGACAGGGGTGGGGGAGACGGGTCGTGGGGGATGGGGCGGGGTGGGGGAGGAAAGAAGGGTCATGGGAGACTGGACAGGGGTGGGGGACAGGGCGGGGGCCTGAGAGACGGGGCAGGGTCGTGGAGGGGGAATGGGATAGGGGTTGTGGGAGAAGGAGTGAGGTCGGGGAGGTTGGGGTGGTGTCTGGAGGAACAGAAGTTGGGGAAGCCGAAGCAGGCCGGAGGAGTCTTAACAAGAAAGAACCTGGCAGGGCCTGGTGGCTCACGCCTGTAATCCCAGCACTTTGGAAGGCCAAGGCGGGCAGATCAGGAGTTAGGGACCAGCCTGACCTACATGGTGAAATCCTGTCTCTACTAAAAATACAAAAATGAGCCTGGTGTGGTCCTGTGCACCTGTAGTCCCAGCTACTCTGGAGGCTGAGGCAGGGGAATTGCTTGAATCTGGGAGGTGGAGGTTGCAGTGAGCCGAGATCAGGCCACTGCACTCCAGCCTGAGTAACAGAGCAAAACTCTGTCTCAAAACATAAAAATAAAAATAATAATAATGAACGTGGGTTTCCCATGGTTCCCTTCTGCATGGCTGGAGCTGGCCCCTAGGGCTCCCTCCTGGGCCTGGGGCGGAAGTGGTGGGTGGGCTGGATGGAAGGTTGGTCCAGTCCCTGTAGAGCCTTAGTTTTTTGGGGGGGTCTGCTTGGGATTGGAGGTTTGCAGCTCTGGAGCCCCCTTTCCCGGGCAGCTGGTTCTAGTATATGGGTTCAAGGTACTTAATCTATTGTTCATACTTTGTTATTAGAGATATGCATTTTTGTAATTTTAATAAAAACAGAATTACACAAAACATCGTACACAAATGTTCATAGCAACATTATTTACGATAGCCGAAAAGTGAAAGCCATCAGTGTCAGTCAGGTACTGAATAGAATATGCTATATCCTCGCATGGATATACAAGGAGGGAATGTTAGCCACAAAAGGAATGCAGCACTGATACAGGCCACAACATAGGCGAACCTCAAAAGTGTGCAGGGTGAGCCACGCCAGACACGAAAGGCCACAAGTGTACAGTATATTATCCCATGTATAAGAAACGTCCAGGCCACGTGCTGCAAGGCCACAGAGAACAAAAGCAGTTCAGTGTTTATCAGGGCAGGGGGCAGGAAAGAATAGGGAGTGATGGGTTTCTCTTGAGGGTGGTGAAAAGCCCTAAAATTAAAGCTGGGCATGGTGGTACACACCTGCCGTTCCAGTGAGGCAGGGATCACTGCTGTGAATAGCCACTGCATTGCAGCCTGGGCAAAATAGCAAGACCCCGTCTCTTAAAAAAAGGAAAAATAGAGGCCAGGTGTGGTAGCTCGTCTGTAAGTCCAGCGCTTTGGGAGGCCAGGTGTTCAAGACTAGCCTGGGAAACATGGGAGTCTACAGCAAACCAGCAAGGAGCGTCGCTCAGAGGTGGAGCATTTGACTGCAACAGCCAGAATCCTCTAAAATTAGGTAGTGGAGCTGGTTTACAGCCTTGTGAATATAGCAGAATCACTTCATTGCACACTTAAAAGTTTATGTAGGTTTTGTAGAATGTAAGTGGAGTGGTTGGTTTTCCCAGGGTGTGTGTCCTGCTGAGTGGTGGGGCTCAGGTCCCCACACACGTGCCCTCCTTGCTGTCCTAGCAGGACCTTGCTGGGGTCAAGTATGCTCTTCGTCTGGTGTGTGGCCGGGTGTCTGTGTCTGTTGCTTTTCCCAAGGGTGTGCAAAGTGATGACTGTATCTGCTGGGGAGGGGGGTGCACCGTACCTGTCCTCAGCCCCCATTTTCTCTGACTCTGTGCCTGGGCAGCCTGCTGGGCAGAGTTCACCCCTCACTCAGGTCACTCTAGGGACAAGCTGGGTCCTGGGCATGGAAGGTGGGAGGGGAGCTGTGGCCAGTGCCAGGCAGGGCTGCTAAAACTTCCCGCCAGGAGCTAAGGCCTGACTCAGCAGGAGGAGGGGTGGAGACTTCCCTCAGACCCTCAGGGAAGAAGACAGATGGGGCCAGGAGGGGGAGGGGTGTGCAGCTGGTACCAGGGCTGAAGCACCCAGGCCCTGGGGCGGTGGTCCTGCCTAGGAGGGTTGTTCAGCCCTTGTCGGGTAGAGGGGAGATTCCTGGGCTAGGCCTGGAAGAGGCTCCTGTAAGGAGACCCTGCCCACTGCTGCCGAGGAGCTGCCATTGGAACCAGGTGCCCTCAGTGGAAGCCCCTTTCATGTCCCCTTCTGATGCTTCTGGGCATTTCCATCTCTGGGCTGGGATGTGCTTCAGCTTGGGTTCCCCACCGGCCCCCCACTCTGGCACTTGGGGCAGGGGCTTCTCATAAGTACCCACTTTGTCCCCTCCTCATACAGAACATGAGGCTATGTGTTGCCACCCAAGGCAACTTCCAAGCTCTCTACCCTATTGGCCTGGAGGTGGGTGCAGTGGGGGTGAGGAGTCCAGAATAGGGGATGCGTGCTGGCCATGAGGCTGCCACTGTGGTCTCCTCAGGCTGTCTGTCGGGCACTCTTCTGTTTGTGTCTGTGGGTGTTGCTGGGGTAGGTGTGGCTGGGGAGACGCCCAGCCCGACACTGGAGGCTGGTGGGGCTGGTGCTGGGGCTGTTCACATGAATTTAGGCAGCAGGACAGGTGGGGTCTTCTGCTCTTGTTCCTGGTCCCGGGGGTAGGGTGGGGGAAGGCAGGTAATCTCATGCCTGGGTCAGCCACTTGTGGACTCTGGCTGCAGGGTCACCCTCTGGCAGACGTCCCCATCTGTGCTGAGGCTGTTCCCATGGAAGGGGGTGTGCCTTGGGCCTGCTGACCCCAGGGTTCCAGGGGTGGGCCAGGGCAGGAGTCGGAGGGCCAGGAGAGCTGGGTGTGGCTTGCACAGTCTTCCTTGGTGGTGAGCATTCATCTCCTGGTGAGAGCCCAGGAAGAGTCTGCATTGGTGCCTCAGAGATACCCCCGAAAGACAGCTGTGGCTAAACCAGGCCACCCTGGTGTGTGTCCCTTTGGGTCTCACCTTCTCTCCCTCCCTGCTGTGTGCTGGCAGACATGGGTGGTGGCCTTGGCGTCCTGTGGGCTGTGCCGGTGCCTGTGCCTGCCTCTCTACCTCTGAGCCTCTTCTACCCTCTTCAGCAAGTCTGTCCCCTCTGCATACCTCTGTCCCTTTGTCTTTGAGTTCTGTGTGCTCTACTGCCGAAGGGTTGGGGAAGGGGTCCCAGGTGCAGCCCCCTACTGGGGGCCCATCTGAGGGACGTTGCTCATGCTGATTAATACAGAGGTGACATGCCCTGCTTGAGGGGAGGGTCCCTGTAAAATACCCCATCCCACCCCGCAACACACACTTGGGAAGCAGGCCCACCTGCATGCACACAAGCCCATGCCCACCCCGCCCAGACTGGCTGCACATCCACATGCCAAACACGCCGTCACCCGCATGAGGGCCACAGGGAGTCCCACTCACACACATGCAGAATCACAAAGGCATGCAACACACTCTTGAGGTGTGCACTCTGCACCAGGAGGCTGAGCCGTGAGCGAATTTCCACACCAGGGCTGTCAAGGCTCAGCTCCCCACTGACTCCCTACCTATGCAGACAGGGTGCTGGGGCAGGACAGGCCCTTCCGCCAGGAGGGAGACACATGCTCCTCCTCTTGGCTGATACCTGCCAGGGAGTGTGTGTGTTCACTTCTGGGGGTGATTGCTCCAACCTTCCCTAAACATGTGGGCTCGAGGTCAGGAGGACCAAGAGGTCAGCATGGAAAGAGGGTGTCCAGCATTGGGGGCTAGTATGATATGGCTCCAACGTTGGGCCTCTGCTGCCTTGTTCATGGACCTGGTCTCTGGGCAGAACTGGAAGAACTGGACAGGTGCCTGGGGGAGCGCTGTGGGTGTCATGGAGCTGCCCTCCCTGGGGTTTGTAAGAACAGCTGATGGAGACCCCTGCAATGTCTGCATGTGGGCTGCCAACCTGCCAGTCTCCCTCAGGAAGGGTGCCATACTAGGCAGTCCTTGGCATGGAAGGTGTAAGGTGGAGGGAAGGGCCATGAGACCCTGACCTCCAATAGGCTTGAGTTAAAATGGGGGTGGAACCGGAAGGGAGTGGAGGGCTGGGGGCAGAGTGGACCCCACGCCTGCCACCCATGCTCTGTGGGATGTGTCCCAGAAGGAGGGAGGAGTGCTATAGGGTTCCAGCTGGGAGTCAGGCTCCCTGGGGGAGATTAGGAGGGAAGGGGCCTGCAGAGCTATTTGGGAAACTGCCCTTCCCTCCCTGCAAACACCACAGATGTCAGTGTGCAGAGGAAAGGCTGGAGGCTTTATTGTGGCCTCTCCACCAGGGTCCCAGCCCCTGGCTCCTCCGGTGCAGCAAGCAAACATCCTTATTCCTCACGTTTCAAAAGCCTTTGCCACAGTGATGCTTCTGATCACTGAAACTTCTTGGAAGAAAAGTTTAAGAGTTTAAAAATTAAATATATTGTATTAGGTATATTTTTTAAAAGGGCAAAGTAAAAAATATTAATATAATCTGGTTGTAGAAAATACACTGCAAGAAAAAGAATAGGTGCTTCAAAAATGCAACCCTGGCTACAGGTCCTCGGTCTCCAGGAAAAGCCCCGGGACAGTGGGAACTCCAGGCACCCTCGCAGGGGCCCCTGAGGGCAGGGGGCCTGGGGGTGGAACAGGCGCAAGGCCGAGCATCCCTGGCTCCTAGGGGGGCTGTGACACGGAGCCAGACATACACGCGTGGAGAGAGCAGGGCGGGCAGCGACGCGGGTCACTCGTGGGGGCTGCGGGAGGAGGCGCTGCAGGGACGCGCGCGGTCTAGCCCGAGATGCACGCGCTGTAGTAGACGGCGCTGCTGGCGTCCGACAGCGCGGAGATCAGGCTGCTCTCCTCAGGGCAGGACATGGCGCGCGGGCCCAGCTTGGCCAGCGCCACGTGGTACGGGAGCCCGGGGGCGTCGGCCCGAGTCCGGCTGCAGTTGAGGTACTGGTCGAACTCGGTGAGGTCCACGTCGGCCCACAGGTCGGCCGCGGGCCCCAGCGGCTCGGCGCTCTCCAGCTGCGGGGCCTCGGGCGGCGGCGACAGCGGACCGGGGAACGGGCCGGGCGCGCCCAAGGCGCCGTAGTACAGGCCGGCGAGCGGCGCCGCTGGGGGCGCGGTCCTGAGCGCCTCGGCCAGGGGGGCCCCGTAGCAGCCGCCGGGGTCCCGGGACAGCTCGGCGGGTGCGTAGGGCGCGCGGAAGGCCCGCAGCGCGCAGTCCTCGGGCGCCGCGGGCGGCGGGAAGAAGGCGGCCTCGCCGGGCTCCAGGCCGTCCAGGGGAGAGCGCTCGGGCGTGGGCAGCCCCAGGCCGTCGAACTCGGCGCCCAGCGCGGGCAGCTCGCGGAAGGCGCGAGCCGAGCCGGGCGCCGCGGGGAAAGGCTCCGGCGGCTGCGGCGCCGCCAATCCCGGGAGCAGGAGGCCGGGCTCCAGCCGCCGGGCCTTGCGCGCCTGCTTCTTGCGGCGCGGCCGGTACTTGTAGTTGGGGTGGTCGCGCAGGTGCTGGACGCGCAGCCGCTCGGCTTCCTCCACGAAGGGTCGTTTCTCCGCCGCGTTTAGCTCCTTCCACGCTTTGCCTGCGAGCCGAGGGCGCCAGTGAGTGCCCGGCCGTCCGGCGGGTGGGCCGAGCCCTCCGAGCACCTGGGACGCGCGGCCCCGGGTCCCCGGATCGCTGCCCCGCCCGGCCCGAACCCCGCGCCCGCTCCCCTGCCTGGGCCCCGCTCCCCGCCCCGCCGCCCTCCGCTTACCCAGCATCTTGCTGAGCACCGCGTTGTGCAGATCGGGGTTCTGCTGAGCCAGCCGCTTGCGCTCGTCCTTCGCCCACACCATGAAGGCGTTCATGGGCCGCCGGATGCGCGATTCGTCGGCAGCCTGGCGTTCCCCGCGTCCGGCCGGGCTGAGGCCATAGCGCCCCGGCTCGGGGCTGCGCGGCGGGGTGCGCGGCGGGCTGGGCGGCGAGGCGGGCGCGGCGGGGGCGGCGGCGAGGCCGCGCGGGTCAGCGGCGGCCCCGCGTCCCGGGGCCCATGCACAGTCGCGGCGGGCGGGCGGGTCGTCCTGTGCGCCGTAGCCGGGCGGCGATCTCTGCATTCCAGCTGGGCGCGGCCTGGGCGGAACGGAGCGCGGGAGCGCGGCGGGCACTGCGGAGCCGGGCGCGAGGGCGGAGGGCGGTGGGGACGGCGGAGGGCGGTGGGGACGGCGGTGGCCTCGGCCGGGCGGGCGCCCAGATATAGCGGCTTGGGGCCAATCGGCGGCGGGGCGGGCGGGCCGGAGCGGGCCCGCCCCCTCCCCGGGGGCCCCCTTTCTTCTCTGGCCGGGAGGAATTCCGCCGAGGCCTCCCCCTCGCAGAGCCCCCCGCCCCCTCTCAGAAGGAGAGACCCCCGGGTGGGAAAGGGCTGCCATGTGGGCCGGTGCCGTCAGACTGTCAGAGCCCAGCTGCCACCCACCCACGGAGTTGGACCCCCGGGCAGTCACGGGGCGGGCGGCAGTGTCCTGCTCTGCGCCATTCCCCGCAACACCCCCCCATCTGCGCCGTCCCCCGGACCCCCGTAGGAGGTTCCACTGCGGGGAGAGGGCCCTTTTTCACTCCAAGTTCTTGGGCGGCTGCCTCCCAGCAGCCGGCAAGTCTTCCTGGAGTGCAGCACCTTTGAAGAAGCCTCTGTCTTTGGGGAAGCCTCTGACTACCCAGGGGCGTTCATGCTCCTAACTCCGAACTCACGTGCAACTGTCAGCCCCAGGAACTCTGAATGCCCTCAAGGGACAAAGTGGTCTTCGTGTTTCTGTCCCCACTCTGAAACCAACTTTGGCACAAGGGAAAGCTGACACAGGCTGGGAGAGAGCAGATGGCCTGGAGGAGCCGGCAGAGTAAAGGGAGAGCAGAGATGCAGAGGTCCTGGCCTCCTCCCTGCCCCCCCAGGGCCCTTGTGGAGGGGGCTGGGACCCGCAGGGGCCACTGGCTCCCCTGCCCAGCCCAGGCCACCGCTGCAGCAAGAAGGTGTGAGGCTGGGCAGCTACAAGGAGCTGGGTCCTTCCTGCTGGCCCCTCCCTGGACCCTCTCACCTGGGGGAGGGGGTTCCAGAGGAGCAGCTAGCTTCTTGAATTTTCACTGTCGCCCTCCCACCCCATCAGGGGGCGATCTGGGCTCCCACTGCCAAGCATCGTTCTACTGGAGGAGGGTCAGTGTCCCCCGAAGCCCTGAAGGCAGGGTCGGAATCCCCCCCACACTCCTTGAAGCCGGGAGGCTCCCCAGTCCCCCTCACTGTGCCGGGAGCCCCATGGGTAGAGGCCACAGGTCTTGGTGACCCTGGGCCTGTGCAGCCAGAAGCTCTTGATGCTCTCTGTCCCTGCCGGCCTCATCCAGCCTGTGTCATGAACGAGCTGGGCTCTGTGTGAGCCTTGCAGTGCCTCTCAGGGGCTGTTCCTGAACTGTCTCCAGGGCTGCTCCTGTTCTGAGGAGAGGCCCGTACCCCCAGGGGGCACCCCCACCCGAGGTGTCATAGCCCCACATCACAGTCTGGCGTGGGGGCTCAGCAGCGACACCCATCATCCCAGTGTGCGGGGCTGGGTCTCCCAGTCTGGTCTCCAGATCTCCCCTTGCTCCAGTTTGCCCCACTGGCCCAGCACCTCATTCACAGACACTGAGCCAGTGCTGGCAAATGGGGGCCCTTTGGGGCATCAGGAGGTGCGGCCTCTGGCTTTTCTGGGGAGGCAGGCAGGGTTGTGGCCACAGGGGTGGGAGGGCTCAGTCCTCTGCCAGGTGGTGCTGGTTCCCCTTCCATCTCAAAGTGGGTGGGTGGATCCTCGGCCCAGTCTCAGTGTGGGTGGGCGTCCTGGGGCAGCAGGCAGGAGGGTGCAGGGGGATGGGGAGCTGTGTGAAGATCCCCAAAGGGCTACCACTTAGTAGAGGCTCCCTCTACTCACAACCTTGGGGATACAGTCTGGGGTCACCAGGGCCTGGCTCAGCCTGGGCAGTGGCTGGTCACTGGGGCCTGGGAAAGAGGTCCTCTGCAGCAGCCTCCACACATTGGGAGGGATCTGCAGTTCCCTGGGGGTTCTGCCTGGCCCTCTTCTGCCCCTGAGAGCCCAGAGTCATTGGAGCTGCTCTAACATAGTGGCAGGCAGTGTCCAGCATGACCTCATCGCCTCCTCATCCCCCCCAACACCCACCAGCAGCCGCCTCGCCTGGCGCCGGCCATGACCCTCCCTCTTGGCTGTGCTGTGGGACTCAGGTGTCCGGCTGTCATGTCCTGTGAGCCAGGGCTAGGCGGGGAGCCTCCTGGGGTGCTCCTTTCCCTCTCTGGGGTCCAGGCTACCCCCCCGCCCCGTACACTACATGGCAGGGAGGAGGACGGCAGCCCTGGCCCTCTGGCTCACTGTCCAGATGGGACAGAGTGGGGTTAGGGACAGCAGTCAGGGTGGTGTGATCCTGGAGCCGCAGGGCTGCAGGGACTCCAGGGCTGTTCAGGGATGGTGTGGGTGTGGCCTACTGTGCTGAGGGAGGGGCATCCGATGTGTGTCTGTGTGTCTGTGTGTGGCCTGTGTCTGTCTGTCTGCCTGGGTGTGGTGTGAGGGGGACTCTCGTGCTGGAGGCTGCCCAGGGCCTTGGGAGCCAGGCCAGCTGGACTCTCCCAGGAGGAGATGAAGACCCATAGGTCTAGGACCAGGGGTCCTGCTCCGTGAAGTGTGGAGGGTCCCCAAGGCTTCTCCAAAGGAGGGCAGGCAGTTCATGCATCTCAGGACATTCCTCTGCCTCTGGAACCCACCTCAGTGTATCCTGGACTGGGGGTGGCTACGGCCCACCCTTAGGAGGGAGCTTGTCTGTAGCCCCCAAGCCCCAGACAGAAAGGCAGAGTTTGGGGGCAAGCCTTCTCTACAAGGGTGGGGCTGGCCTGGGTACTGAGTGAACACTGTCCTCCCACCCAGCACCTGCCCCTCTGCCTCAGCCTGGACAGGGCTTGCAGCCTCCAAGTGAGACCTGCAAAGGGTGCTGGGTAGTCCCCCTCGGTGGCTCTGGGTGGGGGCTTGGCTTGGCGAGGCTCTGGGTTGGGATGGCGGGACCTCCCAGGCACTGCCTGGGCACAGACCTCCCAGGCTCCCACCAGCCCAGACCCTGCAGAGCAGTGGGGCTGGGACCAATTACCAAGTCCTGCAGGGCCTGGACCCTCTTGCTCCTCAAGGGTGGAGTGGGGGTTCCTTTTGGATATAGTTTCAGGTGGAGGGAGCTCCCTCCAGTTCAGATCCCACCTTCTGCGCACTGCTGAACACCTCCTCCTGCAGGGAGCCCCCGACCTCTCAGCCACTGTACTCAAGAGGCCGTAGCATCTCCGTCTCTTTCTGTCTGCAGCCTCGGTGGGCTTCCTTCGGGACCCATGAGACATGTCCGGCTTCTCAGGAGCTCTGTCTTCAGCAGGCCTCGTCCTTGGGTTTCAGCTCCAGGCCTAGTGAGGCATGGCCAGGGCAGGGGGAATGTGAGGCTGGGGCCAGGGTCTATGAGGAGGCCAGCTCACGCCTCACAACCAGGTGGACAGTGTGTGCCCGTCTCTCTTGGCCAGTGACAGCTCCGGTTCAGGTGGACACGGGGGCCTTTGCCCAGGGACAGAGGCTTCTCCGGTCTCTGTGCCTTCCAGCTCTTGGTCCTGCTGTGCACATGTCTCTGGCCTTCCTATGTGCTGCTGGCCTCAACTCTAGGAGAGGGCAGGTGGGGGCAGCAAGTGCCTGTGCTTTCCTGGGCATGAGCAGAATGAGAGGTGCATGTGCTCACGCTCACCTGGCAGCGCCTCTCAACTGTTAGATGTGGGGTCGGTTCACCTGGCGATTTGCTACAGTCCAGTGGTTCCGAGAGTCGCATGCAGAGCCGGTGTCTTCAGTGCAGGTTGGCGGAGGTCTGAGGGTGTGGGTGGGGTGCTGCTGCTTTAGTCTAAGGGGTGATGTGCCAGTCACTCTGCAATGTCAGGGGTCTCATCTATGCTGGGTGCTAGGGGCCAGCAGGACCGGGAGGGGTGGGGACTTCTCTGAGCCAAGGGCCACAGGGGGATTGTGGGGATGGGAGTGCTGTACGCATAGGGTGATGCTGGGCTTCGGGCTGCAGAGGCGGTGTGGACAGTCAAGATCAGGTCACCTGCAGTGAGGGGGCTTCTGCGGGTGCTCCCAGGGCCCTGGTGATGTGGAAGCTGTTCTCAAATTCTGGGCAGTTGTGCTGTGATGGGCATGTGCCTCGGGTGTTGTCATGGGCTGTGCCTGCTTTTCGGGGCACAAGAGCCGGGGTGTCAGAGCAGCTGCTGGAGCTCTGACTGTTGTGTGGCCCTCTGGGGGTATTCTGCCTGAGGATGGCTGTAGGGTCACTGTGTCCCTGGGTGTCTGTGCACCCTTCCCAGTGCTCCCAGAGGGCTGGGGGAATCCATGGGAAGCAGGCTGGGGGCTGGGCTGCCCCAGATTTCTGAGGCAACAGCAGGGCAGGGCCAGGAAACTGCAGCTCAGGAAGGAAGGCCGGCTTCGCAGTGAGGAGGGAGCAGGGGGCCAGCTTAGGCTGAGCAGGCGCCAGACTTTCTGTCGTGCACCCTGGCCTCACTGGCTGGGCGCTCCTGCCCTGTCCATGGTCCCCACCCTCGTCTTCCCCCACTGGCCTGGCGCCCCTGCCCTGTCCACGCGCCCCACCCTCGTCTCCGCCCCTATGCTTGTAGGGCTGCCTTTCTTCAGACCTGGGTGGCTTGGTGTGGGTCTGTGGGTAACCCGGCCCTGTGCTTATGTGAGCCCTCTCCTCTGTGGAGGCCTGAATGCTCCTCTACAGCTCTGTAGCCCCCGTGGTGGCTGATGGGGTGACCTGCATGGCGGGGCATGTGTTAGCACACTCCAGTTCCCAGGGTCCTTGGAGGGCAGTGCCCACTCTGACCGCCCCGTCCTGGGCCGGCCCAGCCTCCTCCTCTGCCAAGCTGGGAAATGGGCAGAGGGAGACACCCTCAGGGTCACCTGTCTCCCACCTCGGCGGGCACCGCGGGGCTGGAAGCCTGAAGCTGTGTGTTTCTTTCTGTTGCTTGTCCTGACATTGGTGACAGCCAGCTGGGGCTGCCACACGGGCTGGAGGGGGCAGGCCTGTGTTCTGGGTGTTCATCCACCCCTTCTTGCTCAGGGACAGGTGACATCTATCCATCCAGTTGTTACTGAGCACCTGCCGTGTAGCAGACCCTGTTTTAGGAGTTAGGAATTTGGCAGAGAACAAAATAGACGGATACCTGCCTATGGGAAGCTTCCATTTTGGTGAGAAGAGACAATCAACAAATCCACAGACAGGCCAGTGGCTCATGCCTGTAATCCTAGCACTTTGGGAGACTGAGGTGGATGGATCACCTGAGGCCAGGAGTTGGAGACCAGCCTGGCCAACATGGTGAACCCCCGTCTCTACTATAAAAAAAAATACAAACATACAAAAATTAGCCAGGTGTGGTGGCGCATGTCTGTAATCCCAGCTAGTCGGGAGGCTGGGGCATGAGAATCGCTTGAACCTGGAAAGTGGAGGTCGCAGTGAGCCGAGATTGCACCACTGCACTCCAACCTGGGCAACAGAGTAAGACTCCATTTCCAAAAGCAAACAAAAACGAAAAACAAACATTAGGGGCAGGGTGGTGCATGCATATAATCCCAGCTACTCAGGAGGCTGAGGCACACGAAGTGCTTGAGCCAGGGATGTGGCGGTTGCAGGGAGCCAAGATCCTGCCACTGCACTCCAGCCTGATGACAGAGGACTGTCTCAAAAAACAAAAACAAGGCAAAACAAAAAACCCAACCAAAACCAAACCCACAAACAAGCCAGAATTTGGGGTCAGGTACAGGGAGGAGGGGCTATCTCAGGACCACTCTTGGCTTGCCCTTGGGGTTCATGGGAGGAGTGTTTTAACAGAGGAAGGAGCATGTATTAAGGCCCTGGGGCAGGGAAGTCTGCTGGTGCAGAGAGAAGGGGAGGAGGCTCAGAGTTGGGTCTGGGAGGGTCTGGCATTTTCTCTGAGTAACATGGGACCTTGGGAGGTTCTGAATGGAGTGTGAGTGGCCTCAGCTCAGCTACTGTGTAAAGATGGGGCCGTGTGGGGCAGGAGGGACAGGCTCGCCATCAGCAGAGAAGGCAGGGGGCTCTGCTTCTGCAGGTGGGCCTGGCCAAGGTTGGCTCTCAGCCCCCACTCTGGCTGCTCCAGAAGTCTCCCTGGTCTCCCTCGAGGAGACCTGGGCCCCTGGGAGGTGCTGCCTCAGGGAACCCTGGTTTTGCTACCCTATGAGTCAGGCCTCCAGGCTTCACCCAGAGCCCCGACCCCATGGCTGCCTGGGGCCTCTGGGGAGGGGGAGGGTGGAGCGGCCGCCAGGCTGGCGGGCTGGCAGGGCAGGGAGGGCAGCATTTCTGGGAATTGTGTGGGGGAAGTGCATTGTTAGAGCAAGCCTGGAGCAGGCCGCTAGGGCCACCATCAGCCTCTGGGGATGCCTCTTGCCTCCCCCAGCTTTGCTTCTGCGGGAGGGAGCTGGGACTGGGCCAGGGCTATGGGCTGGGCTGGGGACTTTCCGAGAGACGCTGCCCTGGGCAGGTGGCTCTTCCCATTCTGCGGACTGGGTGACTGAGGTTCAGAGAGCCGGCTGCTGCGATGGCAAAGTCCCCACCCCGCCCTCCTCTGCTGGTGCATGGGGCAGGGGAATACTTGCTGGACCAACGGCCCATCGCTGCCTGGCATCCGAGGGAGGCCTGGGTGGGGTCTACTGGTGTCACAGCTCTGTAGCCCCCATGGTGGGCTGATGGCTGGATGGGGCGCAGAGACAGCACCTGGGGACTTGGGCCATGGGAGAGCTGCCCATGGGTGGCAGGGGATTGGGGCTCCCGGGGCTGCAGGATCCCCCAGCCCCCACTCCGTGGTTATAGGAAGCAAGCAGGGCTCCGTGTGAGTCTGGCAGCAGGAACCTTCCCACCGCGGCGCTGCCTCGGCCAGAGGGGAAGCATGGATGGCGGCCACTGGGGTCATGGTCGGCTTTGGGCGGGCAGGGGGCGGGGGAGGCAAATAGAAAAATAAATGGCCTGCGCTTCCGATGTTTCCTGGACTCAGGATGGGGGATGGGCAGACCTTTGGGCCAAAGGTCCTGTGGGATGGACTGGGGGGGTTCTCCCCAGATGTCTGTTGGGGCCTGGGCTGCCCCCTCAGACCTCCAAGGTGGGACACAGCATCCCCTTAGGGCCCTCAGGACAGGGCCCTATTCCCCACAGAGAATTCCTAAAGGACTATCCATACTTCTCTGTCCATAAATACATCAAGTATGGAGGACATCCTGGAGGAGGAGACAGAACCCTCCACTTGCTGAGGTACAGCCCCAGGTGAGGCTGGCCGCAGGTGACCACAGAGATCCAGCCTGGTGTTGCGTGGCCACTGGGTCTGTGAAGGGGATTGAGGCACTCCTCACCCTGTGGCAGCTCCTAATCAGGAGGCTTCTCCCCTCCACCTGCACATCATGTGGCTGTGGCTCCCAGTATGAAACAGGCCTGGCACCTGGAGTGGGTGAGTGGGCGTCCCTCCCCTCCATCTGCACTGCCTCCGCTGTGAGCACCCTTTAGGCTATGTGCATTTCCGGCTCTGTTTTCAGGGTTTAACCCAAACTTGAACATCAGCCGTGGCCCTAATGTGGCAGAGTGGAAGCCAGGCCTTGTCCTCTGGGCTGTGGGAGAGACAGACACTCTGGCCAGTCGACGGCGGCTCCCTGTGTGTACAAGGCTCCCACCTGCGTGCCTGCCTGAGACAAACACAGAGGAAGGAAAGTTCCTCAGCTGCAGAGGTTGGAGGATGGGAGGAGGGTTTGGAGCAGCGCCTGTGGGGATGCCCCACAGGAGACTCGATGGTTCTGATGTGTCAGCTTCTGGGTGCAAATTCCTGAGGGCACAAGAGGGTCTGGTGGCCCTGGGCAGCTTGCTCGGGGAAGCTCCGTGGAGGAGGCTGAGGTCGGGAAGGTCCAGGAGGGGTCTGCCAGCGGGGGCCAGAATGCTCTGAGCAAGGTCCCAGAAGTCCAGAGCTCCTGAGGGACCCGGGATCAGGGGAATTTCAGGGTGGGTCACCGCCACAGCCCTCACAAGCGAGGCCCCTCTCTGGGACTGGTCACCTTCTCACCTCGCCCGGTTCACAGTCCTGGGAGGCAGCTGTGGCTGTTGCTGGGAACCAACAGGACCTTCCGGGGACTTCAGGGTGGGGTGGTGCTGCACGGCCATGGGTCCATGGCTCACTCCCGCCACCTAGAGGCCACTGCTCCTCATGGGCTCTGGGACCAGTGGCCTGCCTCTGCCCTGGGGCAGAACCACCCCACCAGATGGCAGGCTCTCTGCTCACCTGGATGGGCTGACACCTCTCCCCCTGCAGTGGCTACTTGCACACAGGGCTGGACCATGCCAGGGTTCAGGGCTCCTGTCATGGGGTGTGGCTGGCGGCCACACCTGACCTCTCCAGCTAACCTCCTTCCCTGCCTGTCCCGTCCACTCCTTTCTCTCCATCACCTGCCCCTGCCGGAAGCCAGGCCACCACTGACTCCTTCCACAACCTGTCTGACCAGGCTCCCATGTTCCCTGATGCAGCCCTGTAGGCTGGGTCCCCTTCCTGAGGAATCCCCGACCTGCTAGCCATTGTCCTCAAGTGTGAGCCTCCACTGGGACCCACTGAGACATGTCAGGCTCCTCACGAGCTCTGTCTTGTGTGGCCATTCCCGGGGCCCCACCTGGCATCTCGTGGAGGAGGGAAAGGGCCCAGCACAGGGCCTCTACTGGCTCCGTTCCCAGAATCCTCGCTGAGGCTCCTCCACAGTGCACAAGGTAAAATTTGTGGAATCGTAGAGGAGACCAGTTATACCAACATGCCGTATGGAAACGTTTTCTGAAAGTGTGATACTAAAACCCAAGTATTTCTTTACCAATTCGCCAAACAAGGCGTGAGACACCGGCAGCCTCTGCAGCTCCAGCAGCAGCAAGCATGGGTTCGATGCCATTCCCATCTGTCTGGGTCAGCCGTGGGCCCAGCTCACCACATTTGGTTCATGGCCTGGTTCTTAACTGAATGATGCCTTTCTGCTAGAGGTCAGTATGAAGAGGATGATGGTTTCTTCCCACCAGTTTATTTTCTGTCATGGGTTTGGTCTCTACCCCCTGGATTGTTGAGACACCTCCCACCGTTCCCTTCCATCTTACGTGGCCACCCCCCACCAGCTCCCAGACCCACCATGTCTGTTCCACACCGTCGTCTTCACACACCCTGTCCTGCAGTGGCCTCTGTCCCTCCCCGAAGCTTGGGAAGGTTGTTAGGGCTTCGATACACACCCCAGACCACATCCCTCTCCCTCCCAATTCTGGGACACGCTCTGCACCTCTGAGAAGCAGCTCCCAGCCCTTCTGAGCCTCTTCCCCTGGGAACCCCTAGTTTCTCATCCACACTGGCTGGCCTGTGGCCTGTACTTCTGATCTGCACACAGGTATCACCGAGGACAACGACCCCAGGGTCCCAGCCCTCGGTGGGGGTGGGGAGTACAAGGGCAGTAGTCTTTGTTCTCAACCAGCAACCTAGGTCATGCTTTGAGAGTCAGTATGCTAGGGGATCTTTGTGGCTTAAAACATTCAGATGAACCAGATATTAAAAGTGTCCCTCAGCTGGGCGTGGTGGCTCACTCCTGTAATTCAAGCACTTTAGAGGCCAAGGTGGGCGGATCACCTGAGGTCGGGAGTTCAAGACCAGCCTGACCAACATGGTGAAACTCCGTCTTTAAAAAAAAAAAAAAAGTGTCCCTCATGCAAAGTCCCTCCACTGGGTCAGCCAGCCTGGGGAGGGCCAAGGGTGGGTCTCTAGTCTGGTTTTTGGGGGCATCTGTGTGTATTCCCTCCCCAGAACCTTGTGCTTGTCCATCCTGAGGAGAAGTCAGGTGGGGAGCAGCCTCACTGCTGGCTCCTCAATGGTGGCTTGCTCCAGGGGTCTGTGCTGATACCCCAGACCCCACCCCACCAACACCTCAACCAGGACTGAGGGTGAGCATGGCTGCACAGACTCCTCTGACAGCTCCGTGATGCTTCTGGGGTGTTGGCCCTCTCTCCTTTCCGCTGCCACTCTTAGGAACTTGCAGCTGTCTGGGGCAGTTCTCTTCCATGCTGCACCTCTGTCCTCCACCCCTTACCAGCCTCTTAGGACCTCCAGCCCCGATGCTTGGAGGTCTCCCCAACCTCCAGCTCAGGCTGGCTCCCTTTGGGGAGCCCTTTGGTCTTCAAATGAACTCACCCTCAACCACTGCAGAAGCCTGTGTGTCTGGCTGGACAGGCTCCATGGATGTGTCCAGCGTCCTCACAAATGATGGGAACCAGCTTTGAAACCCTAGCCGCCAGGACTTCTGAAGCCTCACTTTCTGGGGTTCCTGCTGGTCCTGCACAAGGGCGGCTCCAGTGAGGCTTCTACAGGACCCTGGCCAGCTCCCTGGTCTGGACGTCAGCCACTGAGAGGGCAGTTGAAGGGTGGGTAGCTCCTGCCTCCACTGGTGCCCAAGATGGGGCTGGACCCTTCAAGCCTTCGTATATGCCCAAACCATGGGATTCTAGCCACGAGGACCTGCTTGGATGGTCTAGGCTGGAATCGATAGGCCCTGCTCACACTGAGGGGTAGAATTAGTCGGTATGGAAATGAGGTATTTTTTTTTTTTTTTTTTTGAGACAGAGTCTTGCTCTTTCGCCAGACTGGAGTGCAGTGGCACGATCTCAGCTCACTGCAACCTCTGTCTCCCGGATTCAAGCGATTCCCCTGCCTCAGCCTCCTAAGTGGCTGGGACTACAGGTTCGCCACCACGCCCGGCTAATTTTTTTTTTTTTTTGAGACGGAGTTTCGCTCTTGTTACCCAGGCTCTAGTGCAATGGCGCGATCTCGGCTCATGGCAACTTCCGCCTCCTGGGTTCAGGCAATTCTCCTGCCTCAGCCTCCTGAGTAGCTGGGATTACAGGCACGCGCCATAGTGCCCAGCTAATTTTTTGTATTTTTAGTAGAGACGGGGTCTCGATCTCTTGACCTCGTGATTCACCCGCCTCGGCCTCCCAAAGTGCTGTGATTACAGGCGTGAGCCACCGCGCCCGGCCTAATATTTTGTATTTTAGTAGAGACGAGTTTTCACCATGGCCAAGATGGTCTTGATATCAGCAAATCACCTGGCATCTGTGTTACTGAGGAGCTGGCAGGCATTGGTGGGCATGCTGGCCCTGCCTTCTCCTTGTCCTAACCCTCCCCAGGCCTGGCCCATCTCTCTGGCTGCCTGCAGTGTGGTCCTAAGTGGGGACCTCCAACAGCAATGGCAGTGAACACTAATTGTCACGCTCCATCCCCCGCTCGGTTCTCAGGCATGTGATGAGAAGCAGCTTACATCACCTTGACAAGAGCCCTGTGAGGCTGACAATCTCGTCATTCCAGTTTCACAGGTGGGGAGACTGAGGCACAGAGCAGTCAACGTGCAGAGCCCAGCATCTGCTCCCGGGTAGCTGACTGTGGAGGCAGGAGCCTTGCCCACGCACCCTCTGCAGGGGCCCCCGGCACCTCGCGAACCCCAGCACTGGCCCCTTCCAGACGCCACGTCCAGCTACTGCGCACTCATACCTGCAGGCCCCCCAAACCTCCTGGAGAGGTGACATCCCCGCAGAGGCCCAGTGACCCACACTCGGCCCTGGAACGCTGGGGATGGCCTTCCAGGTCAAGGCCGGTGTGCGCGGGGCTCAGCGGGGCCCAAGAGCAGGTCTGAGGGCGGTAGGTCCTGAGCCACCCACCGAAGGACGCCGGGGGAGAGCAAGACCCGAGACAGGAGGAGAGAAGGGGGCGGACTCCGGACCTACTGGGCCCCAGCCGCTCGGGGCTGCCTGAGCTCCGGGAGGGACTTGCTGAGGGCGCTTTCCTCGCGGGGCATTGTGGGATCACGAGTCTCTGGCGGCAGCGCGTCAGGACTACACTTCCCAGGAGACTGTGCGCGCCGCATGGCGCCTGGGGGTTGTGGTTCAGAACGCGGCGAGCACGGGTGCGGGGAGCGGGGCGGGCGGGCGCGTGGACTACGCGTCCCAGGATGCCGCGCGCGGCCGCGGGGCGAGGGTTTGAACCGGGGTCTGCCGCCCGCGGCGGGCCTGCGTCGGCTGCGGCGGGTGCGGGAGGTGGCGACGGCCGGGGCTGGGGTCCCAGCCAGGCGGCGGAGGTGGGCGCGGCGGCCGCGGGGGGCGCTGCTCCTGAGGTGATGATGGGCAAGGAGGAGGAGATTGCGCGGATCGCCCGGAGGCTGGACAAGATGGTGACCAAGAAGAGCGCGGTGAGGGGCGCGGGCCGCCAGGACCCCGGGACCCCCGCCCCGCCGAGACCCCGTCGAGCCTGCCGACCCCCGTTAGGGCCGGAAGACGACCTGAGGGGCAGGACAAGACCCCTCCCCGGCAGAGACTCCCGGGACGCAGGGAAGACCCCCACCCGTGGCCGAGACCCCTGCCCCGGGCCCGCCCTGCCGTTCACTCCCTCACTCCCGCATCCCCGGGAGAGGCCGCACCTGGGCCTGGACCTTGTCCCGGGAGCCACCTGCTCTGGACTCAGCCCCACCTCCCCGCCCGCAGTGACAGGCTTGCACCCTTCCCTGTCCCTTAACTGCAGACCCGAGCCCGGCCCCTCCCCGCTTCTCGGAGCCCCCGGGGTGTTCTGGCCTCCCGGGCCCCCTTGCCTTCCTCCGTCCGGGCCTGGGCATCCTCACGGGCCGAGCCCCGCCCCCAGCTCAGCCCTCTCCCGTAGCGTTTGTCACCGGCAAGAGTCTGGAGTCTGAGGTCCCCTTTTCCTCTGGAGCTTTTGTGCCTCCCCTACCTCTTCCCGGCCCTGGTCGTCATCCTTCACAGGCCCTGTCTGTCCCCACCCCGCAAGAACCAGGTTTCTCTAATAAATTCTCTCCCTTCTTTAGCCAGGATTTAGCCCGCAGCAACTTGGGTTGTGGGTTGTTATGTGGATACCCCCGGAAAAGAGCCGGTGTGCTTATATAAGACCCAGAAGGTCGGGCAAGCCTCCCCCGGGAGTGTCTGACCAGCTCTGCTCACTGCGGCCTGGGCCTCTGTCGTCTTGCTGCCACGGCAGGACTTTGGAGGAGGCTGTGTGTGAGGCCTTTGAAGGGGCCAGGCCCGTGGGGGTCCAGTTCCACTGTCATGACCTTGGCGCCCTGTGCACCTTTGCACAAAAGCATCTTTAGAGGATGGTGCCTGTCTCCTGGGGGTGGGGAGGGGTCTGGTCACAGGTCAGGTGGAGCTCCTGGCCGGTTCAATAAATGTGGCCTGTGCTTTCCCACCCAGACTGTGAGCTCCTAGAGCAGGGCCAGCCCAGGGCGGTGAAGGTGGCTGAGTCATGGGCTTTGGGTGATTTGTGCAGCTACACCAGGGCTGTGTGACTGCAGTAGTGGTCTTTGGGGGGAGCTTTTTGGGCTGAGCAGGGTTGAGTGTGGGTTCCTGTTGACCAGGGTTTTGGGCTGGGATCTGCACTGGGAAGGGGTGGGCTCCCACTCATTTCTGCTGGGTGCAGCACTGCCATCACTGCATTCACATGCACCCCGGGAAACTGCTCAGCACAAAGTAGGGGTCTGTGAACCTTCTATAGCTGTTTCCAGAGATGACCTGAGAATGGAGTTATTTCCCCTCTTAAAGGAGACAAAACACAAAAGAGAAAAACTGTAGGTGGGAGAAGCAGGGATGGGTCACAGAGCCAGGGGAGGGCTGGGTGGGGCTCGAAGAACTGACATTGGGGGTTCTGATGGAAGAACAGCTTGAGTAGAAGCCCCAGGAGAGAATGAGGAGGGGGAAGAGGGCCAGCAGAGCCTCCTGGGGGGTCCCAGTGCCTGAGGTCGCCTGGGGGACTTGAGGGCCAGGCTTGGTGGTTTTTATGTCCCTTATCCTGAGCCCACTGAGAGTCACATAAGCTGGTGCAGAGCTTTCAGCAAACAGTGCCCTTGGCTCTGGCGATCACCTCAAGCTTGGACTCTATAGCCCAAGGGGCAGGGCCTGCCTGGGAGGGTTGATGAGGGGCTACAGCATGAGGAGAGATGCCTCCCAGATTGCTGGGGCTGTGGGAGGGGGGACAAGCCCCTCCCATGGCCTCTGGGTTGTGGGACATCTGATAGATCATCTTAGGGCAGAGAGAATGATACACATGTGGAAACACAGGCATGTGCTTTAGAGAAGATGGGAGTATTGCAGGGCGCAGTTGCAGTTTTAAATAGGAGAGGCCTTGCTGAGAAAGTGTTGTTTAAATAAAGCCTGGGCGGGAGACAGGGAGGGTGCTGTCCTGGGAAGCCACCCCAGGCAGTGCAGCTGCAGGTGCAGAGGCCTTGGTGGTGGCTCGGTACCCTTGGGGAGCACGGAGGAGCTGTGCCTGGTGTGGAAATTTGACCAGTTTTACGCCTGCCTCATCTATGTGTGAGGACCCGGAGGAAACGCAGATCTTGGGTAGGGAGACAGGCAGAGAGAACGGTGCATTGCAGCTGTCCAGGCAAGGAGTGCTGGCCAGCTTGGGGGCAACTCAGAAGCCTGGAGGATAGATGAGGAGGGGGGCTGTGGGCCTTGGAGGTGTTGGCTGTGGCTGTGCCTGAAGTGGAGGCACCCCGAGAATTTGGCCTCAGCTGGGGACACTTATGTTCCTGGGTTGGCCTCACAGCCGGTGGGGGGATGGGTGCTTTGGGGGAGGCTGTCCTGCATCAGGGCATGAATGCACAGGGGAGTGAATGAACCTAGGGCTGCCCTTTCACCTGGGTGCGGCCCTGGCTGCTGGGGAGGGGCCATGGCCCTGAAGCCTCCCAGTTTGCCGGGGGGGCGCTGGCATTTCTGTTCTGGTTTGGGCCAGTGACCTGAGGTGGCTACAATGAAGTGGGTGTGGTCGTTGCCTCAGATGTAGGTCACAACCTGGAATTCTTGGGCTGCAGAACCCTCCCCTTCTTGACTGGGCAGTAAGGGCACCTCAGCTACCCAAGAACATGTGGGAAGAGCCCTGGGTGTCTCCAGGTAGAGGAATTTTGGTTTCTTTTTGACCCCAGGTTAAATCTCCAAATTATCACTGCCTTGTGTCCCCTCCAGTAGCCTGAAGGAGGCGATATTGTCCATTGAGATCTAAGGTCCTTTATAAAGGTCCTCCTTCTCCTTCCAGGAGGGAGCCATGGACCTGCTGCGGGAGCTGAAGGCCATGCCTATCACACTGCACCTGCTCCAGGTAGGTCCCTGCCTGCCTCAGGTCCAGGACAGCTCCTGGGGATGGCCCAGGGGATAGTTCTGAGGACACCTGACGGGGCTTCTCCACCCTCCCCACTAGGCCTTAGTTGGCACAAATGCCTGTTCCTGAGGAGAGGGTCTCTGCCTTTCTCTGGGCTCAGCGGGACAGGGAGGGGAGCCTGAGGATAACCCATCTTGTCCTCTGTGGCTGAGGCTCCTGGGTTCCAAATGGGATAGTTGCCATGGGAGCAGCATCTACCTCCCTAGTGGGTCCTGGGTTCCTGTCCTGTGGGAGCCACCAAGGGTCTGCCAGGAGGAGCTGACCCTTAGAGGGGCCCCTGCCACCACCCGACCCGGAACAATTACCTTGCAGTCCACTCGAGTTGGGATGTCCGTCAATGCCCTTCGGAAGCAGAGCTCTGACGAGGAGGTCATTGCACTGGCCAAGTCCCTCATCAAGTCCTGGAAGAAGCTCCTGGGTGCGGCTCAGGCAGCGCCCACTGAGTGCTGGGGCAGGGGCCCCGGGAAGTGCTGCCTCTTGCTGGTCAGCACAGTGCAGGGTGCTGGCAGTACCCACCTTGAGCCAGGTCACCTGGGAGTGGGGTGGTGGCACGCCTGGACCAGGAAGCACCCAGCTTGAGGCTGGTAGTGGATCAGTGAGTGCCCGGCAGCATTGGCTGGGTGGAGTGGCCTAGGAGGCAGGGGTGTGTGCTGGGGCTGGGTTCCAGGTAGAACAAGGAGAGAAGAGGGTTGACTTGAACTGACAGCACTGAGAGTAGCCAGGAGCCCTAGAGAGACTGCCGTGAGCTAGGGAGGTCAAGGTCATGGCCAGGAGGCTGGGAAGTTCGGGGAGAGGGGAAGCAGGAAGGAGAAGGTGGGGCCACCTCAGCTGCTCAGAGGGAACAGAGAGGCAGCCCACAGCCAGGGAAGGGCTGGGCTGGACTGAAGGCTGCCTCTTCCTGTAGACAGTGCGGTGACCGGGGTTGCAAAGATGCCCCTGTCTGGAATGGAGGCAGCCTCTGCTAGCTCCACACCCTTGTGAAACAGCCTCTTGCCAGCCCTCTGTGGCCCCTAGGCTGTGCGTGGCACAAGTGTATCCTGGTTCCCAGCCCTTGGGCCTTGCTTTGGGCTTTCAGGAACAGCCTTGTTGGGGACATGCTTGGTCTCCCTGGTCAGGATGGGCAGGAGGTTAAACCCCAGAGAGGGCTCAGAGGTGGCTTTTGTGCATGAGTGCTTGTGTGGGAAAGGGTCCTGGGGAGGCAGCCTTGGGACTGCAGAGACTGATGGGTTGCCAGGAAGGATGAGGACCTGCTCACAGAGGACCTGCTCCCTGGTCCCTGGCTCCTCTGGCTGGGTGGGCAGCTGGGGCGGGGCAGTGTTGGTGGTCTGCGCCCCTCCTTCTGCCTTCCCCTCATCAGCCCATCCCCCATCTTTCCTGCAACTGCAGATGCTTCAGATGCCAAAGCCAGGGAGCGGGGGAGGAGCACCCCTCTGCCCACATCTTCAAGGGATGCCTCAGAGGCCCAGGATCCCAGGTAGCACACCTGGAAGGCAGGTGCACACACTCCTGCTTCTCAGCCTGTTTCCTCACCAGAGAAAGTGTGCTGATCTCCGTGTGCCTAGGCACCGCTTTGAGTCCGCACACAGATTTGACTGGCCTCCTGGTGTGTCCCGCCTGCAGTGACCACCTGAGACACAAGCTGTGTACACCTGGCTGTCAGCCAGCCACCCTGGTCTCTTCCTCCACCAAGAGCTGCTGTATACCCTGAGTTGGCCTGTGGGAGCCCCCTGCCCTTTTTCCCCAAGACCCATGGCTGGTTCTGGTTCTCGCTGAACCACTCTGGCTTCCCCCTCAGCCTCACTCAATGAGGGCCCCTCCTTCCTGCAAAATTCTGCCCAGAACCAAAGGCAGGGTGCCCAGCCCCCACTCCTGCCCTGCATGTGCATGTGTGGCCACTGCTGCCAGTGGGGGGTGATCAGGGCTCTGTGGCCTGTAGCTGGGAACTGGGGTGCTTATGGTGACAGGCTGTGGCTGAGAGATGGCTTTGCCCATGACCACACTGGGTTGCAGTGGCTGGATGCTGGGTGTAGCTCTGCCACCGCGAGCTCATGGACACATCTTTGCGAGTTGATTTTCCTCCAGGAAGCTGCCTGCTTCTGCCGTTTGTGAGGGGATGAGGGGTGTGCTGGGTGGATGCAGCCTGGACACTGGGCAGCCCATGTTGTGGACAAGCCCTGTGGGGCTCCCTGATTCCATTCTGCACGTGCCAGTGGGGTCATCTGTGATAGCAGAGCCTGGCCTTGGGTGGCCCTGCCTGTCTTCTCCCCTAGGCAGCTGTGGGTCTCTGCCTCTCCCTGACTAGGCAGCAGCCGCAGCTGCCCTTAGCAAAGGTGTTTGTGTTGTGTCCCAGGGGGTGGGCACCCCAGATGTGGCAGGAACTGTCAGGTTCATTCTAATCTGCTGGTGATGCTGCCCAGACACTGACTGCTGGTTCTGGGGAATACACCCTAACCCACTGGGGACCTCTAGGCCCACTCCCTCCTGACAGCTGGGCACACCCCATGGACATTTAGACACTCAAGATAGGCAGGGCTGCAGGCCAATGTTGGACTCTGGCAGACTGGAGCAAGCAGGGTTTGGAGGGGAATTATGCTGTGGCACCTGCTGCTTCTGGGACCAGTGTCTTGCTGGGGTGCCTGCAGCCCTGCCTCTGAGTCCAGCGGGCCTTCGATCTCTGCAGCCGAAAGAGGCCGGAGCTGCCCAGGACACCGTCCACTCCGAGGATCACCACGTTTCCCCCAGTGCCCGTCACCTGTGATGCTGTGCGCAACAAGTGCCGTGAGATGCTGGCCATTGCCCTGCAGACGGACCGTGAGTGCGGCAGGGCCTGGCTCCTGACACCTGCTTGGATTCACGGGGTGGCCCAGGCCCCCTGCCTGCCCCAGGAGGCCTGCTTCTGGAGGGACCACCCTCCTCCCCCAGCCATTGCTGTGTCCTTGGCAGGGGCCTGGGGCCTGTGCCTGGATCACAGGCCTCTCCCAGGGACATGGGTGTCCCCTCTGAGCTGCCAGGGTCTCGTGCAGGCAGAAGGGGTGGCAGGTGGAGGAACCAGTGGGGGCTGCTAGTCAGGGCTCCCTCTTGCAGATGACCATGTGGCCATCGGTGCGGACTGCAAGCGTCTGTCGGCTCAGATCGAGGAATATATCCTTTGTGCAGGGGCTGTGGGCCCAGGTTTCTGGCGGAGTCATGAGGCTGCCCGGCCTGGCGCCCTCTGGTGGTTGCTGGATGCCACTGCCCAGTTGTCCAGGGGTCCCCTCCTGGGTGGTCACCTGCCTGGGCGGTCAAGCTGTCTCAACCCAGGAGGGCCCCCTGGACCTCAGAGGATCTGAATTAGTGCCTGCTGGTGGGACCTCAGTCCCCTGGGACTGTAACCTAAAGCTGGGTCTCAGCCAGGAGTGGTCCTGGGGCAGGCTCGGTCCTGCAGCCCTTCACCTTTCCACCAGGTAGTGGCTGGGCAGAACTTCTCCAGCCCCCGCCCCAACATGGCCTCCCACTGGGCAAGTGGTAGGTGGAGGGCAGTGATGTTGTCCTCAGATGGGTCCTTAAGCACTTGCACGCATCTTCCGGGATGTGGGGAACACAGACATGAAGTATAAGAACCGTGTGCGGAGCCGTATCTCCAACTTGAAGGATGCTAAGAATCCTGACCTGCGGCGGAACGTGCTGTGTGGGGCCATCACGCCCCAGCAGATCGCCGTGATGACCTCAGAGGTGAGCCCCTGTTGGAGGTGCTGGAGGGCTGCTCGCTAGGAGCTATGGGCTAAGCCACTGGCCCTGTGCTCCAGGAGATGGCCAGTGACGAGCTGAAGGAGATCCGTAAGGCCATGACCAAGGAGGCCATCCGAGAGCACCAGATGGCCCGCACTGGTGGCACGCAGACGGACCTATTCACATGTGGCAAGTGCCGGAAGAAGAACTGCACCTACACGCAGGTGAACGGCTGCAGTGCCTCCCCCTGCCCCTCAGGTGTCTTTAGGGCATCCAGCACCCCTCCCTGGGGCCCATGCCTCTCCTGCCTCTGCTGCAGTTTCCCGAGCCTCTCAGTTCCTGACTGGACTAAGGCGTGACGGTCACCTTCAGGGACCACTCCCCTCTACCCAGGACCCCTAGGTCCCAGGAGGCAGCATCTTGGGTGGTTGGTCCCACTGGTTCTGGGTACTCAAGTTGGAGGGCCTAGCCTGGCCTGGCCCAGCCCGAAGGTGTTGATGCTGGCGGGAGGGCTGTGCCACCTGCTGCCTTGTGTGGAGGTGGACACCAAGGTGCGCTGGGGAGACTGTGTGGACCCCATGAGATGGCAGGGACCCTGTTCGGAGGCTAGTGTGTCGAGGTGGCTGCTGCGCCTGGCAGATGAGACTCCTTAGGGGTCTCCAGGACATCCTTTCCTTTCCTTCAAAGACTGTGTGGGGCCTGGGTCTGCAGAGCCTGCCTCTCTCCTGTTCCCAGTGGCCAGTCAGAACAGGCTCTGCCTTCTGGAAGGCAGCCATGGCCACTGGGGACACCTGCTAGTTCCCCCCACCATGGGGACCCTTAGCCAAGTCTGGGCCCTGCTGGTCCCCAGCCAGTTGAGCTGCTTCAGGCCCATACAAGGGCCTCTGCCCTGGTAGACACTGTCTCCCTCCCCTGGAGGCTCAGCTCTGGAAGGCTGGAGTCACCTGTAGGAGCTCAGCACCTGTGAGGCCAGCACTACCTATGTTGGCGGACACCCTTTGCAACAGAGCATGGAGGCGACCCTGAACTCACCCAGATTTCCCCACAGGTGCAGACCCGCAGCTCTGATGAGCCCATGACCACCTTTGTTGTCTGCAACGAGTGTGGAAACCGCTGGAAGGTGGGTGAGCAGGCCCAGGCTGCCCTCACAGCCCTATTCTCTGGTGGTGGGGTGTGTCAGCCTCTGTGGTGGTGTGAACTGGGGATGGCCCTGCCCAGCCAGCCTACTGGGAGTCTCCGGCATGGTGGGTGGAGACCCGAGCCTTAGGTGCACCTGTGCAGCCTCCCACTCTGGGAGCTCTCATGTGGCCACAGGACTGGAGACCTCACCCCTTTCTCACAGTTCTGCTAAGCCCTCATGAGGATGTGCTGCGTGCTGCCCCCTCGCCCATGTTCTCTGTTGACACAGCTTCTCTGGAGACCCCAGAAGGCGGCATGTCCTGCACTCAACCTGCCTGCCTGGATTGCACCTTTCTGCTCTTTCCCCCTAGTTATTAAATGTTTTCTTTCGCCATTTTGTTCTCCTCAGCTGTAACTCCTGGTGGGCCCCCATGCTCCAAATATGACCCATTCCAGCTGCTGTGGACAAGGCCCCTCCCTGGGGTTGGGCAGTGCTTGGGTTTGGCCCTGGTGGGTCAGCCCCAGGAGAGGAGCTTGGCTGACCTTCGGAGATCACCTGGGGTGGCTGTGTGTGAGGGCAGCGAGGAGGGGCCTCGTGTGTGTGCCTGTCCTGTGGGGGGTGGCTGTGTGTGTGAGGGCAGTGGGGAGGGGCCTCGTGTGTGGGGCAGCTTTGTGTGAGGGCAGCAGGGAGGGGGCCTTGTGTGTGTGCCTGTCCTGTGCGGGGCGGCTCTGTGTGAGGGCAGCACACCTTGTGTGTTTGCTGACAGCCTGTGGTCCTGTATGGAGCAGTGTCCTCCCCGCTGCCTCAGGCATGGGCTGCTCAGGGCCTGCGTCTGCTCCTGGCACTTTAGAACACTTGTCCCCATGCTGCTGCCTCTCTTCTTCTGGGAGTTACGGTCTCAGGGGCCTGAGCCAATGTCAGCTTCAAATCACTTACCTTCCCAGAAATGTAGAGGTGGGCCTGTGAGATGGTGAAGATGACACTGTGCCAGGCACGAAGCCACCCCTCCTGCCCCGGCCAGCCTTCGTCTGGGGACCCTGTCCAGCTGGGCCTGGGCAGCCCCTCCTGCTGCCTCTGAGGTGCTGTGGGTCCTGCTGTTGTACCCCCACTTCACCACTAAGGAGGCTGAGGCCAAGATCATGGAGCCCATGCCCTGGGCAGGGTGAAGCACAGCTACCCACTGGGGCCCCTGTTCTGAGGAGGAGTCTGGTGGAGCCCAGGGTGTGGGAGGGGCAAGCACACAGGCTGTCTCCCCTCTGGGGGGCACTGGAGCCCCCTGTCCTGGGACAAGGACACTGCTCCCCAGCCCTGAGTGTGGGACCAACCCTCATTCTCCAGTCTCTCCCCAAACTTGGGAAAAAAATGAGGAGAGACTTTTGCTTTAAAAATATCTTCAATAATAACATCGTATTTTGGGGGGCTTAGGGATAGAGATAAATATGAACAAACTTTTTTTTTGATAAAACACATATCAAGGACATGTTTCCAGGTTTAAACTTCATGAACATATAAAACAGAAATTGGGTCCTGGCACCTTGAGTGCAAGATTCTGAGGTTCTACATCTGGCTCTGAGGTTCTGGGTTTGGTTCTGGGGTACAGACAGCTCAAGTAGGAGGTCTCTTTATGTCACAAAACTACACAACATGGAGGTTCTATATCCACCAAAGGTTAGTCTGGGGCCTATCAGCTGCCTGGGGAGGGGGCCCCAACGAGGCTCATGGGTCCAGTATGCCTCCTGGGGGGGGGACCCCTGCTCTCACCACACAAGAGTCCCCAGCCAGGAGCACCATGCCAGCCAGCTGTGGGCGATGAGGGGGCTTCTGACCCGCCCTGCACCTGGAGTTCCCGCTCGGGACGGTGGTCAGAGCCAGAAGACACAGCACTCCCCACTGGGTCTAGGACAGCCTCCAGGGCTGCGGACTGCAGCTGGCCAGGCTGGGCCTGCAGGCAGGTGCCCTGACAGCAACCCCGAGTCTGCCAGGGGAGGCGGCGGGGTCTGTGCTGCCAGACAGCCTAGGCCTCGGAGGAGGATTGTGAGGGTCCCTGCAGCAGCAGGGCACGGTACGTGGGAGAGCTGAGGAAGCGCGGGTAGGAGTCCCGGTGCATAAGCGTGTATATCTGCAGCTGGGCGTCGTCGAATGTGTGTGCGGACGGCTCCTGCATCTTCTTGTTGATACCCTCCCGCACTCGGGAGTCCAGGCTCACCTGCAGGACAAGGCACTGGGGTCAGGGGCTTGGGAGGTGCTTTCCCCACCTAGTGCCTGGAGCAGGCTGCCCTGCCCGTTCCGGTGGCCGGCGCACCTCCCTGGGGGACAGGATAGACACGTAGTCCTCATAGATGAGCCGCGCCTTCTCGTCCACCATATGTTGGTTGGCCTCGGCCTTCAGCTCCTCGCAGGCTAGCCAGAAGAGCATGTTCTCCTCGCTGTACTCCGTCCGCAGGAACGCCCGGAACACGCCGCGTCCCGCTGGGCTGTGCATCAGCTTGTCAAAGGACTGCGCCCAGCTCTGCACCTCCTCAGGACTTGGCGTGGCACTGTGAGCATTGGGGCTGTGTTAGGCCTGAGTCTCCTGGCCTGGGCCCCCTAGTGCGCACACACCAGCCGGGTGGACTCACCACACTTCACAGCTAGGGAGGGGCTGCAGCTTGTTCTCCCGGGAGGCCTGCCACGCACGCCGCCGCTCTTCGTTCCTAGAGGCAGGGAGGAAGCAGCACTGCCCTGGCACACGGGGCCTCCCTGTTGGTCCCTCCCCAGTTCCCCAGGGAATATGCTGTCCAGGTTGCTGCTCCTGCCACAGTGCCCAGGCAAAAGGCTCTGCCCCAGTGGCCGGGACTTTCTGGCCTTCCAGGAGGGACCCTTTGGCTCCTGGTGCTCCTCCCCGTCCCTGGCCCACTGGGCAGGACCCTGCTCCTAGGCCTGATCTTGACTCCCATCCCTGTCCCTCCAGTGGGGCCTCCCACTGCAGGTCTGGCGTGCTGGCAGTGTCTTGTCGGCTGACGCACGTGAGGGTCCCAGACCCGCGTGTCCACACCGGTCAGGTTCTGGAGCCTGATCCCTGGCTCTCAAGGGAAGCTTCTTTCCTGCCTTGGCTGCTAGCACTGTCAGTGCTGGACCCAAATCCACACCCAGCTGACCTCTTTCCAGGGCACCTGGATGGCTGGCAGACGTCATGTACCCAGACGTCCTGACTCCTCTGGACAAAGCCCCTGGACTCCTCCCACCCCCTCTCCTCACTGTCCCCTGCTCACCCCATTGCTCATGGGTCAGCTGAAGCACTGTCCCCTCAGCCAGGGCCTGAAGCCTGAGTAGGGCCAGGCTTCGGCAAGGCAGGAAAACATCCACCAGCTCCTCTACCCTCCTAGAAAATCTGTTACCACTTGAGAGCCCCACTCCCACCCCCACAGGGATGCCCAGAGACCACCTCTCTAAGCCCATGCTCTTTTCCCCCTGCGCACGCTGTCTGGGAAGCTCCTGGCCATCACCCCAGGGCCAGTGGTTCCCTCTTTGGGTCTCTCCTCGAAAGTCCCTCCACCCCACACAGTCTGGGGGGTTCTGTGCCTGTCTTTCTTTTCTTGAGACAGAGTTTCGCTCTTGTTTCCCAGGCAGGAGTAAAATAGCACAATCTCGGCTCACCACAACCTCCGCTTCCCAGGTTCAAGCAATTCTCCTGCCTCCCGAGTAGCTGGGATTACAGATGCCTGCCACCATGCCTGACTAATTTTGTATTTTTAGTAGAGATGGGGTTTTGCCATGTTGGCCAGACTGGTCTTGAACTCCTGCCCACCTCAGCTTCCCAAAGTGTTGGGATTATAGGCGTGAGCCACCACACCTGGCCTGTGCCCGTCTTACTCCACTGCAGGCACCCAGAGCCCAGCCTGGCCTGGCTCACAGCAGTATTGATAAGCACATGCTATGTGAACGGGTGCATGCGTGTACACAGCAGCTGGATGCACCCCTGGCAAGACAGGTACAAGAACCATACACGAGCCCCCTGACCCCCCCAGAGGCCAAGGCACCTGCCACTCATCACTAGGGCCCCAAAGACCCTGGACAGGACAGGGCTGGCTGCAAGGTGGCAGAGGCATCCTGCCTGCAGAGGATGCCTCAGAAGCCACTAGGACCCCTCTTGGGTCTCCTTGGCCCCATACCCCTGGCCCCCTCCCCAGCTGGGCACCCCAGGCCCCACTCACCAGGAGCAGCTACAGCAGCAGCACCAGCACAGGCAGCAAGGGTTGCGGCTGGGGGCCGCTGGAGGTGCTGCATCATGATTGGACATTGAAGGGGGCCGGTCTGCCTCCTCTGGCCCTGTGTTCTGCGGTGAGATGGGGCTACCTCAGCCTCCAGGTCAGAACCCACCTTTTGCCTACCCTCCCATGCATGGCCCCTGCTCCCAGGGACATGACCCTTCTGGCCTCCCAGGTGTTCAGGGGTCTCCCAACTCCTTGTGGCCCCTCAGCTTGCCCCACCCCATCTCCCCCAGGGGAGCGGAGGCAGAGGGGAGGTGGCATACCTGCTTCTCAGCCTCATGCGGGGTGGGCATGGGTGGGCGGAGGAGGTTGCCCAGGCTCCGTGGTGCCAGCTCTCAGACCCTCACCACAGCCTGGGGGTCTGGGGAGAGGTGCCAAGGTTCTGACTGAGAACCAGAAACCCCAGCCCCGGCCTGTCCCTTAGGAGGGGTCCTGAGAGGGTGTCTCCCTAGCGGGGCCTGCTCCTACCTCTGGACCCGGCTCTGCTGACCGCTCCTACCCCTACTCTAAGCTTTACAGCAGGGCTGGGAGGGGGCCCAGAGTCATGGAGGAGGGGACTGCGGCAGCTTGTGGCCCCTCCTCCCAGGCTGGACCCCAGATGAGGCCCCTATAAGAGGTTCCAGGACACCCCATCCGCTCAGTCCCTGGGAAGCCGGAAGCCTGGGTTCCTCTTTCTTGGCTTCCGACTCCCAGCCCCTCCCAAAGGGGCCCCGAGAGTCTGGGGCTACCGACTGATACATGAGGGTGGTGGCCAGACTCGCTTCTAGGGTGTCGGGTGGGGAGTAGGCAGAATAGCTCTCCCCCATGAGTCCAGGTCTGTTCATAGGCCCCGGAGGTCTCAGCCAGGGGCGGCAGGCTAGCCTTGTTGCATTAAGGATTTAAGTGGGACTCACGGCCGGACCGCCTGAGGGTGTGGGAAGGGGTGCAGGGCCCTGGTGAGGAGGCACGTGCCCCCACAAACATGGTTCTTTAGTCCTGCTGCCTCCCACCCAAGACTTCCCTCTGTTCCTGCCCACTCTACCTCTAGGCTGTGAAACCGCTGTGGAACCAAGGCCCTACCGCAGGGCATGCCAGCCAGGGAAGTGGGGGTGGCAGTGGGCGGGGGAACCCTGCTCCCCAGTCAAAGCCCCGGAGTTGCTGATAGGTGGGGTGTGGTGTGGTGTGAGTCCTTCCTGGTGTTTGGCTGCACCGTCTGCAGGGGAGGTGCGCCAGGAACGCCAAGGCTGTGAGTTGCCCTTCTGCTACCCGAGACACCATTTCGAATCCCAAACATATTCGAATCCCAAACACAGGGTGCCAATATGCCCTGGAGGCGGTTGTGAACACCCGAGCCCATCTCTGCCCAGAGTAGGGCCCTCTGGGCTTCCGTGCACACCCGCTACCCTCCTCATCGGCTGCTCTCCTCCCTGGCCAGGAGGCTCACAACTTGGTTCGACTTTATTGTCTCAATTGTCACCCTCCTTGACATGCCTCCCCTAGCCTGTGGCCTTTGAGTGCTTGTTTCTGTCTGGTTGTGGGAAGGGGTGTAAATGGAGCTCAGAGGAGACAATGCTGGAGTTCTGCACTCAGGGTACCCACTGCCCCGGCCCAAGTCTGAAGCAGGTGCAGGGGACCTCAGCCCCTTACCACCTGCCCACCTTTCTCTGAAACTGTGGGTCCCATGGGCTCCTAGCAAGTACATGAGGAGACAGAAAGCAGCCCTGCAGCTGGGCTTCCTTTTAGGGGTCGAGTTTCTAGGGAAAGGAAGGGGTGTGGCAACCTGAGGTTTGGTAGCTGTACCAGACCGGGCTGTGACTTCCCCAGGCGGCAGTTCTTCCTCCTCTCTGTCCCCACCCAGGGTCCTCCCCAACCCTGGACACTGTCCCTCCTGGGCTACCATCTCCGCCCCAGCTCTGAACTAGAGGAGGGGATGTGTCCAGGGGTGCAGGGCCGGGGTGCAGGGCCTTCGTTTGCTGCAGAGGAGGGGGCCAGCCCCTTCTTTCCCAGTTGCAGGCCCTGGACCTGGTCACCATCCCTGGACCTGGCCACCATCCATCCCTGGACCTGGCCACCATCCCTGTACCTGGTCACCATCCTGGACCTGGCCCCCATCCCTAGACCTGGTCACCATCCCTGGACCTGGCCACCATCCATCCCTGGACCTGGCCACCATCCATCCCTGGACCTGGCCACCATCCATCCCTGGACCTGGCCACCATCCCTGTACCTGGTCACCATCCTGGACCTGGCCCCCATCCCTGGACCTGGTCACCATCCCTGGACCTGGCTTCCTGTACTCTTCTCTGGTCAACTGGGACCACCTATGTCCCCAGGCTACTCCCCTTCTCTGCTAGGGGATACAGAGTCTCAACTAGGGTTCCCCTGCTCATCATCCTGGTATTGGGGATCCCCCTTCCCCAGTCCCCCAGGCTTTGGCCCCCAAGTCTGGGATGAGAGAGGCGGGATAGGCGGCACGTCTGGTCTCTGGGGATAGAGGCTCCCTTGGGGAGTGGCTGCTGCTTTGCTCCACAGAAGGAAAAAGAACGTCCCAGAGCCTGCCCAGTCCAAAAAAAGAATAAGAAAATGTGACAATCCCAGAAAAAAATGTCACAACCTTTGAGAGGGGGGGTTGAGAGGGGCTCCATTCCCAGTTCTACTCCTGCCCAGGGCCTTTCCCATATGCCACCCTCCCCATCTGGCTTGGGCAAACCATAGCCCACCTCTAAAACAGTGATGGTGACCCACCCACTGCGCTCCTCTCTCTGCTCTTAGGGTCCAGTCTGGGAGCCTGTGTCCTCCTCCAGCCTCTGATGCCCCCACCCCTACCTCAAGGCGCCCTACTCACCAGCGACCCAAAGGCAGGGTGGGGGCAGGAGGGGCCAGGTTGGGTGTGGGCCGCACCCTGTCTGCCGAAGGGGTGTGCACTGCAGCAGTAGGGACTCAAGTCAGACGGCAGGAGGGAGGCTAGCGCCAGGAGACCCCGATCGGCTGGGGCCGGGGTCGCATCACCTCCCCTGCGGCTCGCAGGGCTGAGTGGCGGCCAGATCCGGCGAGGTGGGGGCGGGGGCGGACAGGGTGTCCCGCCCCGGCCCCTCCTCACCAGGCTGATGGGGGGAGGAAGACGCGGAAACCTGGGTTCTTCCGGCCCCCACCTTTGAGCAATCACTTCCCCGGGCTTTGAGCTCCAGAAAAAGGGGAACCCGGCCCTAGCGCCCCCTCCCCCACGCGCGGGGGCCGGGCTGCAGTTCCACTGCGGCCCAGGGTCCACGTGGACCTGGCGGCGCGAGCCCGTGGGGTTCGAGGCCCGCGCGCCGGCTCCCACGGCTCCCGCCCCGCACGGTCCCCGGGCCCGGGCAGGGACGGGCAGGGCCGCCGTCCCCGCGCCGCGCGCGCGCGCGGACTCACCAGCCGCGCTCCCGAGCCGCTCGCGCCGCCGCCGGCCCGCGCGCTCCGAGGTCCCGCCAGGCCGTCGGTGGGGGGGCGTGGGCAGTGCGCAGGCGCGTCGGCCGCACTTCCCCAAAGCCGCGCCGGGACTTCCTCGCGCCGGGAGGCGCCGGGCCCGCCCCACTCGCCCCGCCCCGCCCCGCGCTCGGCCCAGCAGCCCGCCCCGCCCGCGCTCGGTCCCCACGGTCGCTCGGGGGTGGCGGGAGGGTCGGGGTGTTGAGAGGGGAGCCCCGGCCCCGGCGGCCCGAGCTGCTCTGTAGTCGACCGGCCTTGGCCGTGGTCCCCGACGCCGCTCGGCTGGGCCGTCCCCGCCTTGCCTTTCGAGTGGGGTTCCCGCCACGCGCTGGCGTGGACGCGCGAGAGCCGGGCCCGCGTGCTGCCTGCGCTGCTAGGGAAACGGGCGGCTGCAGTGAAGGACTGGTCCGCGAGCGCCGCAGCCCGGCGCACCCCTCGCCCCTTTGAGCCTCGTCTGTGAAACTGGGTTAAGAGCCTTTCGCGCTGTGGGGGCTTCTGGGCTGGGGGGAACTGGGGGCGCGGCTCTTGCATCCGCAGTCATACTGAATGTCTCTGTGGGGCCTGGCAGAGTCCCTGCCGACCCGCGTACACTGCCCCCTTTGCCACGAATGCCCTGTCCCTTTGGCCAACTCTTCGCCTCCTCTATGACTCGGTACAGACCGGGTTTGGCGTCTCGTCCCATCATGCTGTGTGTCAGGTGGCCCTGACCCTACTCTGGAACCGTCTGCAGAACATCTGTGCCCCTCCTGCCCCGTTTGCAACTCCTGTCCTCCCCAAGCACTTGGCCGGGACACCTCTAGTGTCGGGGGCCGCCCATAAAATGCATTCCAATTGCACAAGTCAGGTGTACACCTTCACAGAACTCTGAGGCCTGGAAAGGGAGCTGGAGATCTTGCTTGTGCACCTAATTCAATGGACAAGGACCAGTATCTGCGAGTCCCTGTGGGCCAGGCTGTGGGACCAGAAGCCAGCAACACGGATGAGCCTGGATTTGCTGCTGGGGGCACAGGTGATTTGTGGGGGCAGGCAGGAAAGGCCTGGGGAGAGGCAGGAGCACTGAGGAGGGGAGGGCGCTGGGCTGCTGGGTTGTGCAGAAGCCTGGAGGGGGAGGCCAGAGGCAAGAGTGCCCTGGAGGACAGGCTGCCTCTGGAAGCTGTGCCCCGCCCCGCCCTCAGCCCCGCAGCCCATTCCGCCCGCGCTAGGGCTGACTTGACCTCAGAACCCTGTGGATGCCATGTTGTCAGGCCAAGCCAGGCCAGGCAAGGCACGGGCCAGGAAGCCCATGGGGACAAGAGGCAGGCTGCTTCTTATTCAGCCCAGGTAACACTCCTGAGGTGGGCACAGGTGAGGTCAGGGAGGCTCAGTGAAGATGGGCCAGCACCTGTTCCAGGCCACACAACCAGGCTGACCCCGCCCAGCCGGTCAGCCTGTTGTCTCCGCTGTGGGGAAATGCAGGTGTGGGCAGCCGGCAGTGGATGAAGGTCAGTGCCCTCCCTGTGCCCTTGGGTTACTCTGCAATCCCCCCATCACTGCCCCATCTCCTTTGGCCCCTTGGGCCTGCTCTCCATTCCCCTGGCTGCTGCACAGAGCATCCCTGAAGTACACGGGTGGAGTCAGGTGAGCTGGGCAGTTGATGATGCAGGTGGGATTTGAACCCAGGACCCTCTGCCCCCTCACGGTCCCCCAGTATATTGGGCCTTGGCCCACATGCCTTCCTTTCCCACAGAGCTTTCTACAGGCAGGAGTCCCCCAAGGCCCTGCAGAAATGTCCTGGGCCCTATTCCCTAGCTCCTTTGCACACCTAGCCCCCTCCTTTCATGGGGATCAGAGGGCCGGTGTGCCGGTCTGACCCTGGAGCAGTCACTGAGGTCCCTGCCTTGTTGGCCTTCGAAAGGTGCTGGGGTTGCTGTGTCTGTGTCTGCCCCTCTTTCCTTAGTGCCTATCTGATGCAGAGTGACCCATCCCCTCTGGAGCACTTACTGCGTGTGGGGCACTGCACCAAGATCCTGATTTTAAAGATGAAGAAATGGAGTCTCAGAGAAGTGATGAGATAATATATGATTCTCCTAGTAGATGAACTCATTCTACGCACTCAGTCAGTCCCCAAGACAGAATCCTGGGGTCCAGGCTGCAGGGAGTTTGGCCAGAGGACACCAGGGCTGGTGTCACCATATGCCACAAGCACATCAGGGTGTGAGTGGTTGCCACTCCTGGACAGAGATGGCCTCCCCTTCCCTGTCTGTTTGCCCTGCACAAGCCCCTTCTCCCTGGCCTCCTTCCTCTTTCCCCTTCGCTTCCTGAACCCCCTCCTGACATGTCTCCCCTCCCTGTAAGCTGACTTCTGAGCTCTGTATACAGTCTGGGCTTGGGTCAAGGCCTAGGGCAGCAACAGCCCAGAAAGAGTAAAGGGCCAGGTGCGCAGGGAGAAGGACAGGCTGAGGGGCCAGAGTGAGCAGGTCCCCACTCCGGCCAGGGTTGGGGAGTGTCACTGGCTGCCATTGAGCAGGATCCCTTCTGGGCCCCAGATTGGACCTCTGCCTCTCCTTCCAAATCTGCTCTTGGCTCCAGGCAGAGCCAGCTGGAGCCCCCTGGCAGGAGGAGAGGTTTGTCTGAGTTCCTGTAGTTCCCGCTTCTGTGCAGCCTGCTGGACAGGGTGCTGGGAGGGAGGAAAAGGAGGAGGGCCCCAGGGAAGCCCCAGCTTCTGCAAAGAGCCCATGTCAGGGAGAAGAGTAAGGTCTGCCCAGAAACCTGGGGGCTTTTCAGAGTCCAGGGATTTGTAGGTTGTGGGCCTGTTTGTCAGAATGGGACATGGGTGGTTTCCTGAGAGAGAGAGAGAGAGAGAGAGAAAGAGAGAGAGAAGAGGGGGGAGAGGGGGGAGAGGGGGGAGAGGGGAGGGGGGAGGAGAGAGAGGAGAGATTGGGAGGGAGGCGCAGGGCATTAAGGGGGTCACAGGAGGCTATTCAGGATGGGGAAAAAGACCAGAGGGTGAGATTTTTTCTCTAGGGCAGCAGGAGCCTCCCAGAGGGGGTTCCCCTTCCTCAGTCTCTGGGTCCCCTGGTACAGCTGGTACCTCTTCAAAGGCCAGCTTAGGTCACTTCGCTCCCCACAGCACCGCCCTCTCCCACACTCGGACCTGTATCCTGAGATTGCCCTTCCTTCTGGGGGTGTGACTGTTGCTGAAACAGGCTCTTTCTCCATCGTCCTCAAGACTGGGGGCCTCCCATGGACCTGCAGAGCGCCAGGTTGCCTATGGGGCAGGACGGGATTGGGGGTAGGCGTGTCTCTGACCCATTACTTTCACCCCAGCCACTTGCATGTCTTCACTAAGTAAGTCTGTGAGGTCCGTGGGAGAGGGAGCGTCCATGCTCCCCGCTCCCCTCAGGGGGCCTGGGGAGCCGGAGCAGAAAGACCAGAGAGCCTTCGGAGAATGATAACTTTATGTGGAAGGTTGGGGCAGGTCGCACGCTCTGGGTCGCCGTCACCGCGGGAAGATACTGCTGTCCGCGTTCTCCTCCAGGATGGCCTCCACACGCCTCCGCTGCGGGGACAGGCTGGGGCCGGGTGTGTGCAGAGGAAGGCGGGGGCCCCCTCCCTGCCCCTACTGGGGCTCGCCCGCACCTCTTGGCGGTCCAGGGGATCCGGGATCCGCGTGGGCCTCAGCTGTGGTGGCAGGAACAGTTCGAGCCGGATGGAGGCGCGCGCGGACTTCTGCTGCTGAATGAGCAGCGCGATTTCCTCGGCCTGCCGGGACTCGGGTGGCTGACCTCGCGCCCCATGCGCCCCACGCGCCCCACGCGCCCCACGTGCCCCGCCCGCGCGCCCCACCTTGCCCCGTCCCGCGCGCTCCGCCCCGTTCCGCGCGCCCCGTGCGCCCCCTCCCCTCACCCGCATGCGGGTGTAGCGCCGCCGCAGGTCGCGGACTCGCCCGCGAGCCTCTGCCGCCTTTAGGACGCCCAGGAGCAGGTTCTGGCGCTCCGAGGGCAGCTCGAGCGGCTGCGTCCACATGTGCGGGTCTGGCATGCGGTGTCCCGGCTCCGCCGACCCGCGCGGAAAGGTGGAGGCGGCCGCGCCCACATCCTCCAGCAGGTCGCCGAAGAGCAGGAGGCGGCGGCGTTGCGCGGGGAGCAAGGCCGCCAGTCCCTGCGGCGTCAGGGCCCAGCCCGGCTTCGGGGGCTCCATCGAGGGCTCCGTCGAGGGCGCCGCCTTGGCGCCTCCCTCACCCCGCCCCGCGCCGGGTGCGCTCTTCCCGCCTCGCTCCTGCGGGCCCTGGCGCCCGGCCTCCTTCGCCGGCGGCCGCATCCTCCCCCTGCGGAGGGAAGAGGGCGTACCGTCGGTGGGCCCCGGGGCCCTGCCCGCCCCTCGCGGACCCCCGTGCGCCCCAGCTCCGGCCCGCTGGGCTCTCCGCAGTTGGACTTGGTCCCGCATCCCCAGCCTCTTAGCTCGGCCCAGGCTTACTCCCTCTCCCGAGCAGCAGCCCTGCCAGAGTCCTGAAGGCAACTGGGACTTTCTCATCAACCCAGTTGCAGGAAATGTCTCTCCTACCCTACCGGCTGCTGTGTTTGAATCGAGGAAATGCCGAGACCCCAGAGTCGATCTCAGGCCCTGCCAGGGTGGGCGCCACATTGAGACCTCTAGGTGACCCCGGAGCACCTTCATTGTGCCCCCATGTCTCCGGTTCCCGACAGTCAGCAACTCCTACCAGACAGCTGTCTCTTCCCCTTGGGGCCTAGATGGTTGTGGGGAGCAGACCTTCGGGGGCAGGTGACAGAGGAGGGAGGGTCCGCGATGGGGAGAGGGGAAAAGAGTCTGCAGCCCCAGCCTACAGCTGCCACCTTGCCCGGCCAGGGCCAGTGGCAGAGTCATTGCTTGACCCAGCGGCTGCGAACGCCCCCACCCCTCCTTAGCTCCAGGAGCCGAGGTCCTGCCCCTTCTTGGTCCCCACACCCCATACTTGCTGCCTGCTTGGGTCGGTGGAACCTCCGTGTAGCGCAGACTCTCTGGGGCTTGTTGACGCGGTTGCCCAGCAACCCGGAGTCCTGAGCCTCACTCGAATCCGTGGGGCGGGTGGTGAGGGCGGGGGTTCCCCTCCGGAGGGCCCTGGGGGGCGTGGACGTGCTCTCATAGGGGTCATTGTGGCACAGAGGCTTAGAGCCGGCTTCTCTAGCTTTGGCAAATGTCCTTTCCAGGCTGCTGCAGACGCACCATCCTAGGGGGTGTGGGCCCAGGTTCCTGGCTTGAGGGATCTTTGGGGCTAGTTTTGTGGAGTGGCGCCATCGGCCATGAGACCTTTGTGGTTCAGGCCCATTCCCTTCCGATGGCAAGGAGGCCCTGGCACCAGCCACTGGTGTTCACAGAAAGGGGTACTTGGGACCCCTCACCTCTTCTAGGGCAAGTCTGGGGCCTCAGGGGTCCAGGTGTCCCCCAAGACCAGAGCTGGGTTTTGCTGATCCCTGTGTCTTGGGATCTTGAGTCCTAGGTCCTAGATTTTGGAAATCTATTTGTGCATTCCTTTATTTTGTAACGAATTCTTAACTAATTAATAATTAATTCTTTTTTTGTTTTTTGTTTTTTTTTTTTGAGATGGAGTCTTGCTCTGTTGCCTAGGCTGGGGTGCAGTGGTGTGCTCTCAGCTCACTGCGATCTCTGCCTCCTGGGTTCAAGCTGACTTTCCTGTCTTAGCCTCCTGAGTAGCTGGGATTACAGGCACCTGCCACCACACCCGGCTGATTTTTGTATTTTTAGTAGAGACGGAGTTTCATCACGTTGGGTTGGCCAGACTCGTCTTGAACTCTTAACCTCAGGTGATCCACTCACCTCGGCCTCCCAAAATGCTGGGATTACAGGCGTGAGCCACCATGCCTGGCCAATTAATAATTCTATAATTTTTTCAGGCATTAATAAGCATGTTCTAGAATGTCTTAATTCACATGCTTATTCCACAGTTTAAATTAGGCAAACATGAATGCATTAAGTTTATACCTGTTATGTATCTATTACTTCTACAAGATGTCTGTGCTCTCTCTACATTCGTAGATGTGCCTCTGGGGTACCTTACTGGGAGCTGGAACCTGCGAACCTGGGAGTATGGCTGTCCTGGTTGAGGGGCAGGGTCTTAGCTGAGGTTCTGGCCTTTTGGCGGGAGGCTATTGGGTGTTCCCATTGTTTTTGGGAGGCTGCCCTGGCCTCTCAGTAAGAGGGTAAACTTTGACATTCAGCCCTTGTCCCAGAGCCGGCATCCCATCCCATGGCGAGGCCCATCCTTCTAGCCCTCAAGCCTTTGCTGCTCCCCATGAAGACTTCCTGGTGCTGCTCCCTCCCCTCCTGCAGGTGCCTTTGGGGTGCTGCCTCGGGTGTAGCACCAGCCTGGTTTGAGGAAGGTCCCTGGACTCCAGAAACAGCAGTGAGTATGTAGGGATGCTTACCCAGCGGCTGCTTCCTCCAGGCAGCCATCTGTGCTCCCATAGAGGTGAGTCCTTTGAGACAGGACCTGGGCCATCCTCAGCTTCCCTGGGACACGTGGGTGGGGAAGCTTTCTGTCTCTTGGTGGTTGTCGGTGGGGAGGTCACACAGGGAGTAAGGGAATGTTCTGTTCTGCAAGAAGGGGCTTGTGACCTTCTGTTTTTGTAGGACTGGAAAACCTTGACAACCCCTGTCCATGATTCCCAGCAGGTACTCCCAGGGCCTACCTGGCCCACATCCTTGCCCCTGCTGTTTCTCCACACACTTGTAGTTCTGCACGGACGGAGGTGTTCTCTGTTTGTTTGGGGTCCAGCAACTGTGAGGGACCCAGAAGGCCGGCACCTCCCATCTGTGTCCACAGGATTCACGTGTTTTTCAAGGGCGAATGGAAATGCCGAGATCTAAAAGCAGGTTTATTGCTGCCAAGACCTGACAATGAAACTTCAAATCAAATTAGTAAACTTTTTAAATGACTACAAAATTTAACATTATATTGAGAAGGCACTACTCAATTCTTTTGTTATTGTATGTTAATTTTGTAAAGTTAAAATTACTAGGACAAGTAATTTATTTTGATGAAACTCAGAAATGTTAAAATTCTTTTGCTATTTTTTTTTTTTGAGACTGAGTCTCACTCTGTCCCCCAGGCTGGAGTGCAGTGGTGCGATCTTGGCTCACTGCAACCTCTGCCTTCCAGGTTCAAGCGATTCTCCTGCCTCAGCCTCCTGAGTAGCTGGGACTACAGGCTTGTGCCACCATGCCCGGCTAATTTTTGTATTTTTAGTAGAGATGGGGTTTCACCATGTTGGCTAGGCTGGTCTGGAACTTCAAGATGGTCTTGATCTCCTGACCTGGTGATGCACCCGCCTCGATCTCCCAAAGTGCTGGGATTACAGGCGTGAGGCACCATGCCCGGCCTCTTTCACTTTTTCAGTAACACAAATGTATGGCCTGGTGACTCTATTTCCCAGGGGTAGCTGCTCTGTGTGGGGCTGCCAGACCCTCTGGTTTGATTCTTGTCCTTGGCCGGCCCAGGGTGGCGAAGCCTGTGGAAGGAGGAGGTAGACTGGGACTGCGCTGGGGGTTCGAGTGGTGGGGACAGAGGACAGTGCTCCAGCAGCCCTTTAGCATTTGCGGATTCTGAGTCTGTGGATGAGAGTGAGGTGTGTGTGTGTGTGTTTGCCTGATGAGTGGGTGTGACTCTCACCCCAGAGCCCAAATACCCAGGAGCTCCACGTGCAGCCTGTGACAGGCTTTCACTGTCATTTGTGGACACATGTTCTGTAATGTCATCGTGTGTCGTTGTATCATATCTTGAGGTATCCCTCATATCCTTGCATGCTGTTTTGCCTGCCTAGAACATGTGTGTTTGAGGTTGTCTTGCTCTCTCGTATAACATGTGTCTCTTGCTATCTCTTGTGTGACATGTATGTTCTATATAGGACCCTGCTTCTACCTTCCCCCTTCTGGTGGGGCCACCCCACCTTTGGCAGGTTGGGGGAGGGCAGGACTCTATTAGGGGTCTAGAGAAACCTGGGCCATTTCATCTACACCACCTGTTCTCCTCTGTGGGAGCCTTTCTGGATCCAGGGCTGGGCCCCTGCCAACCCTCAGGGAGTGCAGTCAGCATCACATCTGACCCTCCCCTGGCCAGATGACCAGGCCTGTCCTTCCCTCTAAGACTGAGCCTGTGAGGGGCCAGTCTCTGCTGGGTTTGTTGACCACACTCTCAGAGGATATCTGCTGAGACCAGAGCTCACAGGCCTAGCCTGGCAGCCGTGCTGCTGAGTCATGGCCAGGTTTGGAAGGCTCCCAGGGCTGAGGGTCATGGGGTAGGCTTCCTGAAGGAGGTAGGACTGGAGCTGGTGGGGGTGTGGCAGGATCCATGCAAAGGGCCAGGATCTGCACAGGTGGTCAGAGACTGTGCAGCAGGCCAGAGATTGCAGGAGGCCAGAGACTGTGCAGGAGGCCAGAGACCGTGCAGGTGGCCAGAGACTGTGCAGGAGGCCAGAGATTGTGCCACAGGCCAGAGACTGCAGGAGGCCAGAGACCATGCAGGAGGCCAGAGACTGTGCAGGAGTCCAGAGACTGTGCAGCATGCCAGAGACTATGCAAGAGGCCAGAGACTGTGCAGGAGGCCAGAGACTATGCAAGAGGCCAGAGACTGTGCAGGAGGCCAGAGACTCTGCCACAGGTCAGAGACTGTGCAGAAGGCCAGAGACTGCAGGAGGCCAGAGACTGTGCAGGAGGCCAGAGACTGCTGCAGGCCAGAGACTGTGCAGGAGGCCAGGACCTGTGCTGGAGACTGTGCAGGAGGCCACCTGTGCATTGAGGCCAGGATCTCTGCATGGGGCAAGAGTATCTGCAGGGAGGACTTCTAGGGGGTCACAGGATCTGTGGAGGGTGCAGGATCTTTGCAGCGGGCTTGGATATGTGCAGAGGCGAGGATCTGGGTGGGGGCAGGATCAGTTCATTGGGGCAGGATCTTTGAGGGGAGTCAGGATCTGTGTAGGGTGCCAGGATCTGGGTGGGGGCACAGTCTGTGCCAAGGGGCACGCAGGTTCTTGCAGGAGGACAAGATCTGTACATGGTCACAGGATCTGTGCAGGACGGTCAGGGTTTATGCAGGGGGCTGGGAATGTGTAGGGGAGATGGAGTCTGTTCTGACTGGGGGCAGGACTCATGGAGGTGGCAGGATCTTTGCCACCGGGCAGAGTCTCTGTTGGGGAGCAGCTTCTGTGCAGTGGGGTCAGGATCTGTGTAGTGGGTGGGGTCCACATTGGGAGTCAGTGTCTGTTCCAGGGACCTGTTTGGGGAGGAGGGCAGGATTTGTGCTGCTGGCAGTGTCAGTTCACATCGTGGGGAGAGGACCTGTCCAGAAGGGCAGGATCTGTACAGAGGGGCCAAGATCTATGCAGGGGGATGGGTTCTCTGTGGGGTTGGGGTACGGTCTGTGCCGGGGTTTGGGGTTTCTGGATCTTTGCATATGTGGTCAGAGTTTTTGCAGGGGGGACAGATGGTGTGCATCAGGTGCACAGGATCAGTGCATAGGGGCAGGGTCTGTATGGAGCGGGGGCAGGGTCTATGTGGTGGGGCCAGGTTCTGTGCAGGGGGCCTAGGCTGTTCAGGGTACCAGGGTCTTGGCAGGGACTTTGCAGCGGGCACAAGGGAGGGAGGAGCTGTCCTGTGTTTTGTAGTTACAAATATACCAGGGCAGGATGACACAGAAAACAAGGAAGTTCAAGGGAACACAGTATAAGATTTTGAACACCTGGATCGACTGGGGAGGCCACGGCCTTCTGCTGGACCCTGAATTGCTCCCACAAAGGGAGTTGAGGTCTCTATTGCCTTCTGAAACACCAGGCAAGACAGAGCTGGGAGCTGCCTTGGTGGGGGCACAGGTGGCTGGTTGCTGTTGCTGGGTGAGAAGGCTTGGGGTCAAAAGAGGCAGGGGTCAGGGAGCTAGGTCTGACCTCGCCCCCCTCCCCTTCTTCCTGTCCTCCTATCCCCAACATGTTTTCCTCCCCTCCTCCCCTCCTCTTCCCTCCCCTCCTCCCTTCCCTCCTCCCTTCCCTCCTCCCCCCCCTCCTCCCCTCCTTCCCTCCCCCTCCCCCCTGTTCTCTTCACACTTCCTCCCACTCCTTTCCCTTTCCTCCTCCTCCCCATCCCAGCCCCTCCTTCTCCCTGTCTCTGGCTGCATGGAGGAAGTTGTGGAGGTGACCGGGTGGCAGGCAGACATGCTAAGGGAGAAGGTTTGCAACAAGAGATGAGGTGCCTGTGTCCTGCACTCTGCCCTGTCCTCTGCCACTGGCCCCTGGGCCGGGGACATTGTGGGGGGGGCTCCTTTGTCCCCCTTCCCTTACAAGGTCTCTTTTCTGCCCATCCTCAGTGCCTGCAGTGCCCAGTCTGGGTGGCAGCTGAAGGCCATCAGGAAATGAGGTTCTGTGGGTGGGTGGGCAGGCTCAGGAAGCTGTGGTAGGAGGGTCTAGGATTTCCTGCTCAGACCTTGGTGAGCCCAGCTGGGACAGGGGGCTGCAGTGGTCCGAGCCTGCCTGGATCCGTTCCCAACTCATCTCCTGAGGCAGGGGGCTCACCCTTGCGCCTTTCCTGGAGAGCGTGTTTCTGTGTGTGTGTGTCCTCTGAGTGTCTGACGGCCTTGGTCTGTGTCTGTCTGTTTCCAGAGGTGTCCATGCAGGCTGTAGATCTGCCCATGATCCTGTGTGCGCCGTGGCACCGTCTTCCATGTGTGTGGCCTGTGTGTTTGTGCATCCCTGTGAGCGTCTGCGTTTCCGAGTGTGTATCTGTGTCTCTGTGTGTTCACCCATATGCCTGTCTGGGCATCTCTGTCTATGTTTGCAGTAATGTGTGTCCCCATGTGTCCCGTGAGTGTCTGTGGACATGCTCTGTGCCTTCACATGTGTCCCTGAGCCTTGGTTGCCATGAAGATGCAGGGATAAGTCCTGGGGGACAGTCAGGGATGCAGGGTCCTGGGGCATCTGCCCATTCCATCCTCTCCTGATTTGCCAGGTATCCTAGCGACGCTGCTGCCAGTTGCTTAGCAACCAGGTCCCTGTTCTTGGAGAAGGTGCTCTGGGCAGGGTCTGAGCTGTGTCGGTAGAAGTCTGCTTCTCCTTCAAAGCCTGTGTTGGAAGAACAACCCCATGACCAGGTGGGAGCTGGAGATTCAGCTCGAGGGTCACCCACACGGCCTTGACCTGTGACCTTTCATCTCAGTGGATCGGGCAGGGGATCCCCGTGCTGAGAAAGACGCAACTCCAAAGGAGTCGCTCAGCTTTGTGGGTGCCAGCGCCGTGTGTGGGGAGCGATGCTTGGCACGGCTCTGGGACCCAGCTGCGGCAGACGTGCCCTTGGCGTGTCTCCAAGTGACAAGCAGACCTCGGGTTTCAACCCATCTCTGTCACTCTGCAGGGCCTCATGCCGCTGAAGCTTCATGCTGTCAGCAATGGCGGGTGCGGTGGGGGTGACTGAGCTTCGAGAGCACGCAGTAGGTGCTGGGCCAGTGCTGGGTCTCGCCTGCTTGTTTACCACGAAGCTTTGATCTGCGGAGAGCTGGCCAGGTGGGGGATTTTGTGTGCCGGGAGCCCAGCGAGGGGGTGCTGTTCTGGGCACGGAACGCCAACTCCGGCTGGTCCGGACCAGCTGTCTCTGTGTGTGAGTCGTGACCCCCACGTCCGTGTGTGTCTGAGTCTATGCGTCTCCATGTGTGTCTCCTAGAGGCTGCGTCCCCAGGTCTGCGTCTGTGTGTCCTATGCCTGTGAGCCTGTGGCCATCTCCGTTCGTGTGTCCTGGCCTGTGCTGTGTCTCCATCTAGGGTCTGTGGGTCTGAGCCTCCTTGTTCATCTCTGCATGTGTGTCCTGGTCTGTGTCTGTCCCCATCTAGTGTGGGCCGGCGCAGCCCTGGGCGCAGTGACCCACCTTCCCTTGGCCCCCCTCTTCCAGCCTGCGCAGCCCCTCCCCCTCCAGAGCTGCAGCCTCCTCCCCCCCACCCCCGCCCGCGTCGGGCTGCTGGGCTCAATCGGCTGCTGCGTCTGGTCTGGCGGTCTGGCGTCTGCTGAGGAGACGGAGACCCTGTGCTGAGCCAGTGGCGGCTGGGACTCTTCCACCCTGCTCTGCACCTGCGCTCGACTGCCGGCTGGCTGAGGGTGGCGGTCTCCACGGTGGTCCCAGCTCCCAAGAAGGTTGCAGAGGTAAGGGCCTGAGCCGCTGGAGGTCGGGTGTGGGTCCTGCTAACAGACTGCAGCACAGCAGGGCTGGGGGCAGGAGGAAGCTGGGTCCCAGGCATTTCTGGGTGTGTCTCAGTCTCTTTTGTGTCTGCGTGTGCATGAGGGCAGGTTTGGGCATCCGTGTGTTTATCTGTGTGTGTGACGTGTCCCAGCATCCCTGTGCCTGTGAGCACACGAGTGGCTGTGTCCGTGAGCCCTGTGGGTGGACACGTGTCCCATGGTGTAACTGCCTCCAGGCAGCCTGTATGTGAGTCTCTAAAGCGAACGAGAGGTGCCCTTGAGGGTGCATGTGTCTCTGTGTTCTGTGAGCCTGTCTGTGCGCACGTGTCCTCACGTCTCCATGAGTCCCTGCCTGTGTATGTGTGTGCCCATGTGTTCTGATATGTGTGCCCGTGTGTTCCGGTGTGTGTGCCCAAGTGTTCTGGTGTGTGTGCCCGTGTGTTCCGGTGTGTGCCCTTGTTCTGATGTGTGCCCGTGTGTTCTGATGTGTGTCTGTGTGCCTCAGTGACTGTGGCTGCTGCTCAGTGTGGGGGTCCGTGTGCCTGCTGGGCCGCACGTGCTGTGCTGGAGGCTGCGGCTGGGTGTGTGTCTGGCTCTGCAGCTGCTTGTCTCTGTGCTCTGTCCCAGGTGCTACACTGAGTGGATTTGCAGGGCACTGGCATGGAGCCCCTCTTCCCCGCCCCATTCTGGGAGGTCATCTATGGCAGCCATCTCCAGGGCAACCTGTCCCTGCTGAGCCCCAACCACAGCCTGCTGCCTCCGCACCTGCTGCTCAACGCCAGCCACGGCGCCTTCCTGCCTCTTGGGCTCAAGGTCACCATTGTGGGCCTCTACCTGGCTGTGTGTGTCGGGGGGCTCCTGGGGAACTGCCTCGTCATGTATGTCATCCTCAGGTAGGCTGGGCCACGGGATTCCTGTCTGATGAGTCCCATACAGCTGCAGAGGGGGAAACTGGCTGTTCTGGACTGGCCTGAGCAGCTGGTGCTTTCCTGCTTCCTCCATTAAATGTTTTTGACCCTGTCCAGGAGGCAGGGCCAATCCCGAGGCCCTGGGTGCTCACCTCCTGGGGAGGGGATGGGAAGGGCCAGTGCTGGCCCCCACTGTGTCCCAGGCAGAGATGTCACCACCCTGACCCCTGTTTGAACTGTGGACCAGGCTCTGTGCCAAGCTGTCTGCTTGAATGACCTCATGAGACCCCACATCGGCCCTGTGAGGCGTTCTTGTCAGCCCATTCCCTGGATGTGTGGAGGGAGGCACAGGGCTGGTGCTGGGACAGTCCTGAAACCCCTTCTCAGGCTCCAGGGCTCCTGCTCATGAAGTGTCTGCGTTGAGCCCACGATCTGTGGGTTCATATGGGAAAACTTGTGGGGGCCAAAGAGAGGGCAGCTGATAGTTGGTTGAGGGGGCAGTGCTGGGGGCATTGTGGGGAGCAGTGTGAAAAAGCAGTGCCAGGGATAGTGTTGGGAGATAGTGTGAGGGATAGTTGGGGGGCAGCCGGGGGCATAGTGTGGGGGACAGCTGGGAGGATAGCCAGGGGATAGTATTGGGGACAGCATAGGGCACAGCATGGGGGGCAGTGTGGGAGTGGGCAGGGAACCCTTCACATGGATTGTGTATTGGGCAGGTAGAATATGGGGGTGACTTAAGCAGAAAGGGGGATTTTCTGAGCAGAGAAAATGAGGAACCCCAAATCCATCCAGATGAGAGAGACCGAAGGGGTGGGGACAGCAGGTGGGGTCTTGAAGGCCCGGTTGGAGGAACTTTGTTCTTCAGGCAGTGAGGGGTTATGGGTGATACTTTAGCAGGAAAATGACATGGCTGGAATGAGATTTCTTGTTGATCCAGGATGTTGCCTGGACCCAGAAAAAAGGTGATTCTGAAGAAAGGACCCAGGACTCTAAAGCAAGTGGTCCTTCCTTATAACCTTAAAGGGCCCCAACTAAAGGTGCTATGTAGGTAGAGGCAGGACAGGGCAGTGGGGGTGTTCAAGCTGCCACCATCCCAGCCCTGTCCTCTGAGTGTCCCTGAGAAAAGCTGTTCCCCCTGGGCCCTGTTTTTCCCATCTGGAAAGTGAGCAAGGTGGACCATGTAGCCACGTGTGTGTGTGTGTGTGCGTGTGTGCATGTGTGTGTGTGTGCGCATGTGTATATGCACATGCATGCATGCAGGTGTGTGTGCACGTGTGTATGTGTGTGTGCATACGTGTGCATGTGGGTGTGTATGCCTGTGCGCACGTTGCACATGTGTATGTGGGTGTGCGTGTGTATGCATGTGTACATGTGGGTGCATGCAGGTATGCATGCATGCATGTGCGCATGCGAGGGTGTGTGCATGCACGTGTGTGCATGTGTGTATGCATGTGTGCACGAGGGTGTGTGTGCTCACATGTGTGCATATGTGTGTGCAGGTGACACATGGTCAGACAAGAGCATGGGAAGAACAGCTGTCCCCTCCAGTGCTGACTCCTAAGTAAGGGCACTGGGGAGACTGCTTCACGATGTCCATGTCCCTCTGTGGCTGGTGGGTGTGCCACAGCTCAGGAGTGTAGCAGCCTGGGGCATTCCCTGGGCTTGAGCCCCTTTCCTGCCATGATGGCGTCTCTACTGTGTCTCTCCTCTGCTCTGGGCATTACAACTCTCTCAGCCACTTCCTGCATTAGAGCAGACAAGGAAGATCATCTTATTTACCGTAGTCCCCAGAGAGATCGATGCTCAGGAGCTGCCCTGGCCACGCTGGCAGCACACAGCATGCTTTGAGCCACTGGGCTGTGGGACCATCCCGGAGTCAGAAACACTCTGCTCTGAGCCCCACTCTGCTTTTTACCAGCTCCAAGCCTTAAAAAAACAACATACATCCTCTGTGCCTCAGTTTCTTCCTCTATAGAGGGGAATCAAATCTTCAGTGACATGTATTCCCCCTGAAGAGCTTGGTGCAGGTGTTTGCCGTAAGCATTGTTATTTCTTTGTAATGGCAGCCTCTTTATGCTTATTCATAATCACTCTCTCAGAGGCAGAACTGAGCCCCATACTTCCTCACGGCAGAATAATGTCATCTCAGGTGCTGCTGCCACTGCCAATATGACTGCCACCACCATCATCACAATCATCACCATCACCACTATCACCACCACCACTATCATTATCACATTCATCATCACCATCATCACTCACCATCATCACTATCAACATCACCACCACTGTTACCACTATCACCACCACCATCACCATCATCCTCACATTCATCATCACTATTACCAACATCACCACCACCACCAGCATCACCATCACCACCACCACCATCATCACCATCACCATCATCACAATCACCACCACCAGCATCACCATTATCACCATCACCACCACGATCCTCATCATCACATTCATCATTACTATCACCATCACCATCATCACCACCATTAGCATCATCACCATCACCACCATTATCACCATCACCACTATCACTACCACCACCACCATCACATTCATCACCATCATGACCATCACTATCACCATCATCATCACCACTGTTATCACTATCACCACCACCACCACATCATCACATTCATCATCACTGTCACCACCATCACAATCATCACCAACATCACTATTGCCATCACCATCACCATCATTACTATCACCATCACCCACTACCACCATCATCATCAATTCACCATCACCATCACCATCACCATCATCACTGTCACCACCACCACCACCATCACTATCACCATCAGCACCTCCACAACCATCATCACATTCACCATCACTGTCAACATCACTATCACCATCACATCACATTCATCACCATCATCACATTCGTTACTATCACCATCACCACCACCATTACCACCATGACCACCATAATTTCCCCCAAATATTACAACCATTAATTTATTTAACTTTTTTTTTTTGAGACAGAGTCTCACTCTGTTGCCCAGGCTAGAGTGCAGTGGTGCTATCTTGGCTCACTGCAACCTCCGCCTCCCAGGTTCAGGGGATTCTCTTGCCTCAGCCTCCCAAGTAGCTGAGACTACAGGCACGCGCCACCACACCCGGCTAATTTTTGTATTTTTAGTAGAGACAGGGTTTCACTGTGTTAGCCAGGATTGTCTCAATCTCCTGACCTTGTGATCCACCCACCTTGGCCTCCCAAAGGGCTGGGATTACAGGCGTGAGCAATCGTACCCAGCAACAAAAATTAATCACCAACAATTCTCCCAGCCCTTTCCAGCACCTTTTCCCATGCTCAGATACAATCATACCTCATTGGCATCCCTCCTGTGCCTGTCACCATCTTCTGTCTCTCTTGCTGGACAGCAGTGTGGACTTGGAAGTCTCTTGGTATCTTCTTACAGACTCTGGAGCCCTCAGAAACCTCTGGCAACTGTCCGGACAGCATTTGAGTCTGTGAGGGGTCTTCGAAGAGACTCAAAATCGAGGAGAGAAGGCTCCTTCTCTTAGGGTTCTAACCGTTTGCTCCCATGCACAGTCCAGGGTGTGCTCTGGTGCCCTCCACGTCCCAACTCCTCCAAAGTAGACCTGTGTTTAGGGCTTGGAACTTGTGTGTGTCAGAATCACTTGAGGTGCTGGTTAAGATGTTTGACCCCAGGCTCCAACCCCTGAGACTGACTCAGTGAGTCTCAAGTTGGGTCCAGGAGCTGTCACCGAGCTCCTATGGGAACTCTGATGTTAAGGGACTCAGGACCAGTGTAGCTTCTGGTGGCCAAGATGAACCCCTTGCCCTTTGCTGCCCGGCCCAGCCAGCATGGCCAAGTGAAGCCTTTCTTCTGCCTCTACTCCGCAGGCACACCAAAATGAAGACAGCCACCAATATTTACATCTTTAACCTGGCCCTGGCAGACACTCTGGTCCTGCTGACACTACCCTTCCAGGGCACAGACATCCTCCTGGGCTTCTGGCCATTTGGGAACGCTCTGTGCAAGACAGTTATCGCCATCGACTATTACAATATGTTCACCAGCACCTTCACGCTGACCGCCATGAGTGTGGATCGCTACGTGGCCATCTGCCACCCCATCCGTGCCCTCGATGTCCGCACATCCAGCAAGGCCCAGGCTGTCAATGTGGCCATCTGGGCCCTGGCCTCTGTTGTTGGCGTTCCTGTGGCCATCATGGGCTCGGCACAGGTCGAGGATGAAGGTCAGTGGGTGGTCCCCCCTCCCCTCAGCAGGCTCCCCGTGGCTCTGTGGCAGCCCCTCCACATCTCCTGGGCCCGTGCTGACCCCGCTTCTTCCCTGTAGAGATGGAGTGCCTGGTGGAGGTCCCCACCCCCTCCACATCTCCTGGGCTCATGCTGACTCCGCTTCTCCCCTGCAGAGATCGAGTGCCTGGTGGAGATCCCCGCCCCGCAGGACTACTGGGGCCCTGTGTTTGCCGCCTGCATCTTCCTCTTCTCCTTCATCATTCCCGTGCTGATCATCTCCGTCTGCTACAGCCTCATGATCCGGCGGCTGCGTGGAGTCCGCCTGCTCTCAGGCTCGCGGGAGAAGGACCGGAACTTGCGGCGTATCACTCGGCTGGTGCTGGTAGTGGTGGCTGTGTTCGTGGGCTGCTGGACGCCCGTGCAGGTCTTTGTGCTGGTCCAAGGGCTGGGTGTGCAGCCGGGCAGCGAGACTGCTGTGGCCATCCTGCGCTTCTGCACAGCCCTGGGCTACGTCAACAGCTGCCTCAACCCCATCCTCTATGCCTTCCTGGACGAGAACTTCAAGGCCTGCTTCCGCAAGTTCTGCTGCGCGTCCGCCCTGCGCCGGGAGATGCAGGTGTCTGACCGTGTGCGCAGCATTGCCAAGGATGTGGCCCTGGCCTGCAAGACTTCTGAGGCGGTGCCGCGGCCCGCATGACTAGGCGTGGACCTGCCCATGGTGCCCGTCAGTCCGCAGAGCCCCTCTACGCCCAACACAGAGCTCACACAGGTCACTGCTCTCTAGGCTGACACAACCTGAGCCCTAAGCACCCAGAGCCTTGGACGGGCTTTTCCCTGTGGGCCAGGGACACTCGGTCCCAGAGGAGGACCTAGCGACATCTTGGGACAGGTCAGAGCATCAGGGCTACCTCCAAGGTCCTGGACACACTGAAGCTGCCCTCCTTGTGCAGGGCTGCAGAGACACAAGGACCTACCTGGAAGCGTCTGCTATGCTGGTGGACGGCCCTGACTGGCGCCCGTGCCCCCCACGTCTCCTGTTACTCTTGGCCGCTCTGCTGCTGTGTTGGCAGAACCCTGGATGAGCATGCACCTGAGAAGCCGCAGCAGCTGTCATCGTGCGCACCCCACGTGCTGTGTCCGTGTGTATGGCAGGATTCCAGCTGGCTTCAGTCCTGTGGCATCTCCTCAGGGCAGTTGCACAGGCTTGGCACCACCCCGTTAAGTGCAGCAGGCAGCTTTTCTGTGGGGTGGGACTTGCCCTGAGCTTGGAGCTGTCACCTGGAGGACTTGCTGTTCTGACTGCAGCCATGCAACCAGGGTCACCCCAAGGGGGAGCGTCCAGGTGGACTGTCAGTCCCTGGCTGCAGACGCTGAGATGGGCCTGGGCCAGCCACGCCTCCGAAGGTTTCCTGTGTGCTGCCCTGTGCAGTCTTCATCTCTGACTGCCCCTTGGCTCTGGGCCCAACCCCGTTTCCCTTCAGGAGAGCAGCGGGAGGCCCTGACCTGTTCCCTCCGGCAGTGCAGCTGCCCTCCCGCTGTGGACGGGACCCTCGGCTGAGCTCTGCTTGGTGCGTGGGAGGGGCTCAGGAGGAAGGCGCCGTGTGACCACCATGGGCAGCTCTGTTGTTCACAAAGTAGAGGCCTCATTTTCCTGGTCTCGACTTCTCTGTTTGGAGCAGGGTGGGGGAAGATTTTCTGGGGGTCGCCACATCCTCCCAGGGCTCCCCTCATACTCTTTCCTTTGCTTGGAGTCAGCGGTCGGTGGCTGTGCTGTGCTGCGGGGGAAACTGTGTAGAAGGAGAGCCCAGTGGCCACAGCAGAGTTCTGCTCTGGTGATGCCTGCTTCATTTACAAGCCTCAAGATGGTCCTTCGCAGGGATGAGCTTGCTGCCTAGTGGGAGGGTGGCTTCGCAGCAGAGCCAGCGTGAGGCATGGGGCTTGGCAGGGCTTGCTTGACCCCAGCTGCAAGAACTGTGGTGGCTGCAGGGACACTTGGGTGGGGGGGTGCAGTATCTGTACCTTGCCGCAGTCACCCAGAGAGTCACCCTTCCCGGTCTATAGATGGAAGCTGCAGGTTGGTGACTTTGCAAATGCACTTCCTACAGACGAACTATTAAAATACCTGCAACATTGAAAAAACTCAACTTTTTCACCAAGACCTTGGCCAGGTAACCTTAGGCAGCTGCAAAGAACAGGAAGTGATGGTGTCTCACCACAGAGCCTGCTCCTCCAGGTCTGGGGAGCCTTAGCCGTGGGGATTGTTCCTGAGGAGGCCTGTGCTGTCTCCATGACATCTGTGGCCTCTGCGAACGGGAGCTGCCTAGCTGCAGTGTTTTCTTGCCAAGGCTAAGTGTTTTGTGAATCTGCACTGATGTAATTTGCATCTTCACGTATTTATGCATGTGGCTATGCACATAGCCCGCCCTGGGTCTGTCTCCCAGGTCATGAAAAAGGAGCCTAATAAATGCTTGCTCACTGGCTGGGTACTCTTCATAACAGGAGCTTCTGGCTCTTGCCACCTGGGGATTTGCTTCTGGAGCGGCTTTTCTGGGATTGGCACATGGGTGGGAGGGGCTGTGGGGTTTGGGCTGAGTCCTTGCACCTGCCCTGAGCTGCCCAGCAGGCTGGGCCCTGCCCTCAGTGGTGGGTCCTGGGGAGGGCTGAAGCCGGTTAATGGTGCGTGCCGGGCTCCTGCCTTTTCAGCACACACGGCATCCCCCTCCTCTGCCACCTGGAGAGAGGTTCCCTGAGGATCCAGAGGGAGGGAGCTGCAGGGTTTTCTTCCATCCATTTCGTCTCAGAAGAACTCATGCTCCTGCTCATTTCCCCTTCCTCGAGTGGATCTGAGGGGTTTTGGTGACAGATGAGCAGACAGCCTCCTCCGGGGCTTGACACACTCTTGTGATGGACATCTGCCTGCTGGCTCCTGTGTGGCCTGGTTCAGCCCAGGCTGACCTGCAAAAGAGATGACCCTATCAGAGGCTATGGAGGGGCATGGCACACTCCAGTCCACGTGCTTCTCTCTAGGGCACATTCTGCAGGGTTTTATGCAGGTTTGAATGACAGGCACTGTCTTCTCCTGGACTGCTATAGCACCACAGACCCAGGGACACAGAAACAGTACACATTTATTCCTCAGAGCTGTGGAGGCTGGAGGTCTGAGATCAGGTGCAGGCATGTCGGGTTCTGGGGAAGACCCGCCTCAGGCTGCATCTTCTCATATCTCATGCCATGGGTTTGAGAGCTCGAGAGGATCCCTTTTTCTAAGGGCACTCATCCCATTTGGGAGGGCTCTGCTGTCATGACCTGTCACCTCCCAAAGGCCCCTCTCCTGGTACCATCACCTTTGGGGGGTTGGGATTTCAAAATACAAATTTTGGAGGAACGCAAATAGTCCATAACAAACACATTGTCATTAAAGCAAAGATTTAGCATGAGGGACGATTTGGGAGGGACAGGCTGCACCGGGCAGGTGCCGTGCCCTTGGGCCCAGGAGATGGAGTGCTCTTGGTGGAGGAGGCTCACGCGTGGGCCCGTGTGGGTGGGTGTGCATCCAGGGCTAATGCCCACAGCTAGTGTCTTCCAGAAGAAGCTGGCCAGGAAGGGGCCAGGGGCCGCAGGAAGGGTTGGGGTCAGTGGAGGCTGACCAGCTCCCTTGCTTTCCAGGACTGGGTTCTTCTCCAGCCCCTGGCTCGTCCAACCCACCTCTGCTGTTGGGCTTGGTCGAATCGCCAGGCTTTTCCGAGCCTCAGTTTCCTTCCCCGTGCAAAGGGGACAGCAGAACCCTCTTTGTGGGTTGTGGGGAAGGCTGGGGTGCCCGCGAGGGTCCCGGGTCCTGTCCCGCCTCAGGAAGGCCCGGGGTCTGCAGCGGCGTCGGACCCTCCCGCCAGGGGACGCTGTGGGCTCGCGCGGGCCCAGCCCTGGTTCCTGGGTGTACGGCGGGGTTTGGAGCTGGCGGGGCCGGGCTCTCCCTGGGACCAGGAGCCCGGAACGTGGAGACGCGGCGGGCTGAGCTGCTCAGTGAGGCCCCCGTTCCGCCAGGAGGTCCGAGGTGGGCGAGGGGCCGCCTCCCGGGAGAGCTTGCCTGCCCCTCCCTCCAGGCTGTGGGGTATCCCCCGTCCTGGGGTCCTGGACGCTCCCTGGCTGGGGAGTTGTCTGCAGGCCCTTTTCCTGATCCGCCTGGGACCACGGGGAGAAGACGCTGAGGATCCAGTTGCTGGACTGTGGATAGGGTAGGAGCCGCCCTAGGGGTCTGGGTTCTTGGGAGGAAGCCTGGTTGCCACCTTCTCCGCAGTAGAGATGCCTGCTGGGGCCAGAAGGCAAACTAGGGGCAGGAGGGAGACTCGGGCCTGAGGGGGTGTAGGGGCCTTGCCCTGGAGCTCCTTAACCGCCCCCACCCCGTGGTGCTCATTCTCGGCCCCGCCCTCCACGCGCTCCCACTCATCCGTCCCCGCCCTCCACTCGCTCCCACTCTCAGCCCCGCCCTCCACGCGCTCCCACTCTCAGCCCTGCCCTCCACGCGCTCCCGCTCGGTACCTGCCCTCCACGCGCTCCCACTCCGGCCCCGCCCGCCCCTGGGCCCCGCCCCTCGTTCCGCGCTCGCTGCTCGCTCGTTACGCCTCACACTGGCTCTGCTCCGGCTTGAAGCAGCGTGTCTGGGAAACGGTCTCACTTGTCAGCTCAAGGGCTCGGGCGTCAGGCTGCTGTGCCACTGCTTTGCGAGGTGTGACTGCAGCGCAGCCGGGAAACGAGTCCTTGCGGCATGGGTGTTGGGGGACAGCTCGTTCTTCTTGCGGCGTGGGTGGTGGTGGTGGCTCAAAAAGTGTCCACAGGCTGGGCTCGTGCCTGTCATCCCAGCGCTTTGGGGGGCTGAGGCGGGAGGATCACTTGAGCCCAGGAGCTTGAGAGCAGCCTGGGCAACATACTGAGACCCTGTCTTAAAAAAAAAAAAAATTGCCTGGCGTGGTGACCTGTGGTCTCAGCTACTCCCGAGGCTGATGTGGGAGGATAGCTTGAACTCGGGAAGTCGAAGCTGCAGTGAGCTGTGACCGCACTCCAGCCTGGGTGACAGAATGAGACCCCTTCTCAATTTAAAAAAAAAATGAAGCAAAGGAGAAATGAACTGTCTACAGCCCCTGAGTTCGGGGTGCACATGTGATTTGCTTCCAATGCACAGAATGAAGGGACCGCAGACGGCTCCTGACACTTGGCCTCCAATGTGTTGAGGCTTCCTCTTTGCTCCCTCCTGGGTCACTGGCTCTGGGGGACCCAGTGCCATGTTCCGAGGATACTCAGCCCATGAAGCATCCATGTAGTGAGGAACAGAGGACTTCTGCCAGGTGGGCGGGGGATGGAGACTTCTCAGAAGATGTCCCAGTACCTGCCCAATATTCAGATGCCAGGGCCTTGGCCAATGTCCTGACCGCAACCTGATGAAAATGCCACTTTAATTCTTGAACCACAGAAGCTGTGAAATAGTTGTTGTTTTAAACTGCTAGGTTTTGGAGAAATTTGTTACACAGCAGCAGATAGCTAATACAGTGTCGTTAGGGAAAGTGACTGGATGGAGTTGGCCCTGGCTGACTTGCTCTGAGGAGGGGCACTGAGGCAGCCTTGAGCTGTCGGGGCTTGACAGGCAGGGTCCTCATGACCTGGAAAGCTGGGGTACTTGGTGGTTGGGTGGAGGTGGGCATACACCCTGGGACACCTTGTGGGGTGGTAAATGAGGGGTCCTGTGTGCCAGCTGGACAGACTAGCCAGAGTTCTGGTTCATGAGGACTGAAACCAACCCAGGGGGGTCACACCTTGCTGCCAGGCTGGAATGCCAGGTGTGGAACCAGCTGAGAACCATGGGCCAAGGATGGGGGCCTGTCCACGGTGCACCTGGGTTGTATTCTGGGACCAGCCCTGGCCCCTCCCACCGACAGTGGTATCTGAGCCGCCTGCCTTTCATTACCAGCACCCACCCCCCACCGACCAGAGTTTCAGCACGCAGCTCCTGCTGGCTGAGTACAAGCCCCAGCCACACTGTGGGAGGAAGAGTTCCAGGCACCAGCCTGTCCAAGTGACAGATGGTCTCTAGGCCATGGTGGCCCAGAGGTCCTGGAGGAAGGGCCCTGTACCCTGTAGCAAACTATGAGAGGACCACTGGCCATGGCCTGGGGGGTACAAGGGAGCACAAGGCTGTGGCATGGGGATGGCCAACTGCTGGAACGTCACTTGGGTTTCAGGCCATGACAGTGGATTTCGTGGTCTCATTTGCTGCAGATGTGGCTGGCCTTTGCAGCAGCACAGCACTGCTGCCTGAGGTGCCCACACTGTGCCACCTCCCAGCCCTGTCTTGGGAAGAGCCCAAGAATCCTGACTATGCCACAGGGTGCTGGCCCGGGTTGAGATCACGGTTCGGGTTCCTTCCCCTCCCAACCACTGTCATTAGGGAACCCCAGCCCCAGAACCTTCTAGGGCTTGTCCATCTGTCTGTCCCTTGTGGGTAATTGGACTCAGGATGCTTGCTGTGCTGGGGCCTTCTGCTCTGACCTGGATCCCTGCTGCTGTCCACGCAGGGGCTGTCCAGGAAGCAGACGTGGGAGGCTGTCTCTGGAAGTCTGGTGGCCAGCATTTGAGGGTCCATGTCTCACTGTGTGGAGAAGACAGCATGGGGATGTGAACAGGCAGAGTGTCCCCTGGAAGAGGCCACCTGAACTGGATGGGTGGGGGTATGGGTGATGGTGGGGGTGATGATGGGTGCTCAGGCCCCTCAGCACTGGAACATGGTGCGGAAATTCTTGCGGAAGCTGTCGTCCAGAAAGGCATAGAGGAAGGGGTTCAGGCACGAGTTGGCATAGCTGAGGCTGGTGATGACATAGGACATGCTGATGACCAGCGGGGTCTGGGGCAGGTCTGTGGCCAGGGCCACGATGGAGGCCAGGTGGAAGGGTGTCCAGCAGAGGAGGCACACGGTCAGCACAACGAGGACGAGGATGGTCACCTTCCGCCTGGCCTTGCCTAGAGCCTTGGCACCAGAGCAGAGCCGCACGGCCCGCAGCCTGCGCAGCAGGTCTGCGTAGAGCACACAGATGGTACACACAGGCACCACGAAGCCCAGGACCAATGTGTAGATGCGGCTGGCCTTGGACCAGGCCTGCTCGGGCTGCGGGAAGCTCAGCCCACAGCTTGGTACCTGCAGCTCATTGCTGTAGACGCCAGCAAAAGAGAAGAAGGGCAGAACCAGGACCGTGACGCCCAGCCAGATGCACAGGCTGACAACCTTTGCCCCCCGGTAGGTGCGCCAGGGCATGTGGCGGGACCGAACCGTGGCCAGCACCACCAGGTATCGGTCCACGCTCATTATGGCCAGGAAGTAGATGCTGGAGAAGATGTTGTAGTGGTCAATGGCCAGCGCCAGCTTGCAGAGCAGCTCCCCGAAGGGCCAGTGCTGCAGCAGGTGCTCTGCAATATTGACAGGCAGCACCAGTGTGAAGAGCCCGTCAGCAATGGCCAGATTCAAGATGAACACGTTGGTCACCGTCTTCATCTTGGGTGCCCTCAGGATGACAAGGATGACGGCCATGTTGCCACTCAGCCCCACAGCACAGATCCCGGAGTAAACGGCGGGCAGGAGCACATAGAGGATGGGTAGCGGCTCGGAGAAGGTGGCATTGTGGCCGGTGCCATTGTCCTGACAGACGTTGGTACCCACTGTGGTGAGGGAGGAAGCACCCCTGCTGTGAAGGGGCTCCAGACACCCAGTGGCCTGCATTGTAGGCAGGACTGTTGACGGTTTGTGCCCCAGGCAGGTCGGGGGTGCCTTGGAGTTGGGTGTCTGGTAAGAGGCTTCCTTGGGCTGGATTCTAGGAAAGAAAATCAGCCAGAAACTTTGAGATCTGGCCATCTGTTAGAGCACAGCCGCTCCAAGTTCTCTGGCCGAGACTGTGGGCCACTTTGCCAGGTCAAGTGCCTGGGGCCAGAGGCAGCTGCAGCCAGGTGGAATGTGTGAGGGCCTCCCCCAGCCTCCTCCTAATGATGCTTCAGCAGGTCCGTTCCCTCCTCCTGCAGAGAGGGGCTGCTGGCCACCCTCCTGGGAAGAGGCGATGTGGCTCTGCCCCTGCCCCAGGAACCTGCAAATTCACAGTCTAAGTAGAATCCAGCGATCCATTTGAAAACACCTCCCAGCTCATCTGTGGTCCCCTTGAATCTGAAGCTCCTCCCCACAGGGGTCTTGGGGTTGGCACCCTCCCTCCCAGCCTCCTAGAGGTGCTGCAGACCCCGCTGGTCCACTTGCTTTTCTCTCTACTGACCTGTCCAGTGCTTCGAGCCCGGAAGTTGGTAGCCTTGGTGTGGTCCTGGTGGTGGCCAGCACAGTCAGTTGCAGGGATGGGGGGAGGTGTGGTCCTCACCAACAGACCCCAGCTGAGGTTTCAGGAGTTTCAGGACCTGCCTTGCTGGCTGCCTCGGTCCCGGAGGCAAGGATCCCAGCCTGGTGGCAGCGCTGATGCTGGTGAGGGAGGGAGGCGGATCCCCCACGCTGACGTGGAGCCCGGAAGGCAGGCCCCACCCCTGAGCTGCAGTAGCGCCTGCAGTCGGTTGTCCCAGGGTCTCCTCAGCACTCACCCAGGCGAACTCCTCAGTGGGCGGCCGAGGCACGTGTGCGTGTCTGTCTGTGCATGTGTGCACCTGTGTGTCAGGAAGGCACTCCATGCAGGGGCCTCCAGGTGTGCCCAGATCTTTGGGCAGAGGGTACTGAGAGCATCTGTGCCTCGTCTGGGCATCACTATGGCCCTGGGTACCCTTATCTGTGTACATGGGGGTCTAGGTGGGTCTTGTGCCCCACCCTGTGTGGTGAGTATACATGGTGTGTGCCTGTGTGTGTGCCAGTGAGGACACGTTCATGTGTGCAGCCCTGTGCGGGGGTTTCTGTGGGTGAGCTCTGCATTGCATCTGAGTGGGCTGAGTGTGGGGGTCTCATGTGGAAGCACCACTTTTTGGCCATAGGCAACCCAACTTCTTTTTTTGTCTTCTTCTAAAATGAGTAACGCAGACTCGGTAAGCTGTGAATGGCTGCATAGAAGACGTTCGCACCCTGAGGCACCACTCTCAAGCCATCCTGCAAAGGCGGTGAGCATTGCGCTCTGCTCTGGGCTGATCTCTGAGTCCTTTCCATCTCCCTGCTTTTGGGCGAATTCCACCCCTGTGTGTGCAGCTGGGCAGCTCCTGGACATGCTTTGCAGGTCACACCACAGCTGATGTGGGCAGCCAGCCTGTCTCAGGGCCATTCCTCAGCAGGGACGTGCTGGGTCAGAGGATCTCTGTGTTTTCCTTCTTTCTTTTTTTGAGACAGGGTCTTGCTCTGTCACCCAGGTTGGGGTGCAGTGGCACTAGCATGGCTCTGGAACTCTGAGCCCCTCCCAGACTCTACCTCTGCTCTCCTGAGACTGTCCTGAGCCGGTCTCATTGGAGGTGGGGTGGGATGATGGGAAGGATGGGGATACTGAGGGCAGTGGGGATGGGGGAGACGGTGGGTGCTGAGCTCAGGACCCCGGGGGGCCAGCTGGAGGTGTCGGGCCCTCCTGGCCACAAAAGCAGCATCCCCACATGCCTTTCCTTCCTCCCAGACCCACCTCACCTACATCCACTGCAACACCAGGGCCTGAGCCAGGGGTGCTCCCCGGTCGGTACCCCCAGCCCTCAGGGCTCAGAAAGGCCCTTTGCTCTCTCTGTGGGCTGGGCATTGTTCCAGCCAACTGTGAGCTTGTGAGAGCATCGTTCTGTGGAAATGATTTCCATTTTCAGAAATAAACTGGCCTTTTCAAATGAACCAGTGAGGCCTTTTGGGTGTAGAGAGGAGAGGCCAGGGAGGGAGAGAGCCGTGCACAGCTGTCGGGTGGAATGGTAGTAGGGGCCTGGCAGCAAGGCTGAGGACAGAGCGCATCTTCTGTCTGGGGTGCTGGGGTGAGGCGGGGATGGTGCCAGTCCGTGTGCATCTGAGCATTTTGTGGGCCTGTGTGTGGAGGTCTTATAGGGACCTGGAGGAGAAGCAGCCCTACATTTATGCGTGGCTGAGCCCAAAGACATTGTACCCCCATGGTAGGGGCCAGGGAGAAGCGCCAGGACCCTGAGACAGCCTACGCAGCATTCAAGCAGAGCTGTGCCGGCTTTACTGTTACTGCCACTTCATACAGGTGCGGCAGCTGCCCTCTGCCTATCCCTTATTGTGCACTATGACTTGGTCTCCACACACGCATGCAGACATGTTGCAGATGGAGTCACACAGAATCACAAGCGTGCATGTTGGCTGTCTCATCTCTGGCCAGGCAGGCCCTGCTAGGAGGGGTGGACTCTGTCCTGCTCCCTCTCCCTGCATCAGCTCTCCAAGATGAGCCTCAGCAGTGGCTGTGCCCCTGCAGGGTAAGTGCTCCCAAGAGGCCTAGGCCATCAAGACCAGTGAGAGGGCCAGGTGCGGTGGCTCACACTTGTAGTCCCAGCACTTTGGGGGACCAAGGTTGGCAGATTGATTGAGCCCAGGAGTTCGAGACCAGTCTAGGCAACATGGTGAAACTGCATCTCTACAAAAAAATACAAAAGGCCGGGTGTGGTGGCTCACGCCTATAATCACAGCACTCTGGGAAGCTGAGGTGGGCAGATCTCCTGAGGTCAGGAGTTCAAGACCAGCCTTGCCAACATGGTGAAATCCCGTCTCTACTAAAAATACAAAAGTTAGCTGGGCGTGGTGGCAGGCGCCTGTAATCCCAGCTACTCAGGAGGCTGAGGCAGAGGTTGCAGTGAGCCGAGATCACACCACTACACTCCAGCCTGGGTGCCAGAGCAAGACTGTCTCAAAAAAAACCCCCCAACACCCACAAAAAAACAAAGATTAGCTGGGTATGGTGGCGCATGCCTATAGTCCCAGCTACGTGGGAGGCTGAGGTGGGAGAATCGCTTGAGCCCAGGAGGTCAAGGCTGCAGTGAACCGAGATCACGCACTGTACCCAGCTGGGCGACAGAGTGGGACCCTGTTGTAAGAAAAACCCCAAAAAAACAGAGAGGCTCAGGCCTGGCTTCCTCTAGGTAGGGAGTTGGGCAGCTTAGCTCTCTCCAAAGAGACAAGAAGTTCAGGGCCAGTTTCCCTCAGCGTGGGAGGTGGATTCTCCAAGGAAGCCAAGAGAAAACACACTTTATTTGTAAAACTGGGAAGGGGCCATTTCTTGTTTAGATTCAGGGTTTTCCACCAAGCCACGGGCACCCGCTGCGTCTCTCTTCCCCTCCAGTCAGCACTGAACTGTCCCTGGGGGAGGTCATGGCTTGGGGTTCTAGTCAGTCCCTGACCCCTCTGTGCAGACAGGGCCACAGTCATGGGCACCTTAGCTGAGGGCAGCAGACTGGGTCCTTCTCAGCTACCACCCATACCTGACCCTCAGGCCCTGAGTCATTTGCGGGCTGCACAGATACCTGCCTGGGAGGACTGCAGTGAGCAAACGGAACAATTCCTGCTCTCACAGGGCTGGCCCTTTGTTGGGGGAGGCAGATGGTGGATGAAATGGTGCAGGGCACTGTAGGGCAGGAGGAGGGGGAGCTCTGGGGGCAGCAGGAGGCCACCGGGCCTTGCTGAGAAGGCTACTCTTGTGCTAAAACCCAGATTGGGTGGGGGGGGACAAGGCCCCTGGGGGAAAGAGGGCCCTTGGGGCCAGGTCCTAAGGCCAGAGGTTCTGGAGGTGACAGCTGGGGGAGCAGAGGCCTGAGCAGGTTGGGAAGAGGCCATTGCAGTGGTCCTGCCCTAGGGGCCTGCGGAGCTGGGAAGCTGGAGGTCAGGATGGCGTGTGGGTCCAGCTGCTGTGGCAGCTCTGCCCTGACCACGGCCTTTGGCAGCAGGGGCTTGCAGGGCTCCTGGGCTGTGGCTCCAAGGCCTCCCTCTCATCTCTGAGCCTCCTCTGCTGAAGCTGTGCCTGCACTACCCACATGCCTCCTGCTGCCCCAGGCACGTGTAGGCAGCAGACTCGAGAAGGCTGGTACAAAGCTCCCGTCGTGACTGAAACATGCAGACAGGAAGGAGGGCGACTGCTCCCTAGGGCCCAGGCCTGTCTCCTTGTGGGGCTGGGAGGGTTGTTTAAATCAATTACCAAAGCACTTGCAGCCTCCTGCTCACCCACAAAGGCCCCAATCCAAGTACAGGAGGGCGGCCCCCAGGACAATGTTTCCCAGTGGGGACTGCTCCCTGTTCTTCTTGCCCTGGCCAGTCCAAGACCCTAATAACCAGGAATAGGCCGGGAAAGGGCCCCACCCTGTGCTCAGGAGCCTCCAGGTGCTCTCTCGAAGCTCAATCCCAGAGGGCTTCACTGAGGAGGTGTCACTGTGCCTGTCCTTGGTGGCGTGTTCATGGGTGATCTCAGTGTGGCTAGAAATGTAGGAGAGGGCTGGAGGGGGTCTCATCCTGTCCTCAGGGCTGGGAGCAGCCGCGGCCTCCTGGAGATCGTGGGCAGGGTGGACAGGCAGGTGCAAGCACCTTTGAGTCTCCGAGGGAGGGGTTACTCAGGCATGTCAGTGCATGTGGACACACATCTGGGTGGGCGGGAGTGTCTGTCTGTCCTGTGACACCCTTCACTGGTGCCTGCAGCGGCAGAGCTCCCTGAGCTCCCAAAGAGGGCCCAGGAATGTCAGAGACCTGATGGGAATGACCATATGTATGGCTTTCTGTCAGGCCCTGAATTCTTGCTGAAGTATCCTTCAGTCGGAAAGGCTGATCCATGCCCAAATCTGGAGGCTTTTGATGCACCGTTGGCTCCTGGCCTGGAGACGACACTGCAGGCTGGCAGTCCATGTCCCTCCACAGGGGCTCATGCCCACATGGCTGGTTTTGAGGTGGTCTTGAGGTTGTCATGGCAGCTGGGGGTAAGGGCCTGGGGGGCTGCAGCTCTGGGATGCTCCAGGGGCCAGACCTGGTGACCTTGGACCAGGCTCTCCATTGTGGGCATATGAGGAGGGGTGGGAAGGTTGGAGGAGAAAGGCTGGGTGAGGCAGGCTCCTGCCTTCTGGATCCCACACCTTGGGGACTTCCATACAGGGGAGAACAGACCCAGGCTGGCAGCTAGTATAGTTGGAATGATGGGTCCCGTTGGGGGTGAGGTAGCTTCTGGCCTTGCCCATTCCCTTCCCCTTCTAACCTGCCTGGAACCAATCCTGAGCTCATAGGATGGATGGTGCCCTGAGCCTGTGGCAGAAGCTTCAGCTACCCCTGAGGACTGGCTGATTCCAATACTGTGACACACACACACACACCAGCTCACAGATTCCAGCACACGGACCTTAGCATACATGTACACACAAGTACACAGATCCCGCACACACACACCTGCCTCCCACACATGGCCACATGGTGGCACTTCGTTTTTGCATGACCGTGTCCAGATCAAATCCGGGTCATGTACTGCTCCGTCCTGCCCACGGCTGTGGCTTGTGGATGGGGTGGAGGGCTCTCAGATCAAATCTGGGTCATGCACTGCTCTGTCATGCCAGCAGCTGTGGCTTGTGGGTCAGCAGGGGCTCTCTTGGGCTGGTTGATGAGAGACTAGAACTGGGCTGGGGAAGGCTGGGTAGCAGCGTGGAGAGGGTTCAGGGTGGGGCTCATGCTAGAGGTCGGGGCAGTGGCCAGGGCAAGGCCAGAGCCCCATAGCCACACGCTCGCTGCCCTGATCTTTGCGGCACCGGTGCATACATGCATGTTCATAACAGCCAGCCCCCACGTCACTCGTACACATTCCGTCTCATTCGCTCGTGCAAGGCTAACATCGTGATACCTGCACACGTCCATGCCCATGACTCCATGCACTTTTGTGCCCTATTTGAGCCTTCACAAGCTGGCTGCACACACTCCTGCTCACACATCCGTGGATATGCCCTGAGGCTCTCTCTTAAGGTTCAGAGCCAGGGGGCACCTCTCATTTAAGAGAGCCTGTTCCTGATCCTGTCCGTTGCTTGAGGCGCCTTGAGAGGGTCACTGGGTGAGCATCAGGGAGGAGCCAACAGCCACAGGGCTGGAAAGGCACCATCCACCACCCACCCCTTTCTGTGGCCAGTGAGCAGGGATCCTGCTGTGGTGAAATCTCAGGTGTGCTGTGGTATGGGGGATGCCACAGGTGAATCTGTGCAACTGTGAGGACCCTGCAGAAGAGCTTTGCTGGGCGGGATATCGGGGGCAGTGCTGGAATGTGGCATCTGGCCATTGCATGTTGTATCCTCCGTCTCTGAATCCCCATCCTCTGCACAGAGCTGGACATTTTGATGCAGCAGGCAGGACTGCAGTGGAGACACCCTCAGCTCTGGGGACCCTGCCATGGGCCCTCCTGCTGATTGGCTGGCCTGGTTCCCATCTCCACTTCTTTGCTCCCAGCACCTCTGCTGGTACATGTAACAGACACTGATGTGCCCCAATGCATGCCAGGCCCTGGGCTCAGTGCTGGGGGCCCAGACTGGGCTGGGACCTGGGAGGGGCTAGGGTGGCACCTCTGTCCAGGGCTTATGGATGGGACCCTCTTGCTACTACCCTGGCAGCAGCCGGGGGGGTGCCCAGCCGAGGACTTTTTCAAAGTCTTGAGGTTGTCATAGTGACTGCACCCTTGCCGAAGTTGGGTGGTTCCAGGCTGGGGCTGGGAAACAGGCATGCCTTGGTGTTGGTGAGTGTGGCACAGCTGTGCAGGGGTGCAGGTGAGGTGTAAGGTGGCATATGTGGCCTTGTCAGGT